CGAAAACAAAATCGTTTTCTCTGATTATGCTCACACTGTAGAAGAGGATATTTTGAAGAAACACAATGTTGACATGGACCTCCATGCGAGTAGCACGTCAAGAGTTAAAACTGCAAAATTGAAACAAATCGATGCATATGGCGAGTATAAGAAGCTGGTGGACTCATACGTCATACAGTTTAATAAAAAGTACTACAAATTTTGTGGATCCAATTTAAGGACTTTTGTTTGGCTAATTGTGAAGGGTTTTATGAGTTCGTCTCTCAGTGAAAGACTCACCCCGAAGGATATACAGGAAAAATTAAGCAAAATGAAGGAGGAGGACAAAAAGAAGATAATGCAACAGAATGATACTTTCGCCAAAGGGAAGAAGCACCCCCTGCAGCAACCCAGGAATCAGATGATGATCGACTCCTTTTTTAAAAAGAAAAAGACAAAGTGAGGAGTGCCTCCACGGTGTGCCACTGGAAGGGAAGAGGCACAAACGGGCGAGTGCAATGGGGCGCGCGAAGGTGCGCGGAACGTGCGGCGCAAGTGGCGAAGCGGTTGTACCTTCGATGGGACGCCCCATTTTGGCGAATTGCCTTAAAGCTGCGACGGAGCAGGGGGGAGTCAGCTTGGGTGGAAAAAAAAAAAGACTCACAAAAATTTGCTAGTATACAGAACCCCCCGCTGCTATAGAGAACTCCTCGCTGCTATAGAGAACCCCTCGCTGCTACACGTGGAACACCCGCTTGACCAAGTGGAGCAGGGTGGACAAAATGCAGAATCCCCCGAACTGGTGGACCAGGGCCAGATGGACAGGCACGTGGTGCACAAGGGTGCTTATGCCCGTGAGCATCTGCGCGGTTGTGATTAGGGGCAACACGAAGAAGAGTCGCTTGGTTTTTTTGCTAAGTGCCATTTTCTGCGAATAGTAGTATAAGAGGAAGCTATTCAAGACAATCAAGTAGCTAAGCATCCGATGATTAAACTGCACCAGGGCTGTGTTCTCAAACAATTGCTTATACTTCCTCTTTTTGTCAAAATAAAAATTTTTTACATCGTCCGGAATGAATTTGTCTAACATTTTGGGCCACGTGTTGTACGCATACCCTGCATCATTCCCAGCCACAAATCCTCCATACATAATATTAGAAAGAACGATAAAGGAAAAACAAAGTAGGCCTAACTTGGTCCCCCTGGTAATGTTCCTCCGTTCATACGTTTCGTGTATTAACTGAGTCCGTAGAAATTCTGGCCACTCGGCTATTTGACTCTTGGCAAATTGTTTCCTCAGCTTCGCTACCTCAATCAACGTGAGTGAATTGAGAAAAAGATAGCTGTACGTTACGGTGGCGCAGAAGAGATGGAAGACTAACCTGTAGGGAGAAACCCTGGGGGTCTTATTTTCCGTCTGTGGAATTTCAAACCCACTTTTCACCATCCACCAACCTACAAATCCTTGAAATGTTCCTAAAGCCAAAATGACACTCAACTTTTTGATCATACTTTTTTTTAAATAATTTTTATATAAAAAAAAACTAGCACCTCCGACAAAAAATAATCCTATAAAACGACCAAATGTTCTGTGCAGCCATTCATTGAAGAAAATTTTTTTATAATCCTCCATGGATAGGTTATAATGTACTTGTTTATATTCCGGTGTTAATTTATACTTGTCAAATTCTCGTTCCCATTCTTCTTCATCCTTGGGGTACTTTACGCCCTGAATTTTCCAGTGCGTTATTGACAACCCACTTTCGGTCAAGCGAGTGTAACCTCCTATACTTATCATGCCTAGTATTAACAGGCTGCACGTGCTCAGCCACATTCCTACTTTAAATTCTTGCCCTTCCTTCACATAATTCATGTATCTATTCGCCTTCTTAATTACGAATGATTCTTCTGCTCTACTCAGTTCGGTGAATGTGTTGAAGGCCCTCCCACTCTGCAATGCCCTGTTAATGGATGCCCTTTCGAGCCCCTTCCGTATATGGGCATAGTGCCCTAAGGAGACCAATCTGTGTAGGCACATGTTGACTTGCAGCTCCACGGGGCAAAATGTCAGCTGTGCTTTCTCAATTTCGCTCTCCCTCTGCAGATGTGCAAATATTCACACACACAAAAAGAGGACACAAAGCGGAGAAAGAAGAAGGGAGAGAAAGAGGAGGCGGGTATATACTACGCGGCGGAACTATACGTAGTCCTGTTAAAAATTGGAAAAGGAGCCGTTTCAGGTAGAGGGGTAAACCTCAGGGCACTCTTCCCAGTATGGAAACGACAGTTGGGAAAAAGAGGTTAACCCCTCCACTCTTCAATAACTCATTTTCCACACATGGAAGAGTTAGATTATTCTCGCAGATGCTATCCCCCCTAATTAGGGTCAGATTTATCACTTTGAAAAAAGGGAGAAAATTGCTCTGTCATCCATGTGGGCCTTATTTTTCCATGGCCCCTTTTTGCACAGATGTATGATAAGCTATGTGGATTCCATTCGGAGGATATGTTGGAAAAAGAAAAATTCCCCACATTCATCCTTACTTTTCTCCCCTCTTTTTTACATTTGTGTGCAAAGGAGTACTCACATCTGGCCTTACATGCTTCAATGTTAATGGGTCAAGCAAAACACAGCAACGCTTTTTTATCCCCATGGAGGCATAATGGCGTAAATTCTTTTTGGATTCAAAAGTGAGTGCTTCTTCGCTCTGCTTAGGTAAGGCAGAGGATAAAACACCTGCGCGGAAAAATAAATTTTGCTGTGCGTTACACATGCGCGGATAACCAGGATGTGCCTTGTTCTTTTGTGGGGGATGCGGCTAGAACATAGTTGAATACCTTCTCAAAATGAGGACCAAACGACCTCGAGTTGTCCACACTATTTTTTTTTTTTCCCCATGCGAGTTTTATTAAGAAAAAAAAGGCGAAGCGGTGATGTGGTAGCGTCGCTATCAGTGGTTGTTGACCCCCCAGGTATGGCGCTAAGCAGGCCACGCGTAGAAGCAGGAGTAAGCCCCAATATGGGGGACATAGAACGATGGATAATGTTAGCACAGGCCTACAGATCAACGGTTAACCGTTCAGCATGTATACAACAGTTCGACAAGCGTCTGGTATGCATTGGGGGGGAGGGGAAGCACCTTGCCGACGCGAATTAGAAACAATTACGCTAAATCAAATCGTGTACAGCCCTTTTTAAAAGTGGTGTGAACCCCCGTGGATACAAAATTGTGCATCGAAATAGGAGCACCCACAAAAAAGGAAAAAAGAAAAAAAACGATGCCACAAAACAATTGGGGTAGGGATGGAAGCAAAGAAGAAAGTGGCCAAAGTGGGAAATATGACTAAGGAGTTCTCGACAATGCACTTAACAAAATGAAATGCAGAGACAAATTCTTCGAAAGAGAAGGTATTAACCCCATTTGAGTCAGCAGCAAGCGGTGCAGCTTTCCTCACTTGCAATTTTGAGATCAGTGGGGGCATACCACTTGGACCCCTCCAACGTGTATCTACTATTTAACGATTTAACCTTAACGGTTTTTTTAGCCTGTAAAGAGGAGGGAACGAAAAAGAGTCGGATGAAATTGGGCAGAAATGGGCAGAATTGGAGTAGCCTCAATGTGGCAATTTTTCCCATGCCATTTATTCCGAGAAAAACGAGATGTGTGTCAATTTGGGGGGACCCCCATTTCGCGGCACATTACCAAATTGTGGTTCCCATATATGTGACTCCTGTCAGGTACACCCCCACCCGATTCTTCATTCTTCAGGGGAAGACGCATCACGTGATGCTCCAAGTGGTTGCCCAAGTGATTCTCCAAGTAATTCCTCAAGGGAGCGTTTTCCTTCTCTGAGTCGTTTTTCATTATGTAGTCTCTCAAATGGTTCATGTGAGCAGGAAATGCGACGAACTCGTCGGAAGTTCCTTTCTGTTCATTTAAGGGGGTCCCTTTACGTTGCAAGGAAGCAATTTTATCTGCGAAAAGAAAGGGGAAATAATTTGGATTAAATTTTAAAAGGTATAAAAAGTGGGACATACTAGGGGAAGGGGGAAATTAAAAAAAAGGGTGTGTGCTCTAATATTTTCGAAGGGAGATCAAAATGGAAAGGCATAATTTGTTGCACCTTTTAAGACATTCCTAGTGTGATTTAACGCCCTGTCTTTGTAGTTCAATCGAAGGTTGTAAATCGCGTTTGTCTTCAAGTAGGATCGATTTAGCTTTAGCAGGTCCATAGGGTAGCAATTGTATGTGCCCTGAAATGAAACAGAAAAAAATATTTTTCTTACTACACACACTGTGCAGAGATCCCCACCGGGGCTACGTAGAATGACGAACGAAAAAATGGTTTAGTCATATTTTAGTTGGACTCATTCTCCTAGAATGTGCAACGATTCGCATGTTAATTGTTATGTTCCTTTTCCAGGCAGAGGCGATTATCTTATTTTCTTTTAAATCGCATTCCTGCATAGTCATTTTTGCAGAGGAAACCGAATTTAGTGCAAATATGCACACGTTCCTCTGCATTTGTGGATGCTTAACAAGGCACTCATTTACGTACATTTTCCAGCAAGACGTACACGTAATTTTCCCCTATAAATTTTAAAAACTTTCCCTTGCCTTCAGGTGCTACAATTTCACACATGTCATCCAGCACATCGGAAATGGGGTCATTCGTGTGTGCTACTCCGTCCTTCACCTGCTTTTTGCTGCCGCATGAGATGTAGCTGCTTGGGTGCTTATCTATGTGCTGACTTTCCAGAGAGCTTTTACTCTTATAGAAGCATTTGGATTGCACTATGCTGTGACGGCTTCGATTGCTTCGATTGCTTCCTTTTTCGATTGACCCTTTTAAATCGTGCGAAGAGCTCGTCGCGCTTGATATTTTGGACTGCGAAGAAGCCGTGTAGTCGTAGATCGCTCCAAATTTGTTCTCGTTTCGGGCGGGGTGCCTGTTGAAAACTATCCCGCGGTCCTCATCGCAGTATTTCATAATTGCCTCGGCCATATCGTTCTTGTTGCACAGTTTTAAATAATTCACAAGGATGTCCCTTTTGTTTACGTTTTCCATGTTGGGAGCGTGGATTGGGCAAGCTGTGTGCTTTGTGTGGAAGAGAAAAATGGCCTATTTTAATTGGATGAGAAGAATCGCCTATTTTGCGTGAAAGAGAAAAACCGTCTATTTTGCGTGGAAGAGAAAAACAGCCTATTTTGCTCACAGGAAAAATTGCACATTTTACACCTCCTTTAAATGTTACTGCCGCGCACAAGCGGTAATACAAAAACGTTGTAAAAAAAAAAAGAGAACGCACACACAGCTGCCAAAGAAGAGAACTCACCAGTTGGTTAAATAAACACCCAATTTTTACATTCCACATGAAAAAAAAAAAACTTTGTAAAAAAAAAACACACAAAACATACAAAATGGCTAGATTTTTTCCATGTTTACCTTACCTGTTCATGCAAAAGTGAACTTTTTTTTTTTGCCTTTTTGCTTCACGTTTCCTTTTTAAGCCGCATGATGTTGCAAAAATGGAACTTGCTTTATGTGCATTTTTCCCCCTCGCAGAGAAAGAAATACAATTGTACGCTTCCATGCTGGGCGATGTAATACAGGATAAAAAAAAGAGAAAAGCTGGGATAATAATTTAGATTAGTAATTCTTTAAAAATGAGATTTATTATAGTTAATTTAAAGAATACAGTTACATTTCGCCATGAAAATAAACTGTTAAAGGGGGGGTGTGGTTCTTAAATTGTGCTACTTAACAATTTATATAATGCATAACATAGGCGTTGCATACCATATGTAGGGAAAATGATATGAGATGTGAGTCTGCACACATATATATAAAAATAGTTAACACGTGTTGTGCAAACAATTTAATGTTCAAAGGTGAGGGATGAGGGAAGGAAATTAAGATTCGATAAAACTGGAAATGTTTTGTAACCATGACATGTATTCTCTTTGCTCTTTGTCAATGCTACATGAATCGATAAAATCACACAACTCGGAGTCTACTCCTAAGTTCGCCAACCATTCATCGAGCGAAGTTTGTAAGGAATCATCCAGGTCTTCAAATTCAGGTCCATTATAAGCTGACACGGAATTTTTTCCTTCTTCATTTTTATAATACTTAACATTTCCAATCATATATCTGAATTTCTCATCATTCTGTAAGGTGGTACAATAAAAGGTAATGCCTCCTTGTTTGTTTGGCTTTTCAACGGTGACAGAAAAATCAGTCATTTCTGCTTGCGCTTCATTTTCTCCTTCTGCTTGAAATGGGGACACAAGTTGAAAATCGATAATAATTTTCATTCCATCCACATTTTTGGTTAACACCATGTTGACATCTCCTTCTTGTTCCTCAAATTTCCATCCCGACGTTTGCAAAAACTTCTTAACATTATCTGGTGCCTCATAATTCGACTTCTCATGTTGAACCTCTGCTTTTACAACTTCAGACAGTTTCTGCGCTTCACTAGAAACAAATCTTTTTGCTCCAATAACAGAGCTGGAATGGGTTTCTTGGTACCTTTGTCCATATTTCCCATGGTTGATTATGTTGGAAATCTTTCTCTTATTCAGGTTGGTTAGCTCCTGCACAGAGCTGTTCAGGTACTTCCCCAAGACTTTGCCTTTACACAAATTTGCAGCGTTTCTTCTCATGAAATTCATTTTTTCAAAACTGGGGTTTAAAGTGAAAGGTGTTGATATAACACAGTGTGGTGTGCCTTACTAAGTATAAAAAGGCTGCTTGTTTGAGTAACCCGAACTCTAAGCACAGAAAAGAGCTGTGTTCAGATGCTCACTTGGGGAGGTACGTGGGAAAATTGCCAGTAGGTTCATTCACTAACGGTGAGGCGGAAAAGGCTCTACAATTGCGTGTTATCCCTATTTTGGCTATTTTTTTTTTTTTTCTTTTGTTTCAAAAACAGATGATAGAAACACTGTTTAACGTTAAAACTGTGACATGGTAACCGTGTGGTTAGTTTTCTCAGTTGGTTCGCACGCGAGAAAAAAATGATGCCGAGGGGTTGAATTTGCGCGGAATGATAAATGTTAACCTATGACATCATGCATTCGTAAAATTTTCACATTTTCGCGATTTCAAAAGAAATAAAACGAGCAAGGAATTTACGCATATCAGTAATGTACATTTATTTGTGTACGTATGGGGCATATATATGTACTTGTGCGTTTCGGCACATTCCCACTGACTTTTTCCCGTATACACCAGTCTCGCCCCACAGAATGCGCATCTCAGCCATGTACACCAAATTTGCACCAAAAAAAAAAAAAAAACACACGACGGGATAAGTGACGATTAAGCAGAAAAGCGGTCACGTGACAATTTCGTTCCCTTCCAACTGACCACCATGTATGATGGTGTGAAAATATACCTCTTCGTTTTCTCCTCAAATGGGGACCCACACTAGAGGTATAATCTGCGTCTCGAAGCGAAGAGGCCTACATGTACGTTAACGTCAGATGAATGGATAAACTGTACTTACTAGCGAAGTATGTGGGTATGTTGCGATTTGTAGGGCACTGTTACAAGTGCCTCCCAGAAAAAAGTGTTAAAAATGGGTGCACTCATAACGGTGATGAACCACAACCTTTGCAGATGGGCACTACATTTTCTTCGCCAGCTTGTATGGAGCGACAAAGTGTGGCGCTTAAAAAAAGAGGACTATACTAACGTGGTACATTCTTGGTACTTATTTGCGTATATATGTGCTTACGCGCGCCGCTTAACCCCGCAGTGGTACGAAGCGCCTACGGTCATATAGATCCCGACTTTATAACAAATCGAAAGGGCAATAAAAATAAACAAAGTCGCTTTATGCATAGAGGATAAAGAAAAAAAAAAAAGAAAAAATTCCTATTTTTTTTTTTATGGCGATTTTGTATACTATACTTAAAATTAAAATCCTTTTTAAGCGAATTAAAAATTTTATTTTTAACTGATGCGAGAGAGGAGGTTTGATAGCTTTGCAAGTTTACAATTGAGTGAAATGAACGCATATCTACGTGGGAATACTTAAAGTGGGGCCCACTGAGAAGGCGGTAAAGTTTATGTAGCCAAGGTGGGCGTTTTAAATGCGCCATAAGATGGTATAATTATTTGTGTAAAGAACACGGTGACAACTGAGTAAGGTATACGACACTGTCATTTGTGCGATTTATGCGATTTGCGCGATCTGCGCAATTTGCGCTATTCTGTACAGCGCTCGACTTGTCATTTGTGGTGGCACACTGCTCACATATCGTGCCAAATAACAGCAGTTGATTTAGTGGCATAAAAGAGATTCTGCTTCGGGTGAGGGGCTCTCAGCAGCGTATGCACACCGCGAGGAGCACACATATGTGTGGATATATATATGCTTATATGTGCGCATATGCCTATGTATGTGCATATGCCTATGCATGTATGTCCATACCAACGCCCAAGGGTGCCTGCGCAGAAGAGACGATGAACCCCGCCCCGTGTTAAGGATCATACGCCATATTTACAGAGTCGATAAGGTTGGGTATAGATGCATCTATACCCGAAAAAAAATACAAGGAATGATAATTTTGTGAAACTACACCAAAGTTGCGAATGCTGGAGCTGTTTAAAAAAAAAAAAAAGGCGACTTGATTTTATGGCTAAAATTCCTACAAACGATTTCGCCTCGTTTTTTTCTATTTTCAACCTTTGTAAATTTCCTTGCAAGAGCGTCCTTCACTGTACCAAATTGTAAAACATTTCCTGGTTAGCGTTTTAATGTCTAACTCCCCACGTAGAAGGAACATACTTCTGAAGAAGCAAAATTGGTGCTCAAGCGAAGAAAAGTTTTCAAGTGTTGGATTATCTTACAACATATAAAATTAAACACACTGCTACGCCCCTGTGTAGGAATGTAAATAAATGCGGACGTTTTACATACATAACGGAAGTCTTCTCTTTCATATAGATTTTTTTTCCCGCCTTTTGAGGAGTGTGCATCCCATCATCGCACAATCGTACAAATTATAGCAGCAACTTTCCCTGCACAGAAAAAAAGGGGCATATATATTTTTTTTTTTTTTCCCATTTTGGGTGATATGTTTTAGAAAATGTTACAAGAAAGAGACTTAGCGAGAGAGCCATGCCCTGACAGAATCATAGAAGATATGGGTGGCGCCTTTGGCATGGGTTGCATAGGAGGGTACATATGGCATTTTTTAAAAGGCGCAAGAAATAGCCCCCAGGGGGATGTGTTAAGTGGCGCTTTGTATAGCGGGCGTATGAGAGCCCCGATTTTGGGAGGTAACTTTGCCGTGTGGGGAGGCACATTTAGTTGCTTCGATTGTACATTTCAGTATATACGGAAAAAAGAAGACCACTGGAATGCCATAGGTAGTGGGTTTTTCACCGGTGGTGTCTTAGCCATGAGGGGTGGTTGGAGATCTGCTTCCAGAAATGCCATCGTCGGTGGAGTTCTGCTAGCCATTATAGAAATCGTTTCGCTCGTATTGACCCGTAAGACAACACCGACACCTAGACAGCAATTTCAGCAACAAATGGAGTTGGAAAAAAAAATGGAGTCCAAAAATAGCAGATAATAGCCGCGTATGTTTACGTGATCGTGAAATGTTATGATATTTGTTCTGTGCCTAGTGATGTGTCAGCTCCTATGTACAGCCTAATCTTTCCCCCACCACCGTTAACCAGTATGTGTCTGTATACCCTTATCAATTTTAATTAACACCCTGCTCACGGGTGGTAGCTGCGTGCGTACGTACATGCATGTGGCGCATTTCAAAGGTGGAGCTTCTCTCTGTCTTTTTTTTTTTTTTTTTTAATTCTGTGCCTTCTGCTACCTCATTGTTGTGGTGCATATGCCTCTACGCGAGAGCTGCTCCACATGTGTATGTGTGCATACCACGGGTCGCTTCTCCCCCCGCTCGGCTGCTTCCCTCGCGTTGCCATTTTCCCAAAGCTGCATGTTTCAAAATTCACCATTTTTGTTTTATTTTTAAGTGGAATTAATAACTATTCGTAATGGTGCGTTGGTACATGTGCATGGCGTTGCGTTTAAGCGGTCTTTGCGCGGCCGCTGTATGGCCGTTACTCTGCCACTGCGCGACCATTTATGATGCCCGCTGTGCGCATTATTGCTCCCTACTTATTTATTTACTTACGTACTTATGCTGTTTTTTTTTCTCTTCTTTTTTTTTGTCTTCTGTAACACACGAATTTTTTAATATCGAAGCCTTCCAAAAAATGGAAGAATAAAAATGTGTTAAAATGGTTTGATTTTCCATTTTGAGTTACCATTTTGGGTTACCATTTCGGATTACCATTTTGGTGTAGGGCCTTTCCGCGGCCCCCAATAGGACCGTCGCACTCCGTTGCGTACCTTCCGCACGTTCCGCAAAATTAAGCCATAGTGCCAAACGAATAAGTTATTAAAAAGTGAACTAAATGTGTTGGTTGAGAGTTGCTTCGAATAGGGTTTCCACATTTGACGTGGCCTGTGTATATTCCCCAACAAAACTTTCGAGGCGCGCTCGTGGGGATATGCGGTGCGGTGGTGTTAAAAATGGTTTTGGATGAGCCTTACGAAGCGGGAAAAGAGCAGTCGCAGTCGCGTACGCTTTGCGGGTGTGGTTCCCTCGCGATGAATTAAAGAAAAAGGGGGAAAACGCTTTTTTCATTTTTTTTCCTGCTGGGAGCGGAAAATATTTTACAAAATTGGCACTATTTTATGCTATGCTGCGTATAGGTTTCCTCGCACAGAGTAGGAGCGCCTACCTGATGGGATAATATGTCCCCAGCTAACACCCACTACCACCACCGCCTCGATGAACAACACAGGCCCACAGTTGGGCGAATGGAACATTTCGTCGTAGCGCGTAGGTTCATCTAGCCAAGGTGTACTTAAAATGTGACCCTTGTTGGGGGTTCTTTTTTTTTTCCCAACAGATGGGTAGCCCCACTTTTGTACCAAGTACACGTAGGAAAATAATGTCACAAAGATAGTGCCATGCTGTGATGTCAACGTTGCGCTGCATATGCAGAGGGGGGGAGGTTTTCCGCTGGGCGCTCCCCTTCCGCGTGGTCAGAAGTCTGGCCCCCGAGACAAAACCTCCTTACACGTCGGGCGCAGCAAAATGGTGTGCTCCATTTGAGACGTAAACGAGTTCTTCACATCACACAGGGGGGGATACGGCTCCACGATGTTTAAATCGATCAGCGTCTTTAGGGCCATAAAATGTCTCTTCTGTCCCAAGTCATCCAACCATCTATGACAGAACGGCAGCGTATCAAAATTGTCGTTAATAACTTTTAAGAGCGTCTTTGCAGAATTTAATCTAATGGGAACAAATTGTTTATCTGGATTTCTCATGTAATGGGAACATTCATTATCGTGGGTAACATAACCCTTACCAGTGGATGCAAAGGTTTCGATGGCAAATAGTTCACCCTCTTCCATGATTTCATTTTTTTCTTTCTGTTTGACGATGGGGACACATTTGCCCCCATGAATAATATACTTATTAATGGAGTGTCCTCTGAGATTTGAAATGGCTTTAATGGGATAAGTCTTCTGGTTTAATTCGATTTCGTATGACTCGATAGCTTCTTGGATTGCTTCTCCTATGTCGCACATTCTGGCATCAATTCCTGCCTCTTTAATGCCTGTGTTTGTTCCATCCTGAGTGGCCTTAATAAGGTTATCGTACTTTTCGTTAAAAGCAATGGTAAAAGCACAGTCTATTATGTAGCCATTCACATGTACTCCGAAATCTAACTTGCATACATCATCATATTTTAAAACCGTTTCGTCTCCATAATTTGGAGTGTAATGAGCTGCACAATGGTTTAATGAGCACCCTGTTGGGAACCCCCAGCCACAATTTAACTTATGAGATAAAATCAATTCTTTCGTTTTTTTTTCTGTCTCTTTTACTATGTCAATCATTTTTCTTCCCGGTTGGACATACGTCTGTATGTATTTCCTAACTTGTCTATGACACTCTGCAGCTTTTCTTAGATCTTCATAAAAATCCGAACTTAATTTTTCGACCTCTTTCTTTTCTTGCAGTGTTTTTCCACTAAGGACATGTTTATAGTTTTGAATTTCCCCAACTGGGTAGTTCTTCCCTTGGTAAACCATTTCTATTGGCACCGTTGCCGGGCTTGTTTGTATGCTCCTTTCTACTTGGGGCCAATTCTTTAGTAATCTTATGTGGCTATTATTTTGCTCCTCCACTAGGTGTTCCTTCAGGGTGATGTTTTTTTTTATTCTTTCTATTTCGAACTCGTCAAGGTCTATTTTGTATTTCTCCTCCGCCTCTACCGCTGCAGCTTCGTCTTCTCCGCCGCACTGCCCATTTTGGAGGGGTCCCCCTTGGTTTTTTATTTCGCTTTTGAATTCGCTCAGAATGAGATCCAGCTTGTCCACTTTCTTCTTGATCTTCTTCGCGGGGGTCTTTCCGCCGTTTGCTTTGTTGGTGGCTCCTTTGTTGGTGGCTCCTTTGTTGGTGGCTCCTTTGTTGGTGGCTCCTTTGTTGGTGGCTCCTTTGTTGGTGGCTCCTTTGTTGGTGGCCGCTTTGTTTGCAGCTGCTTTATTGGCAGTTTCTTTGTTGGCACCTTCTCTGTTGGCAGTTTCTTTCTTCATCGCTCCCTCATTGGCAGTTTCCTTGTTCAGGGCTCCCCCACTGGCAGTTTCCTTGTTGACCACCTGCACATCGGCGGACTCCCTCTTTTCGTTCTTCTCCTTGGTTGTCGTCTTATTCCTTGGGATTGGCAACTCGCCGCCTTGGGCGCCCTTACTCTTTCCATTGCTCTTCGTGGGTTTCTTCTTCGCGCTGGTGGTGCTGCCCTTCGGTCCCCCCCTGTTACTTCCTTTCATCTTGATTGAATCGCTCCTTGGAGAGTATACTCCTCTTGGGGTGAGCACACAGTTACGCCTGTTTGTTTAGCAAGCGCATGCTTGTCGTATGCCACTCGTGCGGGGGAAAAGGAACCTCCCGCTGTTTTTATGATTCTGCCCGTTAGCGATCAGCCACTTTGTTGCTTCTTTCCCTTAGCGATCTTCCACTTGGTTTCTTTTTTTTTCCCCTTCTGCACAATTTCAAAAATTTTTTTTTGGAAAAAGCACCCCTTTGCCCTGCGCGCTGCCCTTTTGGGTATTTCCGTTGCCAATGTTTTTGGCTTTTTGGCTGTTCAGCTGTTTCGCTGCTTGGTAGAACGGCTGACAGGGGGCGGCGTTTCTGGTGGCACACTGCTGACTAACTAAATGAATAAGTAAATAATAGAGTAAATAAAAATACATACATAGATAAATACATATACATGTATGTAAATGCGCGTGCATACTTTGTGACGTATTTCCCCGCGGTCGGCGTCGCAAGGTATGCATTATTGGGAGTATTTCCTTTTTTTTTTTTTTTTTTTTCGCTGTTTCGACCCCACTGCGGGCATACCACATATAACATCCAAAATGTATTCCTACATCTAACGCGCATGTAGCTTTGCCCTGGGCCTTGGCTTGCTATCTTTTTTTTTTTTTTTTTCCGCATCATTTGTTCTTTCCATTTCGAGATTGGCAACTTGTGCCGAGGCGCCCTGTATACATAAGTATACAAAAATATGAACAAACTTGGAATTTTTTTTTTTTTACTATGCCGCAGTTTCTTTCTGTTTCATTTTTTCACAGCACATTTTTAACGATCTTATTTGTGAACCTTTCATTTGTAATTTCCATCCTTTTATGTTTTACAAACATACGTACGAAGTATATACATACGTTCTACGTATGTTTTCCTTGCTGAACGTTGCGGAGGTGCGCTTTGTTTTTAAAAGTTACCAGCGCGCCAACGTTGTCAGGATATCTTTCTTGTGCGCCCGGCAGATGGTTGGTTATGTGGCCATCCCCTCTGCCAAGCGCCTCAGTTTGCATAATAATTGTGCAACCATAGTGTTGTGAGTGTTTTCCCCAGTTGTTCTGCCCTCGGGGGTGACAATCTCTGCATTCCCGAAGGGGGGAGGAAGCACCAACCATTTTGGAGAAGAAAGAGTACAGAAAAAAAAAAACAACAACAAAGAAGAAGAAGAAAAGAAGCCTTCAAAAGTGGCACATAAAATACATTTTGTATCACCACGCATCAACGGAGAAAGTCACCCCTGCGTTATATGCTTATGTGCTACCTACCGTAGTGTTCACCTTTTTTGTCATTCGTTTGCTACTTTGTTTTCCAGTCTCTTTGCCACTTTGTTTGCTACTTTTTTTGTCACTTTGTTTGTCACTTTGTTTGCTACTTTGTTTGTCACTTTGTTTGCCACTTTGTTTGCCACTTTGTTTGCCAGTCTTTTTGCCAGTCTTTTTGCCAGTCTTTTTGCCAGTCTTTTTGCCAGTCTGTTTTCCACCTTCTTTTCCATTTTGTGCACCCCTCGCGTAGTTACATGCCTCCCATTCGAGCGCGTTAATTAAAAAATTTGCTTAGTCCAAGTGATGCATTGAGCTCTTTTTTTTTTTTTTTACGGTCATGTAAATTTCGTCGGAGCGACTATACAGACCAATGCATGCACATATTTTTGTGCACGCCGTTTAACGACGCTTTGTGAATTTTAAAAAAAATGAAAACCCCACCGGAGAGGACAAAACTGTTGTGGTGCGAAGAAATCCTAAGCCACATCAGGGCAGGGAAAGGCTCCATTTGTAAAGAAAAAACTACTTGGACAGGCAGATCCAATCAGGAGGAAGAATCGCCACAAAGAAGGAGAAGAAGTAAAAGAGATTTCCTATACTTCGAACGTAACTGTGTTAAGCATATTCATAAGAATTGCTTCCTCCTGCAGAAATTGCTCCGTTATAAAGCGCATCCTGCGCGACGTAGAAGAGGTAATGAAAATTCCCCGTTAACCAAAATTGGACTGGTCACAAATGGAAGAAGCTGCGATGCTGTATGTGGGAAGGAAGCGAGGCATGTCGTGCACACAGATACGTCCGAGATGATGTGCACAGCCTCGGGAAGAAGCACCACGCGTACTACTGCCCTGAAGCACGGCATGGTGAGAAGACCATCCAGGGGCGTCCCCACGAGAGGACATAAACACACAGCCGATTTGGTGTTAACCGAGACCATCATCCTAACCCTGTTCGAACCTTCCTTGTTAAAAATTTCGTTAAAATATTTTAACCTCTTAACTGCGTCGATAGTGAATCAGATATTTCAGGAGGCGCTACACTTGGCTAGTTACAATTATGGTGAAGGTGGGGACCAGGAAGAAAGCGGAAAGAGCGTCTGCGTGGTTCCTGTGAATGTGACTAGAACAGGGATACAGACGACGACTGACCGAGGTGACACCAAAAGAAGGAAAAAAGGACAACACAAGGAGGAGAAGCGTATCGGTCCGCTGAGCGCACAGGACAGTGACACCCCTCCCATTCTGCACATTTACAATCTCATCAAGAAGTATAACATAAATGTCGAAGCTTATTTTTGCATGATATGCATGAATAGCATACTGTTTAGCAAGGATTCATTTTTTAAAAGTGCGATCGATTATTTTTTTAAGGAGGTGTTTCCTAAATCGGCCCACTGTTACGGGTACTTCGATGCGATCGTAACGAGGTACTTGAAGGAGCAGGATTCCCCACTGGTTGAGGGAGTAGCTTCCAGTCACGTGGGTGGCAGTCACGTGGAGGGCATTCCCGGAAGGAGCCCCATCAGATGCCCATCATTTAGTGCTTCCATCGCTCATTACTGCGTCCAGATGCTGCTCCTTTTTTGCCACCTGAGCTTGGAGAAGACGCTGGACAGAGCGTACCTGAATCTGTTGCCGGCAATTTTAAAGTGCAAACGGAGGAACCCTTTTTTTGAGGATTTAATTTATCTGATTTATTTGCACTATCATGGAATTGGGCGAACTGTCTTTGTAGAGGAATTTATGACCAGTCAGCTCGTTAGAAGAATGGATGTCACGCCTCGTGGGGGTAGTTCCCCCTTATTGGACTGCTCTATAGTGAATACACCTAACCACGAAGTGATTCACGACGCATCGCGAGATATACGACGCGTCTTACTAAAGCATCGATACGGCTTGCATAACTTGGACTACTTGCACGTGGAAAAGTTTCGAGTGCACAGAGAAGACAATGCCTGTGTGAAATTCTGCGTGGACATCGAATCAGTGGTGTATCCATCCTTTTGCATCAAAGGGATAGAATTGAGGAGGGCCCCGAAAGAAGGAAAAACCAAGTTTGTCCTGACGAGCAGGCTGAAGAGCATAATCGAAATGATGGTCACCAACATCTATGAAAACAGACCAACCATCCTGATAGGAAGTCAAGGTTCGGGAAAAACGTCCCTAATTAATTACATACATGAGAAAATATTTGAAAATGAAAAGGCGGAAAAACGAAATGTCATAAGTTTATACCTAGACGACGTGGTAGATTCTAAATCCATTTTAGGTATCTGGGAAAGCAATGAGAAGCGCTTCGAATTTAAGTTTGGCATCCTGGCCAGGGCTATGATGAGTGGAAACTGGATTGTGTTCGAAAATGTGAATAACATTTCTAGCAGTGTGGTAGAGAAGTTGTGCGAGCTGACTAGCAAGGGGCACATTTATTTGACCGAAAAGGGAGAGCACATTTACCCCCACAAGGACTTCCGTCTGTTCGCGACCATCACGGTGGGGGTCAGCAGCGATGGCGATGTTAGCCATGGTAGCAGTGTTAGCGGCCTTGGAAGTGTCTTCGGCCATGGCGGTGCGACGCGGCGCTCGAAGCGCCAACTGAGCGAGCTTGTCCGACTGAACCAGCGCCCAGGCCACCTGAGCAGCCTCTTCAACAAATGGCACACAGTGCACATCGGAAGCTACAGCGTGGAGGAAGTAGAAGAAATTGTGCGGAAAAAATTGAAGCACGCAGTGAACGAAAATTACAGGGGAGTAATTCTGCGGGGTTACTACAGCGTGAAGACCCTGCTGGAGAAGTACCCCCTGCTCAGAAGCATCAACCTGCACGACATGGTAAAAATTATCAAACGGGTTAAGAAAAGAAAAATATTTATGCACGAAAATGAGAAAACGAGGGCCATCCTGTTCCAAACGTGCAAGTCGATCCTCACGTCGCATGTACCGAATGGCAATTTGAGGGCCCACTTCCAGAAAAGACTGCTCAGAATATTCGACCTACAGGAAAAAAGCGTGACCAAGTGGTTACAATTGCACAGTGTTAATGACTACATGGAGCAATTTAACGAAACGTTGCGAAAGGAAAAGGGAAGGATTACCCTCCACTGTGAGAAAATTACGAGCCACTCCTTCCTGCTGACGTCCGTGCACAAATACATTTTGTACGAAATTATCGAAGGGGTCCACAATAAGGAGAGTATACTCCTCATAGGAGACACTGGAGTTGGAAAAACAGCCCTGGTGGATTACGTTGCCAAAATTTTTGGGAAAAAATTACTCGTTTTTGTCTTCAGCGAACAGTCTGAAGCGTCCGATCTTATTGGAAATTACTACCCATTCAATATAAGCGTAAAGGCGAATGAATTATTCGAAGAACTGAGAAGTCTGAATTGCCAAATTGGTAGGCACTTATGTATGAAGGAGGTAGATATGCTTTACCTCAAACTGAAAATCGTCTTGAGTGAGAAGAAATTTATCACCTTTTTAAACACCTGCCACAATTTTGCCAAATTTGTGGTCCAGAAATTTCAAAATGACTCCACCATTTTTGACATGCGCGTGGTGAAGAAGTACAGAATATTTCAGCACGACTGTCAAGGTGTGATCCATTTTTGGAGATCCGGTGGGGACAGAAGTTGGAAAAGAAGTCGGACACGTAACCGGGATGGTAATAACTCCCCAGCGTTGAAGCTCCGATTTGATAAGTTTTTTCAAAGGGGGGGAGAACAACAAAATGGAGGCCTAACCCAGAATAACTCATGTAAATCGCCCCCCCAGGAGGAGCAACACCAGGAAGAAGAGTCCAACTCAAACGCGAATGAGTTGATTTTCAAATTTCACGACGGCATCCTGATTGACTGCATCCGGAACGGTTACTGGCTCCTGCTGGACGAAATAAATCTCGCACAGACGGAAATTTTGCAACGGTTGCAGGGGTTAGTTGATTTGTCCAACAAACACTTCGATGTGGTGGAGAAAGGAAATGAGCAGGTAAAAATTCATCCCAACTTTCGTCTATTCGCGTGTATGAACCCTCCAGTCATCCCGAATTTGAAGAAGGGAAAGGGGAGCGTGGGGGGAGAAGCCAGGAAGAAGAGTAACAACGGGGGGGTACCGAACAGCGGAAAGGATGGCTCCCTCCACCAGAGCGACCACATCGACACGGACCAGGTGGACGATGTGGAAGAAGTAGACGAAGAGGACCACCACATCGACCTGTATAACAGTTCTGTATCATCCGGGAAGAAGGAACTACCTTCCATTTTACGGAACAAATTTACAGAAATATTTGTAGACGAAATATTACAGTACGACGATGTCGAAATGGTGGTTAAGCACATACTTAGGGAGGTCACTTCGGATGGGGGGTTGATAAAAAGCATCACCAACTGCTACCTCGAAGTAAAGAAAGAAAGTTTGAAAAATATGAACGGTACACAAAATAAGCCCATTTCTTTTTCCACCCGAAATTTAGTCAGGGCAGTACAGTATGCAGTCAACGTACATAAGAGAAAATTCAATCCGTTGCCGCTACACGCAGCTGTTAGAAATGGATTCGTGTGCAACTTCCTAAGCTCCGTCAGTGTGGATAATGAGAAAGTAATGGATCATATTTTTAATAAGCACTTCAAATGTGGCCAAGGAAAGAGTGCGCACCAGAGTGGAGGACCCCCAAATGACAAAAGCATGCAGATTGAAAAGAATGGTGTGATAAATTATGCCATGCTGGAGAACTACTATCAGTATAGATATTTCGACACGAGAAAGGGAATCACCACGGAGAGAAATGATCTGTCCCGCTTTGTAAAAAATTCGAGTGCTGCAAAAGGGGGAGAAGCGCAAACGGAGGGGCAGCAGCAAGGGCAGTCGCCGGTCGACCATCCCCGGGGAGGGGAAACCCAAACGAGTGCTCATGTGGACAAATACGCATGTGTAGAAAATAGCTGGATCCTTTGCGGAAGGGAAGAAATAAATCTTGTGAATATTCTGTCCAATTTTATAATTACGAAAAATGTGAAGGAAAACATCAGAAAGCTGGCGCTGTGTTTGAGTGGCTCCAAAACCCCCATTTTACTGGAGGGGAACACCTCTGTTGGAAAAACCTCCTTGGTGAATTTCTTTGCAGACATTACAGGGCACAAATTTGTACGGATAAATAATCACATGAACACAGACATAAATGAGTACTATGGGCAATTTGTTAATGACCCAAGTAGTGGAAATTTAATTTTTGAAGAGGGCGTTTTTGTCAAGGCAGTACGAAATGGCTACTGGGTTGTTCTAGACGAACTAAACTTAGCACCGTCAGAAGTTTTAGAATCACTGAACCGAATTTTAGATGACAACAAAGAGCTGTATATCCCTGAATTGAAGCGGTACGTTAAGGCACACAAAGACTTCATGCTTTTTGCAACTCAGAACCCAGCCAATAATAATAACTACCTCGGAAGGAAAGAATTGTCAAAAGCCTTTAGGAGCAGATTCATCGAATTTTACATCAACGATTTTGAAGAAAGTGAGTTGGAAATTATCCTACACAGACGGTGTGCCATATCTCCAAGTATTGCCAAAAGAATGATACGTGTTTTTGGCCAACTGAGGAGTGTCAAATCGAACTATAACTATTTTAATGATAATTTAATGACACTGCGTGATTTGATAAAATGGGGAAACCGATGCCCAAGAAGCAATGCGGATGCGTGTTTACAGGGATACTACGTCATTGCGGAGAAGCTAAGAAATGAGAAGGATCAGCGGACGGTTAAGGCTATTCTCAGTGAAAATTTTCTGCCCAAGGGGGAGGAACTCATCGTCAGGTATGAGGACGATCAAGATGTGCTCCTTTTGAAAGAGGCTTTCTGGAGGAAGATCTCACATCTGAGTGGATCTGCAGTTGTGGACGGGGGAGTGATCAGTACAGGGGAGGAAGAACTCCTCCAGCCGCCACGGGGAAGGTCCCACATTTTTTCACACGACGACGACGCGCGAGTGGAATATCTGAAGAATATGCACTTGGGCAAAAGCACAACCAGAATTTTGTGCCTGCTGTTAAAATGCTTCAAATATAAAGAATCCGCCCTGCTGATTGGAGAAACGGGGTGCGGAAAAACGACCTGTTGTGAGCTGCTAAGTTTCGTCAAAAATCAGAAGCTTAACATTCTAAACTGTAATGAAAGCACAGACGTATACGATATTATAGGTAGCTTAAAATTGGTGAGAAATAGGAAAGACAATTTCGAGAAGGTAAAGAAAAACTGCATTGAATTGTACAACGAAATATGGAGCCATTATGCGGACACTTTTGCAGCGAACTATTTAAGCGGCATAATATACGACCAAATTAGGGAAGTAAAGAAGGAAGACTTCCTTATATTCACATTATACCTACAGAAGAGATACCCCCTGAGCGAGTCCATAAAAAACAAACTACTCAAACTGGAGAAGTCCATAAATAATTTAAACTCCATTTTCACCTGGTTCGATGGCATTCTCGTTTCTTCTTTAAAAAAAGGAAATATTTTCCTGATGGATGAAATTTCGCTAGTCGAATCGGCAGTCATAGAAAGGCTAAACTCTGTGTTGGAATACGAAAGGACTCTATTATTAACAGAAAAAGGGGGGAAGGATATCCAAAATGTAAAGGCGCACGATGAGTTCTGCTTCATAGGAACGATGAATCCAAGTGGTGATTTTGGAAAAAAGGAAATCTCACAAACATTGAAAAATAGGTTCACAGAAATTTTTGTGCCACCCCTTGCTTACGACTCTGAGGATTACTACTTTTTAATTCTCAAGCAGATGAAGTTTACCAAAGTGAAGAGTCTCAAATGTGCCACGGCTGACTGCCTGCGCCGCCTCTTTCATCAAATCGGACAGAATAAATTCCTTACAAATGATGTCATCCTTTCGGTAAGGGACACTATTAAGTGGATTTCCTTCATGAATGTGTATGTGAGTAGACGGAAGGAGATATCCCTGCGGAGGGGGATCAACCCAACGAAGAGGACCCTCAGACGGTATATTGTGAGAAGTTTCTTCCACAGCGGTTTTCTCATACTGATAGACGGAAAAGAGGACACCAAGATGAAAGCGATTTTGAAAGAACTACTGCGGAGGAGCTTGCTAGACTGGGCTTCTTCCTCCCTTAATTGTAACCTGGCCAAGAAGGGGGCACAGAAAAGTAGGGAACTTGCCCTGGTGGAAGCCCTTTTCGACCAAAAATACCATTTTACGTTTAAAAGAAAGTACCTCCAGGTGAACGACTTTCGAATCAAATTTAGGAGAAAACTTACCACCCCATTTGCTGAGTTCGCACAAAATTGCCAATTCGTATTTGACACGCCAAACATTAAAAAGAATCTATTCAAAATTGTCAGAGCAATGCAGCTGGAGAGTTCTATCCTATTGGAGGGATCTCCTGGGGTCGGGAAAACGTGCATAATTAATATCTTGGCCAAATTGACAAATAATAAGTTGATCCGGATTAATCTATCCGAGTGCACCGACATTTATGACTTGATAGGGTCCTACTTCCCCATTAAGGATGAAAAGGGAAGAGGTTCCAGAGGTCCGACCGAAATGAAAGGAAGCAACCGCGTTCTGCATAGAGGAGGAAAGGAAGAAGGGGAAGAGCAAGGGGAAAAACAAACGGGAGAGCAAACAGCAGACCAACCATCTGGTGGAGGCGAAACCGCAGAACGCGACAAGTCCCCATTTCACTACTTTTGGAAAGACGGAAAACTGATTGAGTGCATGAAGAAGGGCTATTGGATCCTTATTGATGAAATAAATTTAGCTAACCAGCAAACCTTGGAGGGGATCAACTCCATTTTGGATCACAGGAAAGAAATATTCATCCCAGAAACGAACGATACGGTTAGGAGCCATCCGAATTTTCGACTGTTCTGTTGTCAAAATCCGTACAGCGAAGGAGGGGGAAGGAAGGGCCTCCCAAAATCCTTCCTGAACAGATTTTCCAAAATATATTTTGAAGAACTGAACGAGGAAGATTACCTCTGCATTGTACAGAGGCTCTATGGCAGCTGCATCCCCAAGGAGGACATACAAAAGATTATCAGCTTGGCGTTCGTGATGAAAAAAATAAACCCCCTCCTTAGGGACAGCGAGTGCTGGGTGTGGAACCTGAGGGATATTTTGCGAATTTGCAGATTTTTTCAGGCCAACGGGGGGAGAAGCGGTGGAACTGGCGCCGTCTGCGACAGCGTCTGTGGGGGGGGAACCAGCTTTGTCCCTATCTGCCATCTCCTCGTGTGTAGCCGGCTCACGTGCGCCGAGGATAGAGAAATCGTGCGCTTCGTTATAGCGAACGTGTACAGTGGCGGCAGCAGTAACCGTGAGACGTTTTTAAGAAGCCTCTCCGAAGCAACGTCCAGGGAGAGCCTGCTCGCATTTGTGAGGAGCACCGAAGTGAACCACATGCGCGCCTTTTACACAAATTTGTATTACCACGAGGCTAATCTTTGCGCGGCATATGAATGCAGAACTAAATCAGGCCCAGGAAAAATGAGAAAGATACCACGTCAAGTACCGCCATCCACCTTTCTCCTATCCAAAGACGAAAAAAATTACTACGCATGTGAAGCGGTGATAAGGTTAAGTATGCCAATTCTCTTAGTTGGAAAAAATAATTCCGGAAAATCCACCTTCGTTAACCAATTGGCGCACACATTTGAGAAGAAGCTATTCGAATTTTCGCTGACAAATGACATGGACACCTTCGACCTATTCGGTTGCTACGAACGCAACAGTCGGGACAATGTAATAAAGAAAGTGGAGAGAAAAATGCACAATTTGAATAATCTCCTTTTGAGAAACATTTTGAAAAACAAAAATTTGAAAAAATTTTACCACTCGTATTTTACCAAAGGGAAATTCCAACGTAGAATCAGACGAATGAAAATTAACGTCATGGTGAGATTAAATTATTTGGCAGAGGAATTCATTAATGCGTTGAGAAAGGGTGATGTCTCTGATGATGGTGCCCTCTCCGCTGAGAGGAACTACGTGCATTTTGTGCAAACCGGTATGAACACCACGACGATAATGCAGAATAAGTGGAGGAGAAGAATAAACCGAATTGAAGAAGCCCTCCTAGACATAACCAACCTTTTTGAAACGATTAGGAACAATCACATTAACGAAAATGTATATATTTACAATGAAGGGAATTTTATTAAAGCCATGAGGAAGGGACATTGGGTCCTTGTTAAGCATGTGCACCTTTCGACCCCCTCCCTTTTGGACAGACTCAACAGTCTCTTTGAAGAGAACGGATACATACTTTTACACGAATTCGGAAAGAAGAAAAAAATCAGGCCCCACAGAAATTTCCAGATCTTTTTAACGTTAAATTCGGAGGAGCATTACAAGATTAGTAAAGCGTTGCGAAACCGCTGTTTTGAGATTCACTTTGGGGGGCCCTATTCTGAGTATGTCGGGAACGCCGTAAATTTGTATGACCAATCGGGGGTCAGCGTTTTTGCCAGAGGTGATCCATCGACTTTCTTCCGCGGGACTGATACGGATCAAGAGAATCATGAGGAGGGGACACGATCGACACGTGCCGCTGGCGGTGAAGCTGCCATTTTTGAGAGGAACAATGCGCACGATGGGCAGAGTAGTACCAACCCTGACAGCAGCTTCGTCATGTCTGTGGCGAACATCTGCTTTAGCGAGGCGAAAGGCCTCGAGCTAGAGGTGAACGATGCAGAGGTGAGGGCCGAAGAAGAGGAGTATTTGAACCTCGTCAGGAAGGGAAACGTGCTCCACTACATGATGCAAGTCTTTTTGAAGAAGATTCAAAAGGAGGTGCGGGCTGGAATTCGGGACGTCGGCATAAAGCCCGCGGTTGCTGCTCCATTTGCAGACGGCCGTGGCGAAGATGTGAAGGCTGAAATGGTGACCCTCTTCTTTGACAAGGCAGATCTGAAGATGAACTGCACCAAGATGATGGATTACGTAAACTACTGCTTCGAGCGCTTCCGAAGCGTGAAAGGAGTGAGACCCACGACAGACATTATACATTTTTGTGTAGCCATATCGATGACGGTGTATTTGATGGAGCACATGCTCGGGGAAGAAGAGGTGACAGAGAAAAGGAAAAAAATCGCTCGCATGGAGCAGACAAATTGGAAGCGAAAGGACATGAAGTGGCACAGAAATTTTAAAATCCATCTGAACGCATTGCTAAATCATAAGTTCGAAAATCACTTTTACCATGTAGATAATTACATCATGTATCTGTGTAGCCACTTTTTACGGGTCAGAAAGAATCGAAGAGGTGGAGAAGAAGTTGTTTCTCCTTTTAAGAAGTGGGAGGAAATGTTTTCAAATTCATTTGTAAATTTTTACTGTCAAATGTATTCCAAGTTGAATGAGAAGACGCAATTATTTTTTTTCCCTTTTTTTGAATGTCTTCACAAATGCGTACTGAGGACAGTACTTAACATCAGAAGTGGGGTCCGTCATTTTGTAAAAAGAGGGAATCTTCAGGAGGGGCTTATACGAAGAATGAATTGTTCGAACAGATTCGCTCACAGGATTAAGTCGAGGCATTTTATTTACTTTTATTTTCATTGCTTCATTAATTATGTTAATAGCTACTACAGAAGTTATCGGAAGGAACGGAAGAGAGGCACCTTCGCCAACGACGCAGGATCGTCTTCCCCAGTTTACATAGCCAGAGAAATTGCACTGGTTAACTCGATGACTAAGCTCAAATTGAATAAACTGTTTTGCTACTCCGTGTATTGCTTTTTGGAAAATTTCTCCTACAATGACCTCTTCTACAGATATGAGCATCTTCTAAACATTAAAAATAGGATGGTCCTTAGGGGGGATTCAGACCAGGTACATATGGTGAAGTACCTCGATTTTATTACGAACAAAGTTATAAGGGGGAAGATCGACTACTTTGGTGTCATGCGGGACTTTGTGTTTGGTTGGATTGGCTCCATTGGCGGAGGGTGTAGCGGAGACTCGCTGGCCGCTTCCAGGGATGCACTTAAACCACTGCCCGCCGTGAGGAAACTGCTGCTGGCCGTGGTAGACCCAAAATTGGCGAAGCGGCAGTACCTGTTTGAGGCGTTTCTCAAGTGGAACCTGAGCTACCAGTACTTTGAAAGTTACCGCCACTTTGGAAGCTCGCAATACGTTGCAAATTGCCAACTCCCTGGAGAAGAGGGGCCCGCCGCGAAATCAACAACGAAGAAGAAGCGCCGCGTCTGGATGCTAACGAACAAGTTCCTAATGCATGTAGAGGAGGTACTCTTCCAAATGACTCAGCGTGGAAGGAGCTCCCAACAGGACGAAGACGCTTTCAGTTATTACCTCTTTGTATATCTATTCACTTTCGATAAGCTATGCAACTTCAAGAATGATGTTGTGTACGTTAAGATTATCTTCCTGGTTGACGCCGTGAAGTACGCATTTAGGTGGGACAAGTATTTCAAGCAGAATTGCAGGTTGATGAGATTTTTACTAAAGGCAAAAAGGGCAGCTGTGCGGAGCGAATTGCATGCCCCCCCTGATGCGGAGATCCAAACAGGTAGCAACTTGGACGGAATTGAAAACTCTCCGTTGTACGACCTAAACAGAGTGAAGGAAAAAATGAGATGGTGGAGAAAATCTGCTAGCCAAGAACAGATGATTGTGCTGACTCCATCAATTGAGTACTTCTCCAACGGATGGGTAAAAAACATATTCGAAATTGTTAATAATATATTTATAAGTCATTTTGTGAAATGGGTGAATCTGGGCAGATACTACTACGCCATGGAGCATCGCTCCGTCTGCGGTGTGGAAGAGGGTAGGAGAATAAGTCCATTGTTCAGCTTCCTTCCTGATGGGGAAGAGGGAAGAAATGTGGATGATGATGTGGAAAATCTTCTTATACAAACCAAATCCTTCTCATACGCTTTAAAAGTTTTACAGAATGATCATCCAAAGGTAAAACACATGGAAAAATTAATTATGGGCAGTTTGGCTACCAAAAAGGAAGTGATACATTTGGATGTATTTACGTCGACGGAGGGAGTACAGCCGATGGGGGACTACCAAAATGAAGAAGGGATTGAGCAGGATGGACCCAGGGACCTCCCACGAAATGGAGAAAAGTCCGACGGAAAAGGAAGACAACTGTTCTTTCACTATCAGTTTATCATTTTTAACATAGCCTTGAAGTACTTACAAAACGCATTTGTCTATTTTCTAAACACGTACATGTGGTTGAAGTGGGAGCAGCTGTATTACCAAGCGGGGGGTGCACAGAACAAAACTGTGGAGGCGAACCCCCTAGGGGAAGCTTCCCACAGTAGGCCCATAAGCAACACCGTAGAGCGCGTAAAAGGGGACATAAAACGAATGTACAATTACCTGTGCGGAATGGAAAAAACCATATTTCTGCAGGAAGAGAAAATCGAGGTGCTGAGCTTGCTGAAGGAGAAGTATGGGAGGCTGGAATGGGCCCAGCAACAGGGACGGCAAAACGACGCCAAAGATGCCCCAAGAAATGCCCCTCAAAATGGCGCGCCCAAGGGGCAAACCACCCCCTTCGAGCTCCAGGTGACGTTCTCCATCATGGAGGAATTTCTCAACCTGCTTTACTGCTTCCTAATGAATGTGTATCTGGTGAGGGACAAAAGTTACGACTATGCAAAGGAAGATGTTAATCGCGTCCAATTTGGCCATAACGGGGATGAGACGAATTATTCACGTGGCTTTTATAGCGAACGGTGTGGAGCATATCGGGGGGAGTCCCAACAAAATTGCACGAATGTGCATCACCCAGGTTTGTCCCACTCCTGGGATAGTAATAAAACGATTGGGCCTGCCACGGATGATCAAAAGGGGACGCTTATAAAGAGACATCCTCACTGTGCTGCTGCTCTCCATGAAACGAAACCAAACAACATAACTTACGAAGGGTACACCCTATTTAGAGACATCTATGTGAACAAATGCTTCGACGAGACTAGCACATTCGGGCTGTATCCATACGTGTCATCATCCTTGGTGAACAGAACGGTCATATTCGATTCAGTTGTGAGCGTATATCAGGAGCTGAGAAGAAAGAAGGTTACCCTGTCTTATTTAAAAATGAGCAATTTTATCTTTCGGAGCTTGAAAAGGAGTTATCACCACTATGTGGAAAGGGCGGCACCTGACGCAATGGTGCCGCCTAACGTGATGGTGCCAACTGATGCCTGCCCCGGAGAAGAAACCTTTTGGACTATTAAAAGATCAGTGAACAGCAGAGGGCAAAGCAGCACGCGCCACTATTTCGCGTTCCACGCAATGACCATACTTTTTAATATCCTAAACGGTGAAGCGTTAAAAGGGGAAGAATCCAAGAGGGACCGATTGCTCCTGTACATTCTTGAACTTTTCCGCTTTATCATAGATGACAGATGGAAAAAGGCATCCCCCGAAATGTTACTGCACTTGTTGGAGATACACAAATGTCTACGCAGCTTGAAAGATAAAGTTCGTCATCTTGAAAAAATCCAAAAGTATGTCTTTGCAATGCTGTTTATTCTGTTTCGATTCATTTTAAGAAATTTGCAGAGCCACAATAATGCAGGAGCTGAAAGGGGATCCTCACTAAGCGCTAGCGAGGTGATACCCAAGTCACATGATTCTCCTTTCCGAGATACCCTCCAGCAGAGACATCCCTCAACGGGTGATTGTTTGCCTGCAGAATATACCATAGGGCACTCAGAAAAATGCATAAACGAACCAATCTTAACATGTGAACACATTGAAGGGATAAATGGTGAACCAAGCGAAAACACCGAAGAGTTGTACAGCTCGATGTATGACCTCTTGGGGAAGACGAACAAGGAGGTGCGACAGATGCTGTATCTCCTCTTTCCGGATCATCTCATCGCAGTCGATTTGACGGAGAAGTACCAAGAGAAAGAGTTCCTTTTTTCCCTGGGCTGCCTCTACATTTCGCACTATTTCCTAAACGTTATTTGCACCCAAGTGAGGAAAGAAATTAAGAACATTTTCAAACATATGGAGGTGAAAAGTTACCTGGACAAATCAGTTGCATCGTTGAGGGAAGAAATCTATATAGGTGCCCAGCACAACATGTACACGGAGAAAGTGAACCCATTTGCGCAGGTGTCCTATGGTGATTTCATCAAAATGAGGAGGAAGAAACAGTTGAAAGGGCACATAAAAAATATGAATATTAATCTGCCGCTACTACCGAATCTTTTACAGAATATAAAGAAAGGAAAGAGAAGAAAATTGGAAACTTTTTTATCCCGATGTGAAAGGAACAATAACCCATGTTCCTACTTCATCAAGGGGTACATAAGTAAAAACAGCGCGAAGAACATGCACACATTGTACTTAGAATTAAAAAATGAGCACAAGGAATTTATAAAGAACTTGCTACCCCTGGAGAGTATAGAAAATAATGTTCTGTTGGCTCTGATCAATTCGGACGATTTGATTAACCCTTCGCTTATAAACACGTGCCTCAATTTTGTACACCATGTAAGGGAGAAGTACAGTTTGGTATCAAAGTTTGCCCAGGCCATTACGCATTCGGTCAGTGTGCTCATACACGCAGTGCACGGGGTGAATTTCGCTATACTGCGAAGTAAGCAAAGTGGAGAAAATGGAAAAATGGAGAGAAGGACAACACCCCCTCGAGGCATCCTCCAACTTGACCGAAAAGGAAGCAAGAAGAAAGATTTCTACAGGTGTATTAAATTCCCGCTCAATTTTAACAAAATTTTGAATCTAAAAAAAAATTGCTATGAAAGCCAAATTGATGATGTGGAGTACCTCCACTTCGTCACGAAGATGTTAAAGAAACCGAAGAATATTTCCACACAGTTTGACGTCGCATCCCTGCTCCCTCTGCTAAAACGGATGTGCAGACAGATTGTCATTTTTAATGAGAAAGACGAGATGGACAACATGAATGAGTTTTTGAAAATTGATCAATTTAAGAGTAGGACCGCCAAGGAGATGCAGCAAAGTTTGGTTGACCGGGATTTTATAGAGAAGAACATCGAGAAGGAGCTGGACAATGTGTTTTACTCGCAGGAGTATTTTTCGACCAAGGCTGGAGTCACATCCGTTGAGTGGGGTACCACGGGTGTTGGAAGCGGGGAGGAGAGCTGCGAGGAGGGCAGTAAAGAGGAGGACAGAAAAGAGGATGGCATCGAAGAGCCTGATCGGGAATGTGGCCAACGCGATACCATAGAACGTGACGCGAAAGAAATAGAAATAGAAAAGCCAAACGAACCGCATTTCAACAGAGTTATTTACAAAATGGCGAAGTTATTCAAGGGGGGAAAGTACACCAACGGGAAAAGAACCCCCCGAAGTGAAATTGAAATAACGAAAAGGAGCATACGGCACACACTGAATATGCTCATAAGGCTGAATTGCGGGGAGGACTTCATTCGGAAGGATCCAAACTCTGGGGCGAAAAAAAAACGCGTCACTTCCGCTCAAACAAGGGAAGAACAAAACGGATTCACCTTCCTCTTGAGGAAGAAGAATGAAGAGAAGAGGCTCCTCCTTTTTACACTTAACATGTTGACCCAATTTAGCGACTTGACAAAATATAATAACAACAAATTTGCAATTTTTAAAAAAAAAATAGCCGAGTGTTTGCAAAACTGTAGGAACAAAAATCAAGTATATATAAATAACTATGTGAACCTGCTGGACGATAACTTCATGGAGTATATTTTCAGCGCGCTGAACGACTTGTGCTATTTGCTGATCAATTTGAAGAAAGAATTTGTACCCATTTACAACGAAAGCGGGAATATCAATGTGCTGAGTATACTCAATGGCATTAATAACATACTAAGTATCTCCATTCACAACATAGAAAGTGAGATAGAGAAGATAATTCATAAACTGGAACACCTGGTTAGTCTCCTCCTCTCAATCAAGAATGACAATTATGTAACCTTTGATGAGGTCACCATGAGGAGAGTCAGACAGGTCATGCGGAATAGGGCGCCGGAGGAGCTGCTAATCTATACCGTTTACTTCAGGCTCTACAAATTGAAGAGCGTAAAAACTATTCGGAAAAACCTAAATAGGAAAATTGTGAAAAAGAGGACACTCAGTTTGTTGTCCTATATGTTCTACCTTTGCTACGACGATACAGAGGGAGGTGAACACTTCAGCAGGGCCTCCAACAGGGTGAACATCACCCAGGGAAGTTCCATTGGCAGTGGAAGAACCCTTACCCAGGATAATCCAAATAATTGTAATAATCCCCCCCACTTGGAGAATCTTGCCAAGGTCAAAATTGTGAAGACATTCGAAACGCTGGTCATCTTCTTAAGGGAGTCCATGGTGGGAGAATTCCCTGCGCGACTAAACCTGATAGATTTTATCGCCCATCTGTTTAGGAACTCTGAAAGGAAGAGCGAAAGGATGATGAGCAATGTGTTTTCAAATGTGTATAGGTACATGCGAATATATCTGCCACTTATAAAAAAACGAATCGAAGATTCTAAGAGATATTTTGACGTCCAGCTGAAGAGCGCTTTAGAAAAAATGAACTTGGACTTGGTCGATCTGGAGGCGTACAAGTGGTCCATCATGAAGTTAAAAACGAAAATTGCCTACTTCGCCAAGTTGTATTTTCAGCAGATCAGCGTTACCGTGGATAAGCTCATATTTCAGAATGGTCCCTCCTTTGGGTCGGAAGGGAAAGGGCGGAGTCGTCCAAGTGGTGCCAATAGTGCGAATGCGGCGAATGGGGCGAGTTCCACTTTTGCGCAAAAAGGCGTGGACACGTTGGCAGACCCACGCGGAGACCAAGTGAGCCCCGATGTGCACAGCTCAAGCGGCTGGTCTTCTCCTGAAGAGGAGCAGCAGAATGGAGACGCTATTGATTCATCCGAAGAGGATGAAAGGGAAACAGTTTGTCAGAACAACGCTGTTAATGAGGAGGAGAACGACACGACTACCCCTGCGGGGGAAAGGCAAAACCGGTTCCACGACCAACTGAACAAATTGAAAGAATCCCTAACCCGGCTGAGAAGAAAAGTAAAAACGAAAAAACCATTGGACGAATTTTTAACAAACATGGATCTTCACAACAGCTTTGAAGATATTTCCCAAAATTACGTCGCCGAGGTAAGAAACGTATTAAATGTGCAATGCAGAGATGCTGGCATAAATCAGAAGAAGAGGTGGATCTACATACTGAAGCACTTCCTCACCAAGAAGTTAAACATACCCGCGTTGAATAACTTAGACAATTTTAATTTCTTCTCGAGCCTTTTTCAAAATGACGTACAGTTTTGTGACAGTACTAGGGGTAGTTTATTTCTCCTGGAATATCGCTGTCCTGAGGAAATTTTGGCCGAGCTGAAAAATTGCCTAACGTATATGATCGAGCAGGATGACACGTTAAACGATGAGGAGGTGAAAAATAAACAGATGAAGCAAGCAACTGAGGATGTGCTCCTCATGGGAGAGCAACTAAAGAAAGACTTAAAGAGAAACAAACTATACACTCTCCACTTTTTAGACGACATAAATGACATTCTAAATCGTAGTGAAGAAAAAAACGCAGAAATTCTGCATCTGACCATCTATATAAAATCTCTAAGTATGCATCAAGACATGGCAAATGATGAGGTCCTGTACTACCTTTTCAATTCCACCATCTGTGAATACTTTAACTTGAGAAAAGAAGTTAACATTTTTTACCGTCATTTTGTGTGCTACTACCTACTGGTGACAACCCTCCTGTGTGAGAAGAGATATGGACTGGATTATATTCTTGTCGACTTTTCCATTTTTGAGAAGTTTTTGGAAAGATGTAACCTCGTCAAGGGTGCACTATTGCAGGTTGTCAGCAGCGGTCTCGGTGCAACAGGGTCTAAGGTGGACCGAGAGCGAGCTAGCAATTTCTTCAGAAGCGCACTCAAGTGTGTTTATCAAATGGCGTACATCACGCACAGCTCAAACGAGTTCAGAATGTTTAACTACTTTAGAAATGGGTACACTTCCAACCGGGGGAGCAGGTTAGAAGAATTGGATTTCGCCCATCCCTCCATGAAACTCCGAATGAACGTCCATTTTTTGGAGTGCCTCAACACGTGCGTAAAATTTTTGAGAGACAACTTGAGTGAAATGTTTGCCCTGAATGTGGCTCCCTATTTTAAGGAGAAGATTCACACGCAGGTGGCAAAATTAGTTGGTCTCTTTTACCAGATGAAAGGTGTTTTACCAGGGGTCACAGCGCATTGTGAGTGGACATCATCATCCCCCTTTCCCTTTGGAAAGGACCCGAAGCAGTATTGGGATAACCACCCCACACAGGAAGATGAAGTACAAAAACTGAACGATCAAATGTGCCGCTTCATAAGCAACGTTGTGCAGAAAAAATCTATCATATATATTCGGGGGGACTACCCAGATTTCCAGAATCCAAAAAATGTGAATCAAATGTACTGCATGAAGGAGATGATCCAAATGTACTTAACACTTCAGACTAATTATGATGTGCTTAGGGGAAGCGAAAAAGAGAGCAAGTCAATCAAAGTATTTCACTATCTCAACAAGAATCTGTTTTACTTTACCAAGTGTGTCCTTGTGTACATGCTCGATATATTTCTGGGCTTCTCAAACGTGTCTCTTTACTTCCTAAAAGTCCTGAAAATTTTGTACACCAAGGGGCTCTGCAGGGAGGTGTCAAACGGGAAGGACGCGGTGAAAGAGGCAAAGGAGAAAGAGGAGGTTTTCCACAAAGTGGACTTCTTACAAGGAATAGGGTTAGGAGAAGGGAAAGGAATTAAAAATATTTCTAACCAAGTCGATAATGAAGATTTAGATAACATTTACAATGAGGACGAAAAAAATTTCAGTCAAGATGAGGACAACTTTGATGAAGAAGCGATTGAGGCTACTTACAATTTTGAAAAATTCTGCGAGAAGGAATTAACCGGAGGTGAGCAACAGGGCGGTGAGGATAACTCCCTCAAGTTAGAAAACGAGCAGAATAATTTAGACATGCAAAGAGAGCGACAAAGGAAGGAGGAAGAGAATAACAATAATAATAGTACCCACAATGAAGCCAACAAGAGGGATGGCGAGAAAAATGAGGCAAGCAACTCCGAGGCCGACCCACTGAGTGCAAATGAGCAGCAACACCCTATCGATGATGTCCTCGAAAAGAACAATAGCGACCAGTGGGATGTAAGTGAACGCAGCGGCGCGTTGAAGGATGCATTGAAGGGTGACGACCAGGGGGAAATTGACGCGGAAAAGGAAGAAGAAGCTAGTAGCAACGCGGGCAGCGAAACGGCCGAGAAAGAGAGACACCCGGCGGATGACCCAAATAGGGAAGCGAAAGAACCCGAACAACCTCTACAGGGGAACCGAACGGACGAGCCCTCCAGCGGATCCCTCAATGACCAGAAAACGGTCAATGTTGATAATGATGGTGAAGGGGACACCAGTGAATTTCCAAAGGGAGAACAAAATGACAATTCCGATTTGATCAACCAGCAACAAGCTGGTAATCAAAGCGCAGATCACCCGGATGACCCGAAGGGTGAAAGGAATGAACTGCTAAATGCAGGGAGCCACGAAATGAACAACGAATTTGACTTTAATTTGGACTCCAATTTTGAAATAGAATCGAGCGACTTTTCCAGAAGCTGCAGCGAAAGGTCCTTTGGGAGCAGGGAGGAAGACTTCGACGCGCACTCGGATGGGGAGATGGGAAAGGAAGATCAAGCCACTGCTGCGAATAGGGAAGAACGCGATGCGAGCCGAAGGAACGAATGTGAATTAAGCGAACAGGATCCAGGAGAAGTCGACATCCGCCACGAAGTAGAAGAGTTGGATGAGAATGCTTCCGACGGGGGCGAGGCCGCAGAACACTCCGATGACCCGTATGATGGGGATCAGTCGGAGATGGAGCAGCTGGACCAGATGGACCAATTCGATACGGATAAGCGTGCGAATGACCGAAGGGGAAAGGGGTTCAAGAGCGGTCAGATAGAACCGCAGGAGGGGCAGACAGACCCCGCTGAAGAAGAAAAGGAGAGCGCCGATGGCGCGGATGGCACGGAGGAGAGGGGCGACGGGACGCTCCCCCCAGATGATGGGAAAGTCGATGATGAGGATGGAAAGCAGTCTGGGGACCAATCTGGAGACCAATCTGGAGACCAATCTGGAGACCGAACTGATGACCATATGGATGACCAATCTGTGGACCAACCTGTCACCCAACTTTGTGAAGAGCCAACCGCAGAAGCCTGCAAAGAGACAGATTCTCCCGCTGAGCCACAAAGTCGCAATGAGTCGGTTGAGGAATCAGAAGGGGGGACACCCATGGAGCACACACACAGCAGCGAGGTGCAAGTCCAAAGGAAGCCAACCAGACCAGGTGAAGAGAACAACGAACGTAGAGACAATATTGGGGAGACTGTCAAAGGGGACATTACCGCAGAGGAAGAAATTCCAGATGAGTACCAAGTTGAAAAAATGCGTAACTCACCCCCATCGGGGCATATCGACTCGGAGAAGGACCACCACGAGATGGACAATACTATACACAATTTGGATAACAGACGAATTAGTAACGAACAGGCGTTCCAAAAATGCGAGGATGCAGAAGCGGACGTTACAAATAGGCAGAGCGAGAGGGACGGAAGTAGCCGCCGAGGGAAGAGCCACCAGAAGGACAACAACGATGATGAAGGGACCGGTGCAAACGACATTTCATTTTCAATTGACAAGTGCAACATATATACAAAAAATTTTGTCGACATAACGAATTTTATCGAAAAAATAAATCAGCGGTTGATGAGCATGGGTAGGGAGAACGATTCGGTGGAGGAGAAGGAGAAAGAGAAGGCGACGGCGAGGGAAGATTCCCAAACGGTGAAAGGAAATTCTAACGTAACGAAAGAGCAACATGATAGAAGTAAGGATGAGGAAAAGATTTGCGGAGACATGGTCATGGATTTTGTCAGCACAGGGGAAATGCAGCCCGTGGAACGGATGAGCGAGAGGGATGCCCAGGAGGGGAAGCCAAATGAGAAGCAGGAGGAGGACACACGCCAAGGAAATGAAGAAAAAAGTACATATTCGAACGAGGTGAATGCGAAGAGGGCTTCAAGTGAGAGGAAAGACATGATGGATATGAATAGCAGAGGAGATGACTCAGAGGAGGGAGATAAGGCGGACCACTTGGAAGGCCAATTTGAGGACCAATTCGAGGACCAATTTGTGGACCAAAGGAGCGACTTCCCCTCGACGGACAACGGATCGATCGACAGAGCCAGAGACGTTGCCAGGGACCCGTACGAAACAACCTTCGAGGAAGAGGCCAACAACGATGTGGAAATCGCCCAAAAGGAAGAAAGTATCCATTATTCCGAGAAAAATTTGCAAGCGCGAAAAAGGGACGAAAAAGAAAACGCAAAAAGAGACGAAGGCTATTATAAAGTGCATCGAAATGAAAAGGCGCTGGAAAGGGAGTACGTAGAAGACGGGGATGGGGAAAATGCTGACGAGAAGATGGTGAACGGTGGAGAAGGAGCAACGGCATTGGAACTCATTAACCAACAGGTGACCGAAGAGTATGAAGAAATATACGACCAAATAAACAACGAAACGGAAGTGATGTCGAGTCAGCTGTGTGAGCAATTAAAAATAATCCTCGAACCAACGGTGCGGAATAAGTACCAAGGGGATTACAAGTCGGGAAAAAAATTAAATATAAAAAAATTAGTAAACTATTTTGCCAGCGATTTCCGAAATAATAAAATATGGAAAAGACGAACCAAATTGAACAAACGAGATTACAACATCGTCATCGCAATTGATAATACAAAAAGTATGAAAATAAATAACATACAAAAAATGACATTAAATGCTATATTTTTAGTGGCCAGAGCGTTTGAAAAATTACAAGTGGGAAGAATTGGCATATGTTCCTTTGGAGAAAATGATAATGCAATTAATGCAAACAATGTTGTATGCTCCTTGAGGAATAGCCTTAATAAACAGGATTTTTTAAAAATCTTAAATCATTTCCAATTTAATCATGACACGAAGAATTCTTTCGATAATGCCATGTTGAATGCGCTAAAGATTTGCAATTATATCTTTAAAAACACACATAGCTCTACTCCGCAAAATGGAGGGAAAAATGTAGTAAGCCATTTAATGCTCATAATCAGTGATGGAAGATTTAACAAGAGTACTGTCAAAGCGGAGATTTTCAAATGTATACAAAATAATTTCATCCCAGTCTTGATGATTATCGATACACAGCTATCCAATAATAAGGCACAGTCCATTTTCAATTTGAAACAAACATTTTACAAAGATAATAAGCTCCATATAGTTCCCTACCTGCACGACTTCCCCTTTCCGTACTTTGTCGTCGTCAATGACATAAATGAGATTCCCACTCTCATGTGTGATATTATAAGGCAATGGTTTCAGACGCTTAACAGTAGGTAGAGTGGAGCAGCGGGCGTATGGGAGAGCGCACGAGTGGAAGAGAAGACAAGTGGAAGAGCAGACGAGTCGAAGAGGGGGTGAGAGAGACACACTTCCCGGGACACCAGCCAAAATGGTATGATGAGTGAAACGGTGCAGCCATGGCTGATGTTGCTTCAACACGCATAACTGGTGTCGCCCTATGGGAGGCATAACTGCACACACGTCCCGCACCGTAAGACAGTACCAACTTTGTCCGTTGCGAAACCTCCCTGGGGAGTAAAAATCCAAGTGAGCAATTTGTCCACACATATATACAAGATGTGAACGTTTTTAGAAGAAGCGACATCTTATGGTATGCACTTTTTTTTTAATTTAATTGTTGCTTTTGAAGATTGTGTATATGTGAAAGACGTTTTTTTTTCTTCTTTTTTTTTTTTCTTTTTCTCTTTTTTTGCTGCTATGGAGGGGGAGGCAATTCTTTCTGTTCACCATTTCCATCCCTGCCCACTTTATGACCATCCATCCAACACGCGAAATGGCTAAACTGCTCGAATATTTATTTTTATACACGCTTAACCGTGCAGCGTTTCGTTTTTGTGTACTTTTGTTTGTGTCTGGTTAATTCACCCCTTTCGCGTTAATCCTCATGGGATGAGAATATTTACTCGAAGAGACTTTTAAAAACTCTCACCATTTGTAACTCGTTAATATTGAAAAAATAAAAGGAAAATTATCGCGGCGTCTCGTTTTACCCCACCGACGCCCCTGCTGGGGGCGCATACTTGTGTGATGTAATTGTACTGTCTTTATTGTGTTGTATTTTTTTTTTTTTCTTTTTTTTGTCCTAACATTTGCAATTATGTCCACCCGCTAGAAGCGAAAATGGTATATGTGCTCGCACGCACGTACTTCTTATGTACGCATTTGCATACACATGTGCGTACAGTACACTAGAATATGCGTACATGCAAGGGGGCCCCACCTGAGCAGTCGACTGGCGATACGTTTGCTCATCGCGGAGGAAAAATTGCAGTTAACATTTTTAACTTTACCAATGTGAGAAATAACTCTCACATAACAGAGGACGGCAGGAGGGTGGAATTTTTTTTTTTTTCGTCACTTTCTCACTTGGGGGCAATTCGACGGGGTGAGTTAAAATTTTCGTTCGTTTCCCCTCTCTCGGAGGTCAACATTTTGCCTGCGTCAATTTTAACGGCGCCAGTTTCACCATTTTAAATTTTAAAACGTGGAGAGTTGTTCTGTTGTCGTCCATTTGTTGTCCACTTTTGTGAATCTTTCAGCGCAGTACGCCGCGCATTTATCATTCGCGTTTCTTATTTCTTACTTTTTGCTTTTCCTGAAGAAGGAAAACATGAAAAAATGTCAACAGGGAAATGCGGCAAAAAATGACATAAAGGCAACGAACGCATGCTGAGACTTTTTTTGGAGTATTTCAGCTCAGAAATTATTTGACCGATTTTTTTTTTTTTTTATGCCATTAAAGGGGGAGGGGGAGAGAAGCTCTGTCTACATGGGTGTTGTCTGCATGGTGCTGTTCATTTGTTAGCACATACGCATTCACGCTTGAAGTTCGCCCTTTATTGTTTTCCAGCTTGGTTGTTTGATTGCCTGGATTGTTTGGTTGCCTGGTTGCCTTGCCGTCTCGCTCTTCCTCGCACGCACCCACAAGAAAGTGAAACGAAAGAGTCAAATTAAACACACTTGGCAAGTCAATTTGGGAGAGCCTTTTTTCCTACACCATTTGAATATTGATTCGAATTTTTTTTTTTAAACATGAAAGAAAAAAAAAACGCGTAAAATAAAAACAAAAAAAAGCATGCCAAATATACAGCCCCCAGTGAAATGTTCCCTTAGCAGTTATTTTTAAAAATGAAATTATATCTTTTATTACTGAATTGTTTAATTTTTGGTAAGGAGCAGAAAAAGATGGGGGGGGAAGCGAAATGATGGAGTTCCCCTAGGTGCGCCTGTGTAATTTGGTACACCTGTGTGGGGAATATTTTTTGGGCAGGCTTCTTTTCCACGAGAGAGACCCGCACTTTTATGTAATTCACATGCGGCATCACCACCACCCCCATTGCTCCCTTCGCAGGTAATTTAAGAGGCGCCCAAAGTAGGAATATCCCGTATAAAGAAGGTACGCCTACCGTTCGCGCGTCTCGCCTGGCGCGAGGTGGTGCGCATACAGGAGTGTATACATAGGACTGTATATATAGATGTATATACTTTTGCGTCTTTATTATTGCGTCTTCATTTTTGCATCTTCACTTTTGCCTCTTCATTGTTCCCTCTTCATTTCTTCCTCTTCAATTTTTCGGCGCTACCCCCCACAGACGCAGGAGGCGTTTCCGAAGAAGCGATAAAAAAACTAAAAGAAATTAAAAAACTCGAGTTGGATATCCTGAAGGACATCGTGAAGCAGGACCCGACGCATGAGGACATCTACAAGAAATACCACTGCATCGCCAGTGACTACATTTCGCACGTCCCCAAAGGCAGCAATCCCAAGGAGACGAACCCAAATAATGACCCAAAAGAAAACAAAACGGAGGAACATAATTTGGAAAAAAAAGAGGAGAAATCAGAAAAAAGTTTCATAGAAAAAATTGTATCCTTTGTATCCATTTTTAGATACGATAACGTAAGCAGAATTTATTCTGAGAATGTCCAGAGAAGTTTTCCTACACCAAGGGACGAGACAGATAATGGGAATAATGCTGACGATGCCATATACAAGGAAGACAAAACTGAAATAGGCAAACAGAAAAACTCAAGCTCTTACGTGCAATTATCAGCATTAAGTTTAATGAAAAGGAATATGTTTTTGGGTGGCAAGGACAAATCTAGTGAACATTTCGAGGTGGGAAACTTGGGATCCTTTTACATGATTTTTGGGGCTCGTAATACTGATTATCCCTGGGCGTGCACGTGCGACCCTCTTCAGCTCATCGATTACAAGGAGAAGAAGAGAAACTACGTTTTGTGTAGCAACCAAGTGGATATGTCTATACAGAACGCCGATTTGTTTTGCAACCCCAAGAATTCATCTGGCTACTTTTACTTGTCCTACATTTTCATGTTTCTCATTGTGATCGTGTGCTTTTAAGGGCTGACGGAGAAGCGGGAAAAGAGGACTTCTGCTTGGAGAGGGCTTCTGCTAGGAGAGTACTTCTTCTAGGAGCAGACTCCTGGTAGCAGCGCACTTCTGGAAGAAACGCAGAAAAACGCAGCAAGCTTGAGAGTAGCAAGATGGTGTGTTCCACCCCGTGCCTCCTTTTCGCCTGCCTTTTCTTCCCCCTATGTGCGTGCGTCTGCACGCGCGCGTTCGCGCTATACATGTGCTACGTTTTTTTCCAGTTGTACACGCACGCCCCGACGGGGCCCCCAATTCGCTGCGTTGGACCCAATAAATAATTAAACAAAGAGAGGAAAAAAGGGCTAGCCAGGGGGAAGTGTACAAAATGACGCCAAAAAGGGGAACAATTTTCCTCTTCGACCTCGAGAAATGACAAGGGCGAGGCCACCACTGCTGTGGCGAAATGATGCCAACGTGGGGCGTGACTGCGCTGCGTCAGCGTTGTCAGAAGGGAATTTTTTCATAACGTGGTGTCAACGATGAGTTTTTTTTTTACCGTTCGTGGGTTTGTTAATTTTTCGTTTTTTTCGTTTTTCTCATTTTTCTCATTTTTTTCGCTCTTTTTGCATTTTTTGGGTGGAAGAATAATGAATTAGGGAAGAAATGCGGTCGCGCGAGACACAGCATGGAGGGACACGGGTGCCCAATTTTTCACGTAAAGAAAAGGCGACCCAAAAGGAATGGAAGCGGTGTGCGCGCCGAGCAGCCACGCCTTCATATTTCCGCGCGAATGGTCCTTTTCAGCAGGGGATAACCGCTTCGTTAATCGCTTCGTTCTCCGCTGAAGCGAGAAGGTGCCTCACCCCTCGCACGGCGCGGTGCTGCGCTGCGGCTAGCGGACCTTCAGTATCCCCGCGGCGATCAACTTCTGCAGACCGTTAAAAATCTTGGGGTCCTTTATATACTCCGAAATGGAATTCGGGTTTTCGTTGAGCCTCTGGAGGATGATCTGGAACTGAGGGTCGGAAATGATCTGCTGGATTTCAGGGTCGGCCATGGATTTCTTGAATTGCTCTTCATCTACCTTTTCGGATTTGGACATTTCGTCAATTTTGTACACACATCTTTGGTACCCTTCGAGGCATTCCTTATTGTTGGGGTCAAGCTCCAATCCTTTATTGTAGGCCTGCAAAGCTTTGTAGTAATCCTTCATAAAGAAGTGGAGGTTTCCCTTTCTGCTGTAGGCCTTGACAAAATTGGGATCCAGTTCGAGGGCCTTCATTACGTCTTCCAAGGCCGATGGATACTCTATCAGCTTCGTCAGTGCAGCAGCTCTATTGGAATACAACTTGGCGTCATTTGGATTTCTCCTAATAGCTTCATCATATTCCTTTTTAGCATTGGGGTAGTCATTATTTTTAAAGTATTCATTCCCTTTATTTTTGTGTTCTTCGGCTTTTTCGGGATCGATATAGGCTTCCCTTTCTTCTTTTTCTTTTTTCCTTTCCAGTTCTTTTAGGGCGTTTCTCGTAGCTCTGTTGTTATCTTCAACGAGCGACTTTCTATAAGCCTCGATAGCTTTATCGTAATTCTTCATGTTGGCATAGCTGATGGCTAGTCGATTATACACCTTTGCTACTTGAGCAAAATCGGCCTTAAAATTGTACCTATTTTCTATAGCGTACAGACAGGTTTCGATGGCTTTATCGAGTTGTTTCATCTCCATATATACTGCCGCTTTGTTATAATAGTACATAATATCATTTGGGTTTATCTTAATAGCTTCATCGTATTCTTGCAGAGCTTCTTCAAATTTTTTCTGTTTGTAAAATTCATTTCCTTTCTGTTTATGTTCATCACCTTGTATTTCTTCTGGTGATCGATTTTTTTTTTTCCTTTCTTCTTCTTCCTTCTCTTGTTGTTTTTTTTTTTTCCTTTCTTCTTCTTCTATTCTTCTCTGCCTTTCTTCATTATATGCCGAGTCTTCATTAAATTTTATGCCAAAAAATTTCTCCACTCCTTCGCTTATCTTCTTATCGCAGGAGGAGAGTATGTATCGAATGTTCATTGGATTTGCATTGATGGCCTTTATGGTGTTTAAAAGTTCATTTGGGTAATTTGCATTTTCTTCCTTGTACGATTTTAAGTTGGCGTCATTTTGAATAATCGTATTTATGTGATTAATGTATTCCATGTTTTCTGCCAGCTTTTCCTTCCTCACATTTTCTAGGGCATCTTTTAAGGATTTGTTATTTGGGTCTATTTGGAGTCCTTCGAGATATGTCTTTTCCGCGTTGTCAAGTTGCCTCAGTCCATGTTCTGCACACCCTTTCCTTATGTATCCTTTTGGCCAATCTTTCTTTAAACTTATGCACTTGTTTGCGCTCTCCAGGGCTTCATAGAACCTCCCCAGACTTGCGTACGCCCCCGACAGGTTGGAGTGTAGCACATGGTCCTGTGGGTCGTTCTTAATTGCGTTCGTAAAGTGAGTCACGGCTTCGTCAAACTTCCCTTCCTGGAAGCACTTGTTTCCGATTTCCTTCAGGCGCAGCGCCTCTTCCTTGTTGACCATTTTTGGGGGGCTTAACCGGGTATACAAATGTAGGTAATAAATATATATGTGTTCTCTATCGGGGGGTGTTCTCGGAGAGGGGATCCGGGCTGCTACACGGGTGTCCCTTTTTCCTTTGCCTATTTCACGTGGTACGGCTACCCTTGCGGCTATTCTTGCGGCTATTCTTGCGGCTATTCTTGCGGCAACTCCACGTTGTTCGTTTCCTCTCTTATCTTGGGCAACCCTCTTGTAGCGATGCGTATGGATTTTCCCTGTGGGGGTGGTGGCTCAAAAGTTCTTAATAGGAACGAGTAGGGATGCTGCTTCGGGAGCTCATTCGTACATCACATCGGCTTCTACAACGATGTTGCGATTTTTTTTTTATTTCTTCCCACAGCTGCTTATTTCTGATGTGCTTCTTTTTTTTTATTTTTTTTTTCGCTCTCTGTTTGGTGCTTGCACGATAAAGGTAAACGATGGGTTTGATCGCAAGTTGTACACGCGGGTGTTTTTTTTTAATTTTTTCCTGAGAATTTGCATCCCATGTGGCAGTTCGTCACGAACACGTTTTGCCGATTTGCTCCTATGCTGCTTCGTTGGCGCGCCGTTTTGCTGTTTTTCTCTTTTCACTGCTGGGGCTGGGGCTCTTTCGGTGGGGGACTGCTTAAATTTTTAAGTAACGTTGCTTCTTCCATTGCGCTTTGTCACGTGGATCTCTTGCGCAGTGCAGCTACGCGGGAGTGCGTATTTACAAATGTATATATGCATGCAAGTGGGGAAGTGAGCCTGCAGATGTTCGCCTGGAAATCTAAATGTACGCTACATATTATATATGTACTGCTTATAGGTACTCTGCATATGAATGTATGCCCCGTGCCGCCCGGGGAGGGTGCATCACCCAAACGATCAGTTCTCCTGTACGTTTCCGCAGCCAACCCAGCCCTCATATTTATTTTTTCCCTACAGTGCGGAAGTGGCTGGCAGATGCTACTCATAAATTTGATTCCGTACCACGCAATGCTTAACAATCTGCATGCTTTTTTTTTTTTTTTTAACAAGATTTTTCGTTCCAACAAATCGCCCACTTGAAAGCAATCGATAGGAAGGTTGCGCTGTAATCACATCCAGATACGAAAAATTGGAAGGGAGAGGAATCAACATAGCGCAGTCCCCACACAAGTGGTTATCCATTTGGGGGAGGCCTTTTTTATGTGCATATAATTTATACCTACACAACATACATGCGTAAGTAACATATTATGTGTGGAGTTTTTGCCCCGTATGCCCCTTTTTTTTCCTTCCACAAAATTATTACGCGAATAATTTTCTTGTGCGTATGCATCATATGTTGTGGATGACTATTATACGGCCTTTACCGCTTGCATTTATTTACCAAGGGGAAGTTAAGGCGACAGAAGAAGCGTATGCACGTTCCATTACCTACCCCCATCCACACCCGTTCATCCATTTAGTTTTACAATACGAGGAATCACTTTATGTAGACAGCAAAATGGTGAAGAGCTACGTGTAGGGGAGCAGAACCAACGCTGTTAGAAGAGGAGTCAACAACAAGAGCATACCAAATTTGAGAGGCTAAGTGCCTACTTATTTTGTGTCCCCCCCCTTTGTTTCTTCCAATTGTGCACAAGGCGAAGCTGCCACGTGGGGGAAACACGAAATGGATAAAATGGTTACTCATCTGTTCATCCCTTTTTTTCATAAAAACAAAGCGAGTGCGCATTCCTTATATGTATCAGCCAACCTTCTCTCGTGTTAATTCGTTCAAAGGACTGCCAAGAGACCGCTTCTGCAAGTTGTTTTGTCGCCCTCCTTAAGGGGGCGAAATTCAGGGAAATTTTTTCTTTTTTCATTTATTTGCAGCATTTACGAAACGTAAAAGAATTTCCCTCCACAGTGGTGAATCGCTTACATGTATCGCGGTGGAATGTTCGATATTCCCAAAATCGTTTCCTTCTCCAATGACGCATTTTTCGCCCCTTTGAAGAGGCACATAATTTGTTTAAAAGGATGATCAATGAGCCGTTTCTTTTTCCTCCATTTTGTTTTTCATCAGTTTGGGCGGAACAGTTTTCACGTCGCATTTCTGTGCGTGGGAAAATTTGATTATTTTACCCCCCATCGTGGATATTTCCTTTTGGATCGTTGCCTTTGAAAAAGCTGCGCGTCCGCCCATGGCCCAATTAAACGGGTGTACCATGCTAGACAGCGGATATGTTACCGTGACACAAAATAGAGTAACAAACGTCAGCGGTCGTGAAGCGTGGCACATTGGTCCAGCGCGAGCTGAGAAGTTCAAATCTGCGTAAAAAAAAAGAGCACAATTTTGTGTATGGCACTGTAACGGAATAGTAGTATAGTAGCATAGCAGCAGGGCATCATAACTTCGTGACTGTGTAGAAAAATCGCTATTCTGCAAATTCGCACAGTTGGTTTTAACAAACACCGAAGCTAGTACCACAGATACTACAAATCCCTCCTGTCGCCTAGGTGCAAGAAGGGGAAACCCTCCTCAAATTAATTGCGCAGAAAGAGGAAAGTCTGACAGAAATTCCGCCCTTAAAAGAGTAATTTAAAAGCATTAAGCTAAATGTTAAGGTAACCCCTAGTTTGCTCACACATAGTAACAGGCGATACGCTATGGCAGTGTGAAGTTACGGGAAAATGTTGGCACATGGGGACGGCCGTTGGCTAGGAAAGGGAATTCTTACCAGGGGGAATTTTAAATGTGCACAGAAAGGCAAATTTGAGTAAAAATAAAAGGTGTGTTTACATGGTTCGCGTTTGCGCAGTGAACAGGAGGACATTCATACGCATTACACATTTTTGTACATGGCGCTTTTTAAATCGCTTTTTGTGTTCGTCCCATGTTTTTTATTTTTTTTTTTTTTCCCCTTAATTGGCTCCTCTTTTCCTTCCTTTCGCTTTCCTTTCTTTCTTTACGTTCAATATTTTCGAACAATTTTGTACTTGAAAAAAAAAAAAAAAAGCAAAGAAAAAAATAAAAGCATATCGATGAAGTTAAACAAATTCCCTGCCCACATTAAAAAAAAAAAAAAAGTATACAATACTTCTTTAGCGGAAGCTAAATATCAACACCATAATCGAAATATCAATTTTTGGAAAAATAAAAAAATTCCCCTTTCTTTTTTATGCGTTAAACTCCAACTAAAGGAGGGAAAAAGGAACAGAGGATAAAAAATTTCTGCACGAATTTTCTGCATAGCCGAATAGCACAATGGCAGACAAGTTAACGGAGGAGCAAATTTCCGAATTCAAGGAGGCCTTCAGCTTGTTCGACAAGGATGGCGATGGAAGTAAACATAGAAAATACGCGAGCGAATTTAACATGCGAACATACACATAGGAAAATGCAATTGCGAAAGGGCAAGTGCGAGAGTGCCCAAACGTAGAGACTACCGAACCGGCCCTAGACAATTCCACTCCCAGGTGGCGGCGCATGCGAGTTGGTTTGTGCTGTTTGCCCCTACGGTCTGCTCCTGCTTCGTGGTTCCCTTTTACATCCAATAACACGCATATGAAAGACGCATAAGACATTCGCAAAGGACACATGACACGTGTTCCGCGTTGCTGCCAAGCACACACATTCACCTACACGCGAAAGAACGGTTCAGACGTCCAAAATCGTTTTAATTATTGACTAATGTGGAAAATTGAACTATGAGCTGCTAATGAACTTTCGTTCACAGATTAAAAATGAAAAAAACGAACACAAGTCGAGCGTCCGTGTTGTGTCAAAATGTGTAGTCAGCTAGCCAAAATAGAAAAAAAAAAAAAATATATTACCCGTTCATGTATTTTTATTTTATTATTATTATTTTTCTTTTTTTCCCTTCCCCCCTAATAGCTATAACAACCAAAGAATTGGGGACAGTGATGAGATCACTGGGGCAAAACCCAACCGAAGCCGAATTGCAAGATATGATAAACGAAATAGACACAGACGGGAATGGAACCATTGATTTCCCCGAGTTCTTAACCCTGATGGCGAGAAAAATGAAAGATACGGACACAGAAGAGGAACTAATTGAGGCGTTCAGAGTTTTCGACAGAGACGGGGACGGATACATAAGTGCAGATGAGCTAAGACACGTGATGACCAACTTGGGGGAAAAGCTAACGAATGAGGAAGTGGACGAAATGATACGAGAGGCGGACATTGACGGGGATGGCCAAATCAATTACGAGGAGTTCGTCAAAATGATGATAGCCAAGTAGCTGGTTATCCATGTGTGTGTATGTATGTGCGAGAGGGTGTGTATTCGCACATGTGTCTGTTTCTTCATATCTCCATTCGCATGCTTATGCGGACGTGTTGATGTTGTTGCACACAGGTGCCAAAATCTGAGTGCCTCTGTGTGTGTGTGTACTTACGTATGTGTGTGCATGTCTGCGCACCCGCCCACCCCCTTTATATTCATCAGAAGTTTTTCATTAATTTTAACGCGAACCAAATTTTCAACTTTTATTTTGTTTTACCTGAAGTAATTCTAAATCTTCGCTGGAAGGAGAAGCACGGAGGGAGGGGGATAGCGGCAGGCTTTCTGTAGGGTTTGCCACAAACTGGTACAGCGCCGTAGTGGCTATGCCGTAGCGGCTGTCGGCAACGCGTGGTTCTATCAAGGGGGAGTTTCTTGGGGGGAAATCGTGCCAACCCACCTTTTGTGTGTAGAGGCCGCATGCCCCCGCCCCCCTTGAGGCACTGAGGGCAGCAAAATTGAATTGAATTAAATTGAATTAAACTAGCCGAGGGGATTTTCCAGAAAATGAAGGGAAGTTTTCACCAAATGGCACAAGGACACAAATGTAACGCAAACAAACTGTTATTAAAACGTTCGTATCGTTCGAAGGAACGAAAAAGGGGGAAAGGGGCGAATGCAAAAAAATGCTGCGCGGCGGGGGGAAATGACAAGTACGCGCATTATAAAGGGGATCATTTGACAATGTGGCACGTCCGCTGCGACGTTTTTAACCTTTGGCAATGTTCATTTGGGATGGGGCAGGCTGGGCGAACGGCATACGCATCATTTTTTGCTCTAGTCGCTTCCACCAATTTGCCCAAATTTTCACCTACCCTCAGCCCACCGCTCAACCTACAGGAAAAGCCGACGCTTTCTCCTAACCCAGTTGGTGCCGCTCGACGAACCAGCTGGTGTAACCCAGAAAATTACCACTTCTTATCTGCGTTCGAATTTCTCGAAAGAACGAGTTGTACATGTACAGATTGTGGTAGGACAAAACGACATTTGCGGTGAGCTCTTGGCACTTGAGCAAATGGTGTATATACGACTTCGTTTCATTTCTAGGCGAATTATCCGTTATGGGGGAATAATCCAGAGCATATTTTGCATCATTTAAGTCTATAATGAAGATGTCTTTATTGTCAAAATTGATATGGTTGATATCGTGCAGTTTGTTTTTGCAATTTTCCTGCAGTGTCTCCATTTTTATGTGCATATTTATAGCCTTTCCATTTCTTGCCAGTTCGTAGGGGAAGTTCGATTCGACGATGTCTATTCCGTGATAAACGGAGTGTAAAATTTCGATGGGGGTGCCTACACTTAGTTGTATTAGCTTCAACTTGTCTGTCGGTAGGGCCGCTAAAATGCTATTCAAATGGCAGGTTCTCTCTTCATTCGATTCGTCGTAACCAATCCCACTTAGCATATACCCCCCAATGACGGTGTCGTACTTATTCAGCATTTCCTCCAGCGTGCCTGTGTCCAAATGGATAGTGGACGGCACGGTCACAATACAGACGGAGTCTCCCCCGAGTTGGTTATCCTTGACACTTTTTATTTTTTTTAAAAATTCCTCCATTAGTGTGATTATTCGTATTTTTCTCTTCTTTCCCACCTCTTCATTTGTTTTTATCTCCTCCGATGGAATGCAGAAAATGTCTGGCTCGAAGATATGGACACATCTGCAAAAGTCGTCTATGGAAAATATGACCGTGTGGTTATTCTGCTTCATCGTTATGTTTTTGTTAATATTTATGGAAAAATTATTTGTCAAAATATTTCTCACGTTCATATATCTGTAGCTGTTTTCAAAGTCGGAGAAGCTGTGAAGGTACGACTTGCTCATTTTTCCTCCATGTCTTGAAAAATAATATTCTTTCGCCTTTGTATATATATCCAAGTTTTTGTATACCTCCTGTAGTGGGCAGTTCAGGATAAATTTCTTCTTCTCTATCTTTCGCAGTAACTCCAAGTTGATATATTCTGGTTGTATGTCATTGGTCAGGATGGTCGTGGCTGGCGTTTCGATGTCCTTTATTCTTTTCACCCGGTATTGGGGAGGCTCCTTCATTTTGCCAATTTCAAAGGGGGGTGACGCTGTTATATATAATGCATGGGTATATACCCGAAGAAGTCGCTGCCAACTATCCCGTCCGCTGACCAAATTGACCGATTCACAAAAAGAACAGGCGAATATCTCCCCACAGCTGTATCCTTATGTGTGCTGGTTTGAGCTCTCAAGGGGGGGAATGCCTCCTGACAATTCTGGCAAACTACAAACGGGGAGAGGATTATCGTTTCCGCTGGCTGCCCTGAGTAAAGAAATTTTAAAAGAAAAAAAAATAAATATATGGCAAAAGGAAATGGCAACAATACGGAGGGATAGCATGTCGAGTGCACCTCCCCCCGGCACGATAACAACAGTTTCCCCAAAACAAAATTGTCAAAATGGGAAGAATGATTTCGCTCTGCATCGGACTTTATGGCACTATCGCTGCAACACCAAGCGGGTCTCACAGGACGACAACCTTTTCAGCCGAACCCCGCAAGTGAGAAAAAAAAAAGGGAACGCATCTCCATGTAATGCGAACTTGTAACAAGTATATAAGCACAACGCATCCTTTTGTTAGCCTCTCTCTTGAGCCCCCTTTTTTCCGTCACCTTTTTCTGTGCGGCTTTAACATGGGTGGTAAAGTAAAACAACCTCGACAACTCCCACCCTAGTGAACACCTAATGTAGCACTCACGTAACTACGATTGACGCATATGGCTAGTCCCTTTGATCATAGAAGTCGCAACAACACTCGTTTCTGTATAGACCTCTCTTCCCCAAATGAACGAAATAGTAATCACCGATTTGAGTTATAATTACTACAATCGAGTAGGAAACAGGAGGACGTCGGCACTGGAAAATGTGAATTTGTCGTTCGGCCGAGGCATGCGAGTTGTCGTTTGTGGAAAAAACGGAGCGGGGAAGAGCACCCTATTGAGCATCATAGCAGGGAGGAAGGTAGGACTGCGGCAACGGTCTCGCCGCGCACGTAGAGGTCTACACAGGTCCACACGGGTGCATATAGGGATATATATATGTACGTATGTATATATGTGTGCACACGCAGGTCCCCCTCCCCCCTTTCACAGCTCGTAAGGGAGGAATCCGTTTTGGTCTTCAACAAACCCGCGTTTCATGACACCACGCTGTCAAGAAGAATCGGCTTCGTCGGGGAGTGGTGGAGCGACGGTATGAGGAAAGACGAAAGAAGCACCTATTCCTATTATTCAGGAGCGAGATATTCCAAAAGGGACCCTCCCCCCCAAATGGGCACTCCCCGCATTTGTTAAATCAATTGGAGGTTATTTCGAGAAAGACTTCACATTGCGCTCTGTTTTCCCACCCCATTCACAGACTACGCCATGAACATCACGGTGAAGGACTTCTTCGCAAAGTACAAAGACTCGAAGAGGTACAGGAAGCTGCTAAAACTGTTTGAAATCAGAGAAGAAAAACTTATATCTTCCGCCTCAAAGGGGGAAAAGAAAAAAATTCAAATTCTTTCCAACTTGGTAACGAGAAAGGACGTGTACATTTTCGATGAAGCAACCGAGTCGCTGGACCTGATATCTCGGAAGCTCTTGCTGGAGTAGGAACAGTCGGGTCTGTCCGCCCGTGCATTTCGATACATGAGGAGTTATCCCACCCTCCCTCCTAGATGCTTCCCCTAAAGGGGGAAAAAACGCACACTCCAACGGAGACATGTACCAACCTATGGTGAACTCTCCCCCCCGCCAACCCATGCGAACGACCATATTCATTGTGCAGGTTCTTAAAGAAGGAATGCATAAAGCACAACTGCATCATCATTTATTCGACCCACATTTTCGATTATATGGAGAAATGGTGTAGCCATATTTTATATCTGTCCAAAGGCTCAGTTGCTTTTTTTTCCAACATAGGAGATGTAACGAGGTAAATGTCCGTGGGAAAAAGAGGAAAAGGGGGAAATAAAGAGGGAAAGAAACAGGGAAAGAAGGAGGGAAAGAAAGGTGTGACCCCTTCCGAACTGCGTCACAACGGAGATCCCCTTCTGTTGACACTCTGCATGGAACGTTTAACATGAACACTGTTGCGGAGATTTGCCAAATACTGCGCATTGCATCCTGCGTGCCAATTTGTGTCCCCATTGACTGATCGGTTGGCCCCTCCCCTCCCCGTTGCAGCTCCAAGGACTACACCTCCCTAGCGGATTATATTTTCGACCATATGATGGATGAGACGAGTGAAGAGCAGCCAATGAAAACCATGGAAGGTACGCCCCTTTAAGCTGCGTCCCCTTTGTGGATGTCTGCACAACGTGTATGTGTCATGTGGTGTGACCCTCTTTCTTTAAGTGTTAAAATCTTGCATAAAAATGCGAATTTAAAAATATCGCTTTTGTTATCGCAGATTTGTTCCTAGCAGATTCGGAATAAATGCGTGATTTTCTTCAGCAAAAATAGAATCGTTCTACGAGGACCAAATGAGACGGAGCAGCGCAACACAGAAATGCCACCCTTGATGAAGTACACCACAAGAACGGTTAGCGTAACTGAGTACACTGCGCAAAAAAAAGGAAAACTCTAATTCATCAATTTTGGGTGGATAAATGGAGACGTACAGAAAGGGGCGATCAAATTGGGGTCCCTCCCCCCCCCACACCTTGGAAGATAACAACGTTTTGAGAATTGTCACCCAACTTTGCTGCGTGTGAGTACCATTACACGTTCGTGCTTCTGTTTTATCTCTAGGTTTGCCCTTTCTTCGTGTCCACAACGTTGAACGGGCGAAGCACCGTCGGGTTAACTTAAAAAAAAGGTGCGCATAAGCAATTGCAGCAAATCCGTGTCCATTTCCGACAAAGAAAATGACTCGCTCGTTTGCAAAAGGAAAAACAAATCCACTGGATCTGTCTTCAACGTGACACACACGAAAAAAAACAAAAAAAGGTTTGCGAAATTGTAGAGCTCCAATGTGTGTATTTTCTCGACGGAGTTAACATCGTACACACTTTTTTCATTGCCCAAAATGAAAAAAAAAAATTTTTTTTTATCTGTCGAATTGGCTTGCTGATGAATTTTCACCTGAATGTTCATAAAAAAAAAAAAGAAAAAATGAGCAAAACTTTTCATCTTATTTTTGTACATCTTCATTTTGCTATGTTTACAGAAGTGGCTCCACATGGGGCTACCTCTCCCCGTAAGTTTGTTAAGATGCCTATAAAATTCATTTTTTGTGTGTTTGTTTTTCTTATAAAAGAGTTTTTTTTTTAAATACAAAGTGGGAATATGCGTGATGTTTCTCTTCCTCTGGTTATAAATAGAAATTAGCTGTTGATTCATCTTGGGGGGAAAAACAAAAACTGGGCCTTCTCCGAAGTGGGGCAAATCGATAAACTCTTTTGCTTCCCTGTCCATGTGAGCAATAAGGTAAACATTGCCCACCTTCAGTACGTTATGTGTGGCCAGCCCGTGGAGAAGCATTTTGGCATTCCGCACAGATTGCATATTTCGAACGGAATGCACATTTTGAATAGATTGCACCCTTTGGAAGGGGCGTCGACTAGCACATGATGGGTAACGCACGTTGAGAGGCAGCTCTGTGTACTTTCCGTTCTTCACAACGATATAAGAGACGAAGTTATGTTTGTCACTGGCTCGAATTTCATTTCCTTCCTGAGAATTTGTAACGAGATGGGCATGCGACTCCAAAGTGTGGAGTGGGTAACTCCCGTTCCTTTTTACTACCACCTGTTGCGGGGGAAACCGTAGAATATTCGTCCCTCGCGTTGGGAAGACAATGTCCTCATTGCGCATATGAGGTTTTTCCCCTGGAAAGACATTATTCACGCTTGTCCCCTCCACCCATTTTAGCAATTCGCTATGCCTCTTTAACTTTGCGTCATAATAAAGATAGAGCTGAACACAGTGTGCATATATTTCGTCGATGGATTTCCTCTTCCTCACGTCAAACTGGAAAAAAAAATGGAAAAATTTTTTAATTTTCTTCAAATTCTTGTCAATTTTTTTGTTAATCATTTTATCGAGTAGGTCTTTCGTCTGATCTATCTTTATGTACAAAAAGATGTTGCACTCATTTGTTAATGCTTCATTTGTAATCATCTCGAAAAGTAGAAAGCCAAGTAACCACACGTCGCTTTTTTGGATGTCTCTTCTTCTCCTGTGAAAGTTTCGCCTCTTCAACAGCTTCTTTTTTAGCAGTCTCTTCATTTCGTCAATCTGTTTGCAATATCGAAATGGGGACTCCTTCCGAATGGTCAATCTCTGGGGGTCGCTTCTTCCCACATGGTTATGACTTTTTTTATTCTTCTTCAGGACGATAATGGCTTGGCTGCTTCCCATTGGGACAACAATTTTAAAGTTCGCTGAATTGGCTGTAATTCGATTGTGGGCTCCTTCTCTGCTCAGCCACTTTGTTGCTAAACCCGCAGTTCTGCTGCGGAATATGTGGTTATCAGTGGCTGTGTCCCCTCTCCTTTTCTCCTTCCGCGTACCCATTTTCATCAGCTCGGGCGCAGCCATCATTTCGTTTCCCCTGCATGTTCGAAAAAATAGGAAATCCTTATTGCTGAAAAAGGCTTTACTTTCTCCAAAGTCGTTAATGACGATGGATGGAAGGTTAGGAACTTCACCCATACTGGGGACATGTTTCCTTTGGACAGCTGTAGCATAACAGTGAGAAGTGGGCACGAAGCTCATTCTGTCCAGATTGATCCCCCCTGTTGTGTTATTCTTCATTGGGTTTAAATTTTCTTCTGTGCTTCCACTTTTCGCCCGTCTCTCCATTTTTGTTGTTTTTATTTTTTTGCATGAATGGGTGAGGTAACTCATCTGGGGTGCAAAAAAGGAGGAAGACGGGTTGTTTCCCATTTGGAGAGGATTTTCTCCCTTCTTGTGATGTCCATTCCGACGACGTGGGGATGCATCAAACGGAGCTTTCCCATTTAATGGTGACACAGCAGATCTGTCATAATTTATCAAAATGTTACTTGAGTTAATGTCAAAATGGATTATCTGTCTTCTATGTATGCGCATAACGGTTTGCACAATTCGTCCGAACAACCTCAAAACAGACGTCACGTGTTGTAACTGGGTTACCCTGATACGGATGCTCTTTCTCAACATGGCATAATATAATGATAAATTCATTTTTGTGGATTTTCCTTCTCTGTATTGTCCCTTCCATTGGGGCATTTCATTTGTTATTTTTTTTAAAATTTTTTCTTTCCTGAACAGTAAATGTCCATTTCTGTCCATTCCCTGGAGGCGCCCAAAGGGCAACACATTTTCACGAACAATTCTTTCTCTTCTTAGCAAGTAATATTCGTGTAAATAATTTATATAATTTTTTAAATTGTCATCATAATGCTGCATTAGTATGTAATAAGTGAAGGTCCTACAATGGCCACTTTTTTTAACCCCGTATTGGTACATTTGGCATATGCTGCCATGCACATGTTTAAATGTTCGGAGGCATTTTATTTCATCGAAGATGTTTTTAAAAGCGTAATTTTCGTTGACATGCTTCTGTATCTTTATCAACTTTATAATGAATGCTTTATGTGGGAAAATTGAATGCGAACATAAGTGTACCGTTCCATTCCCGTCTTCATTTATTTTCCTCAGAAAATGCAAATGCTTCATATCGCTAACCACAGCAAGGTTGTACAGCATCTGCAGTGGGGCGTTACCCTGTATGAATTTTTTTACTCGGCGAAGAAGCTTTTGTCCATTCTGTTGGCTCAAATGAAGCTGCAGCACCTTCATGATCGGTATGTCTTCTGCGTTTATAAGTTCGTCAAGGGGGGCGTACTTGCGGGGAATTTTGGGAAAACTGAACGTCTTCCCCCTCGCGAGGCCGATGTGGTGGTAAAATCTGCCTAGAACGTGTTCATTCTGACCGTAATAATTCTCATTGAAGTAGAAGCAGTTCAGGTCCTTCCTACTGTAGGACGTGCAGAGGGAAAAGATCAGGAGGATTGTCCACGTGGAAACATCGATATTTTTGAGGGCATTCCCAATCGGTGCAACTTTCGCCCATTTGTCTTCCCCTGGACAATCTGACCCATATCTCGCTACCGAATCGGTTTCTTCCCTCGACGAGTGTGCCTTTCCATTAGTTCTGCGCGCCGAATTTACATAACAATCTTGGTGATCATGACGTGTCTCTGAGGACAGCGAGGTGCATAATTCGTTGGTCTGCTCCTCCAAAATGGGGGACTTCTTCTGGATGAAGTACCTTGGGGAGCGGTTCTGAAGACGATTTAATGCAAGGGGGCGAACAAAAATTTCTTTCCCCACCTTTCTACTTCCTACACTATTAGGGTTTCCTGACGGGGGGCTCAAAATGCAGAGGTGGTTATCTTCTTTATTTGTTTCCCTCCCACTGGTGTTACTTTTGCTCCCTATACGAAGAGATTGTTCCTCCCCTTGCTTTCGCATGTCAACTGCTTTGGGTGAGACGCCGTCGGAATGGTCACCGCTGCCATTTTCTCCGAGACAGTGCAGGATGAATTCCAAAATTCTCACCTTGTAAAAGTAAAACTGCAAAAGGAAATTCTTCTGCTCCGATAGGGAAAACAAAATTTTTAAAAATATCGTCAAGAAGGGGGTGGCCCCTTGGGACCTTTTTGCACAACACATGATGGTGAAAAGCAGAAAGTACTTCTTCCCCATATGTATGTAAAACTTGTTTTTTATTTTTCCAAATTTTTCTTTAAAATGGGACAACCATGTCGCTTTTCCTTTTTCTCGAAATGATTCCTCCCCATTGGGAAATGAGAAACAGTGTCTCTTCTGGAGGGGCACCATTTTTTCGCCTTTGAAAATGTGACCCCTTTCGATATACCTCAGGAAGTGCAAATACATCTTATAATATTTTCGAAGCCAAATCCGTTTGCTCCTCCCCTGGTGCAGAATTTGGTGAGCAATAGGCTCTGCCCACTTGAGGGGACATCGACTAGGGGGCCTCCCCTCCCCAGTCTCATCACCATGTATGAGGAGTTCTTCAAAGTGGGAAAAAAACTTCTTTTTTAAAAATATGCACAGAATTTGCTCCTCCACCAGGTGTGCCACTCGCTCGAGATTTACCTCACAATTTGTGCCATATGTGCAATCTGTGCGATCTGTGCAATTTGCCCCACCTGCGCAATCTTCATTTTTATTTTTTCCCAAATGGGGGTTGCCCCTCTTCTGATGACTCCTGTTTATGATTCTTAAGAGCGTTTCAAGGAGGTAGACAAGAACAGGTTTTACCTCCTTCACGTGATGTCCATTCTTCCAAAGTGGCACAAATGGAACGTCAGAACTGCTGGAAAGTTTCCATATGAGCGAGATAAAGAGGCTTTGGTAGTATTCCCCTTCACCCTTTTTGGTAATCACCACGTCTGTTGCGAGTGGGAGTTTCATCCCTGTCTCGATTGGCACTCCATTCTGCTTTCCCCTTTTGTTGGATGTGCCTCCCCTGTTGATAATTGCAATTTTTAGCAGAATATACCTCTTTTTGACGTCCCTCCTGTATTTGCGCATGGCGTGAAAAAGCAAATAAACATACGAGGTGAACACTCGCAGGAAGAGGTATACAAAGGAGTGAAGCTTCTCGGGGGAAAAGTAACTTCCAATCTGTGATGGGTACTTCTTTCCTAAGCGGTTCCCACCTGGTTTGTGCTGCTTTCCTGTAGAGTTCCCTCTTCTACGCTGAACTGTTAGAGCAGCAGGTGTCTTGGAACCCATGCCCCGCGGTCGCAACAGGTGCAGTACTGCTAGAAAGGTCTCCCCGTACGTATGCGTGAAACATTTCATCGTCTGCATCCATTTCGTGATTACTTCAAATTTTTCCCCTTCGATGAGAAGCACTACCTGTTTAGCCCTCTCGCAGAGGGTTATAAGGGACGTGTTTCCCCTTATCAGGTGGGTTATCTGTTCGTTGGGGCTGAGTTTCCCCCCCGTTGGCCTCTTAAAATGGGACACAAGCGATGCATGTACAGTAGTCCCACTTACACCTTTTAGTAGCCCTTTGTGGGAGGCACCCCACTCGTTGATGTGCCAACCGTTTAATCCCTTGAGTGTCATTTTTCTCCTCATGAATGTTGGACCGTTTTCCTTCCAACAGGGTATCGGATCAAGATCCCCCCTTCGTGTGAAAAGAAAATAGTTAAGGTGATTTTTCTTCTCTTCATCGTGTTGTCTACTCTGCATGACTTCTTTATGCCTATTTATCATTTGGAGTACCACCCTTTGGTAGTGGCAGCACTTTTTAAGAAGCTCCATTTCGGGGTAGAAATCCTCCTGATTTGTGTCCTCCTTTGAGCTGACTGGGTGCATTGTGTAGTTGTTGCGTCTAGCGCTAAACCTTCTCGCGGTGTTTCGCATATGAGCGTCTCCAGTTTTGATACGTCTGTTGCACTTATTACAGTAATCTGCTTTCTGCTTCTTACAAACCAACTGAGGTGGTTGTCTTCCCATATGTTTGCCTAAGATAGCTCTGATCAGCACGCTGGAAAATTTGTTGATGTGTCTCCTTCGATGAGTGGTGTTCCCCCCCTGGATGCTGCTCAATGGAGTGGAGTTACTACCTTCACCTCCTCTGCTATTCCACTGCTTAGCCATTTGGTCCCCTTCACGTGGATGTGGCACCCCTTGAGGATGCTTCATAAACTGGCAGCTCACTATATTTGCGAACTTTTTAGATGCCTCTCTTTTGAATGTCTCTCCTTGGAGAGAACTGAGGAAGTGGGCCATGACCTTCCCGCCAGTCCTATACTTGAGAGTCATGCCATTCGTTCGATTTATAAATTGTGTAACACGCGAATGAAAAGATCTGCACAGAACGAAATGCCGTTTTCGAGATGGACGGATGAGGGTGTAGGTGTGGCTACTTCCTATTGTCTCTGCCTTTCCAGGGGGGGAATTCCTTCTCGGGTCATCAAAAGGGGTTACCACTGCTTTGAAGTGTGCATCTTTTCCCTTTTTTTCAAGCCACTCTTCCTGAAGCTGGGGGGCGGGGCTATACTTGGCCAGGTAGAAAAGGAGGCGCGCATCTACACGCTGGGTAAAATTCCCCCACAGGTTATCCCCCCACAGGTTATCCCCCCACAGGTTACCCTTTACGGGGTAGTGCTCGCCGTGGTGGCGCCCCCATCTGGTGCGCTGGCCGCGGGGATAAGATAGCCCCCGCCCGACAGTGCCATTCACATATGCGTAGACAATACTATACGTGCTTATCAAATGGGCCCTTATGAAGACATACCTTAGGGCGCTTCTTGAGAGTGCCTCCCTACGGTGGAGCGAACGCCACAAGTGGGTGCAGTACACACCGTTGTGCGTTCTCCCTTCTGTGCCCTTTCCCCGCTTGCATAGATTGTTACTGACAACGCGGAAGAGCGAGCCAAGGTACTTAAGAATGAAGCCATTTAAGAAGCGAGTCAAAACGTTGGCCAAGTTTCTTCCATTCCGGTGAATAACGATGTATACGACGAGAGTTACATATAGGTGTTTGTTCAGGTGGTGTATTTTTCCCCCCCTTTTGAGGGGGTACCTTTCTACAAAAGAAGTTACAATTTTTCGGAGCTGTGGAATGTCATTTTGTCTTATTTTTTTGTTCACACAAATGTGCTGCATCTTTTTATTCACGTATATTCCCTTCATCTTTTTTGCAAGCGGGTGACGTTTTTCCTTGTAAGTGGGACGGAACGGGACGAGACTGTCCTGCCAACTGTCCACCGCACGGTTAACACAGAGACAGGAAGGTAAAACATCCCCCCGCAAATGATCTACCTCGTGCGCTACACTTCGTACCCCTGTGTGTGTATATATTCCTGTTCGAAGTTTCGCATTAAAAAAAAAAGGGTGGGAGGGGTGAAATACCAACAGTTGGATAATCCGTCGTCTTTACTATTTTCTGTGCAAATTTTGCCTTCTTGGCGGAGCTCCTCCCAGCTGATAAACTGCGCCATTTGCTTCGATGCGTCTCGTTCGCGGACCGTATCAACCATATGCGAATGGGCATGGAGAGGGGCACGTGCTTTTGTGTTTCCCGCGACTGCGGAAAGGGACCTCCTCAACAAAATACGGAGGACTCCTTTTCAAGTGATGGGCAACAAATCTTCAGCGCAGCAGAGATGGGGGAGGGGGCGGCGCAGGAGCAGCTAAACACAACCCACAGTGTACTTATTGCGAAGGGGCAATCCCCCCAAAGGGACGAATTTTTGAAGGCGTAAAGAAAAGGAGAAAGTCCCAAAAAAGGGAAGAAGTGCCAAAAATAAAGGAAAGACTCTCATTTAAACTTACACTCATTGTGCTAAAAAAATGTTTAATCAACTTCTTTTCAAATTAATTCTTCCATTTTGAGGGAGTTAAAGAAAAAAAAAAAGAGTGTACATTTCCGAAGCGTTGTTCCACCACCCTGTCACTGTTTTATAAAAAAGGAAAAGACGTAATTTTACACGACGAAGCATTTCATGTCCACTTTGTTGAGGTCCACCGAAAGAAATGGATTACCAAAAGGGGGAGAAGATGCACGAGAAAAAAATGAATCATACACCGGGAATAAACACTCAGGTGTCTGTATTTTGCTAAACATTTGTGTGTGTTTGTATCTTACGCCTTGGGAGTTATTTCTTCCTTTTTTTTTCTATTCTCCCTGCTCGGATGCCTTCTCCTTCAGTTAAAGCATAGGCACCCCTCAAAGATGGTTGTAACTGGGAGCGACACAAAATTCAGTATCGCCCCGAGGGGGGGTAGCACAGCCCGATAGCATGGCAGCAGTCTTTCCCACGGGGTGGATCATAAAACGAGTTTTTTCCTTTCACACCGCTTCTTTGGAGATCCACAGAGAAGGTAAGAAAAAAAAAAAAAAACTTCACCAATTGGATCCCTCAAGCGCTTACTTTCGCCATTGTTTTTTCACAAGATAAACTCGCCATCTCCTTTTGGAAAGTCTTCGTGTCGCTCCTTTTATGTTTATTTGTGTGTTTCCAAATGGGTGGCCTCTTTCGGCAATTAGCTGCTTCATTCTGATTTTTTTTGTTTTCTTCACATTCATGTTGATTTTTATTTTATTTACTTTTTTTTTTTTGTCAATTCGTCCTTTTAGTATATTCTCCTGCGCGCTTTTGCGAGGTAGTTTCACGAGGCAATTTTCCTGGGCGATTTTCCCCTCAGTTTTGTTCCCGCCGTTTATCCTTTTTGCACGTCCTGCCCCTCGCCATTTTTGTCTTTCCCCGTTTTTTATTAGTATGTATATATTTTCGCTCCTCCCCCCTTCACGCGCTTTAAAATTTGTAAGCATGTCCAAGGGAGCGTTCCTTTCTCTCCATTTGTAATTGCTGCATGTTTAAAGATGCCTTAATCCATCGTGACAATTGCACACGTGTGAGAAGCGCAGCAAGGGGAGGATCTCGTGAGGGGAGAATATCTGTCGCTGTACCTTCAAGAAAATGCTATACCACTTTATGCAAAATTGATAGTGGCAAGAAGACCCTCCCCTGTCTGCTTCCCACCGGGCAGTCATCCTTGCCTGTGTATGGGCGGGTCCACCCTTCAGGGAGTAGACAGTTGGGGAAAAAGAAGCGGAACAGGAAAAAACGCGGAAGAGAGAGAGAAAAAAAAGGAGCCCAAGAGGAAGCCTTTCGCCAGGAACTCACAACGCGGAAAGAGACGGCACCCAAAATGAACCACCGCAGGAAGGGGAAACGAAAATACAAACTCAACTCCATAGACATAGAACTGGAGGCCTTCATCTTTGGGTGCTTCTTCTACACGTGGAATAAAATCTTCACCGAAAATGTGAGGAAGAAGAAGAAGGGAAACAAAAGGAGCACCAGCGGAGTAAATAAGCTCAGCTTCAGGGTGAGCAGCAGCAAAGGAGCAGCAGCAGGAGCAGCGGGAGGAAGAAGCATCCAAAGTCTCAGTGTCGGGAAGACGACAAACACCGTTAAGAGAAAGTCGAACCCGGTGGTTGCGCCCAATAAGACGTGTGCAGTTAAAACTGCGAACGCTTTGGAAGTGCCAACATTGGAGAAGCACACCAGCAGAAAAAGCTGCGGAGACAATGAAGGCACTTTGCCACACGCGTCATCTAGCCACATTCGTAGCAACTTAAGTGAAGAATTCCAAAGGAAATACAAAATAGACATTGACGACCTTAACGAGCAGTTACTCCATTTTGTTAAGCTAAACTTCTGCTTGAATGAGAACAACTTTCACATTTTTCACGATTTATATTCTTTTTATGACCACATAAGGGAGGAGAAAAAGGACGAGGAGGTTTATGTGCACCGCGTTTTCCTTAAAACCGATGAGGGTTGCGCGCCGCAGGGAGGAGAATGGATGAGCAGTCCAGAGGGGACCAGCATGGGAGGGAGAAGCGCAGTAGGTGAGAACAGCCTCAGGGGGGGTTCTTCGCAGAGGAGGGGGACCCATAAGGGGGCCCAAAAGGTGTGCACTTCAGACGGTTCAAAGGTACCCCGGATGGACGCTTCAAAGTTGTCCGTCGCGGATTGGTCGAACCATACTTGCACATGGCCAGCCAAGTGCCCGTTCTGTGAACTGCCGCAGAGCAAAGAAAAGGGAGTTAAAGCACTAAGGAGACAGAAGTTCATACACGCATGCATACGGAGGGTATACGGAGAGAAGAACCTCCAATTGGTAAACAAATGCATTATAAACATAAAAACGTTTGATGATAGCTTCATCCACTCGATTACCATCGAAAGATTATTCAGCTACATAAACGAAGGGGACAACAGAAATTTGCTCTTCTTCTGGTTCGAATTTTTGAATGTCCTTCTAAAGGTTACAATGAACAAGCAGCGGATGATTCAAATTTTTTTTTTCTTTTGTGTAAAAAATTTACTCATAAGTACCTACTTTAACAGAGAGCAGATGATGGGGGGTGGTGATGAGTTCACCGCGGGGAAAACTTTCTCGACAAAAGGACAGGAAAAAAATCCTTTCCTCACAAAGATGCTAAAAAAGTACAAGTGTGAAACGTTCAGCAACATCGTCCTGAATAACAATTACAGACTTTTGCAAAATCTATTCGATTATTTTTTTATGGTATGCTCAACGAGCAGTTTGAAATTTTACGACAATTTTTTTTTGAATGTCCAGATGATTAATTTTATTTATCTTGTGCAGGTAAATTTTTTTCACTATTACTACATCGGTCTTTGTTCGAAGTTTTTCCGATGGGAGGCTGCCAATCGGGGGGAAAGAAGGGGGCTGGTCATCTCTACTTCGCAGCGGGGAAGCGGCTACATCATTCGGCTTCCAAAGCAGACAGAACTTGCTAAGGACGTGAAGGAGAAAATCGGCCCCTTCAGTCGCCTAAAGAGGAAAGATGGAGAAGCAGTCAATCCTGCTACTAACCTATGCACTGTGAAAAAGGGGCAGAGAAAGGAATCCACAGTTGGGGCAAAGTTCAGGAGGGTGACTGGAGGAGGGGGGGGTCTCCAAAAAGGGCGAGTGTCCGCTGAGGGAGAGCAGATTGGCCCCATGAGTCAATTCACCTGCACTGAGGAGTTTTCCTCGCCCCATGGGAGAAGCTCCATCGGGGGCATCTCCATTGGGAAGCACTACAACGTGGGTGGGAAGCGGCCCTGTAAGGTTAATCTGAGTTACCACAACTATGTGCGTGGGGGGCGGGGCAGACAGGGCAGACATGGCATGCAGTTCAGCATCAGTCGATACGTGGCCCGTCATATGGGGGGGCAGACCCCGATGGAAAACACCAAGATTGGGCCGCTGGAGAGTAGGAAGGTGGCCCCCATGGACAGTAATATGACCGCCCCGCTGCCTCCCAATGAGGAGATGCAGCAGGCCCCCCCCGCAAAGCGCCTCGCGCGAAACCTGAAAATATTTTTCAGCCGATCGAACATCTTCCTGAACAAGTACATTCAATCAGAGCAGCTAACCAAGCAGAGCAACATCTTCTCCTTCCTCTTCGACGCGCTGCCATCAGACAATCTGCATAGCAACGTCAGCAACACCCTGGAGCCGTATATCCTTTCTATATTCTCCAAGTACCAGTTCATCCAAGTAGACGATTTTGTGGAGAGTCTCAAACGATTATACAATTTGAAGAGGGAAAGAAAAAAAGGAAAAAAAAAAATCCTGCAAAATAGCGAACAATCTAATGTGAAATTCCTCAATGACCTACAGGGATTTAATTACATATATCACAATTTAAAAAATGATTACCTCATGCTGGCGGAGAGCTTATATTTTGACATGCAGGGCGAGAGGGAAAAGGGGAAGCAGAAGGAGAAGGGGACGGAAAAGGCCAAGGACACAAGGCAAAAGCATAAGTACAACAAAGTGCGAATTTCCAATTTAATCCAAAACGAAAAGACAGACACGTTCAGAAATGTGTCCATATATAAATTCTCGTCGAAAAAGTGGACCGTCCAACACAACCTCTTTAATATATACTTGGAGTGTAGCTTGTTGAACAAGGCATTGAAGTTGCTGATGATTGATTTCAATTTCTCCTTCTCCCTCACCTCCGAAGTTATTTTCCTCTACAAAATGTACCTCATTGAATTGAAAAGGAAAAATATCTTGTTCGCATTCGAAAATTTGAGTATGTCTTTTAACAAGTGTTTTATTCTTTTGAAAAAATATCTTTGCAATCCTACGTCCTTCAAATTACTGTCTTTGATTTCCCTCCATTTTAGTAACCTCATTTTTAACTACCCTTTTTTAAGGGCTTATCTCTCCTTCTGTCCGAATGACAAGATTAGATTTCTGAGGAGTAATATAATTTTGCATGAAAATGTCACAGCCAACTGCTACTACAATGATTACTTTAGTCACAAAAATGACGTCGATGGTTTAAATTTACTGTGTGAAGATGGATGGGATGGAAGGGGGCGTTGTCGATCCGTGCAGGAGGAGGGGTCCGGGAACAGCCGCAGAGAGGCTCTGCCAGAGGAAATTTCCAGCTGTGTGGGGGAAGAGGCGGCCTCCTCGCCCCGCCCCTGCAATTCACGCGCCATGTACACCTCTCAAGGGTTGTACAATTGGCAGAATAACTCTGTTGACTCTGGTGGGCGGTTCGCACCTCTTTGCGTCGTGAGGGGGGAGATGTCTCCGTCTGGCAGGGACCCAGGGGGGAACGAGGGGGAGAGGGGCTCCGCATTGGCTTCATACGGTCAATGCGGCCAATACGACCACTGCTTCGAAGCAGGTGCACGGGACAAGCGTGGCCTGCGGAGCGACTCAGTGGCCCCCTCCGCCAGAGGACCCTTCCCGTCTGACGAAGAACCCTTTTGCGGAAATGCGGCGATAGACCTCTGCAGAAGTATCGCGCGAGGAGCTGCCTCCAGCAGGGGGGGAGGAAACAACCACAGGAATGCATCCCGTAGAAGTCCGTCTCATAGAAATGCCTTCCATAGAAGTGCCCCCCATAGAAGTGCGTCCCGCATAAGTTCATCTCGAAGAGCCAACCTCAGGGGGGATCATCGCACGTGGAGCCACTCCAGCGACGAATCCTCACACGAGGGGGGAAGTGGAAGACACCACCGCTTTCTCAGTCAGCAAGATCATCTGTTCATGCGGAAAATTGTACAAAGTTTCAACTTCATTTTTAATATACTGGACAAAATGGTAACCAGCTGCGAGGTGTCCTTCCTGAGTAAGGAAGCGGCAGGGCGGGTCTTCCACCGCCCAACTGGGAAGCGGCCAACTGGAGAGCGGCCAAACGTGCACCTGCAGATGGGCCGCCCCCCCCTGGAGCCTCCCCCCTTTGACACCCCGTACATCCACGCGCAGAACAGCTACCAAGAGAACGTAGGAAACATGACGAACTTCATAAAGGAAGTGGTAAACAAAGTGGACTCTTACTTTTGCGAAAATTTTAGCCGAAAGGATATCAAAAAGCATATTGAACAATTGGAGAGAAAAAAGTACAGTCATTTCTTATACGAGTCCAAGGCAATGAGATCAATGAGAGAAGCACATGACGATTCGTTCTTCTGCTGTCTAGAGTTTCTATTTCTGGCATACATATGCTCCAACTATTTCTCCGATCATGTGTCTGGAAGCTACAAGGATTGCTTCAAATCATTTAACTTCAATAACATCTGGCCAAGCAACCAGCAGATAAAGGTGAAGATTTTGCTCTCCCTGATACACTTGCTTCTTCACCAGATTAACGTGATAAATTTGAACCCCTTCTTCTTGCAGATTCTGAAAATAATTTTGAATAAATTTTACAGCCATTTGGATTACAACGACGTGCAGATGTTTCAGTACATATATATGAGCCTGTCCAATGAGACTTTGTTTTCTTCTTTCTCCATCTGTGATGAGATTCGGGATGTTATCAGGGGTAGCTTCGGCTCGGTGAGGGAGTTTTCTTATGTCTTCGACTTATCGAGGAGGAGGGACGCCTTCTCGCTGTGCCGACTTGGCTGCGCGGGGGACGATCCCCTCGGGGAGGACCTTTTCGTCACGAACCTTTTGGAATTCCTCCTGCGGGGAGATGCGGCGGTGCGAAAGGAGGAGAAGCGAAAAGGGGGGAAGCGGAAAGAGGACAGACCAAACGTGGCAGAGCTGCTCAACGGGGAGAGGCCAGATGTGATAGAGCTGCCCAAGGGGGACCCCCTGAACGAGACAGCCCTATGGGAGGACACGCCCTTCAGTGAGTGCCCACACAACGAGACAATTAGAGATGACTCTGCTGTGGGTGAATGGGTCGACCGCTTTTCGACGCAGGGGGAAGACGAGCAATATGGAAGTCACCCAAAGTACCAGTTTGACGATTTCAAAAGCGAGGCCTCCTTTGAGAAGAACGACTTTGTTTTTTTTAAAAAGAGTGAAAAGTGGGGGGGAAGAGACCAAATAACGAAACAAGGGGGGAGAAGCTCCTTTCTGGACAACATACTCCTCCACCTAGATAAAAAAAATACCAATGGAAAGAGAAGCCCAATGAAGAGAATCCCCTCCTCGGATGAGGCAGCAGAGCGACACAATAATGGTACCCATACGAAACTTCATCGTACAGGGAGAAGACACCTCCCGATGAGGGAAAAAACCCACGGGGGACAGAAAAGTGCAGAGGAGAAATACAAACAAATGTTGTACCATTTTAAAGTCAGCAAAGAGGAATATATAGAAAATAACCTAAACAGGCGAAACGAATGGCTGATACGATTGAAGACGTGGAGAGATCGTTACCATTACTATGAGAATGTGAAGCCAGATCATTACGAGGCATACCATTTGGAGAAAGAATACTACCTACCAGAGGAACTATTTGAAACCAACTGTTTCATCCTAGCGGAAGAGAAACATCAGATGAGAATCGGATTTAATCTCGAAAAAAATAACTACCTTTCTGAATGCCTAAATTTATTAAGAATGATAGACTTATACATGGAATGTAGAAGCAGTACATACAACAGGCCACTGTATTTTGTAAAAAGTTTAATCGTCACATGCTTAAGTGTGAGCTATTCTAGGCATCTGTCTGTGGTGTATATACATGCCCTCATACGACTATGTCTATTCGAACTGCGCATGGATAATGCTCATACGTCTGTCTGCATTCTGCTGGAGATTTTAACTCATTTTGAGCAGATCAAAAGTTATCGAAATGTGATGGGCATTATTTTTTACCTCTGCGGGTACTCGCTACTACACCAGTTTAACTTGCAGTCGGAGCGACTGGAAGGGGAACGAAGGAAAAGGGAACTCATAAAGGAATACCATCACCATCTAAATATGAAGAGGGAAATTTTCGGCTCTTTTCAGCGATGTAAACTGGGCAGGTCCACCTTTGGGAAGAGTTGCAACACATCTCATAAGAGTGGCAACCCCCTTGATGAGAATTGCAAGACACCTGACATTTCTCCGATTGGAACAGAGAGGTCCCACGTTTGCAACAATCAAGAGGGAGAGGATCAAGGGGCCGCCGACTCCGACAGCACCAACGGGGGGGAACGCGCTATTGGCTCAGTTGCCATGAGTGAAGGAAGGAATCTAGACCCCACACTATCCGAGCATAGTCACCGAAGCAGTAATTATACGTCCAGCCCACAGGCCAGGCAGAAGTCCGCCCCGGAACACTTTGCCAGAAGCGTGGAGAGGAGAACAAGCAGCTGCGTGAAGGGGAGCCTCTCCAAGGGCGGCTCCGCAAAGTGTGCCAGGAAGCTAATCCCGCTAGTGAAGAACCAAATAAAAATCACCGACTACTTTTCCAATGTGAAGAACGAAAAGGTGCAAGAGGCACTTTCAGACGCGGACTCCACCATATTGGACAGCGATCATATTCACCTGAACAGTTCAGAAAAAAAGTGCGTAAAGAAAAGAAGAAAAAATGATGGATTAACCCATTACGTAGTCCAGCAGCAGGAGAGGCCCCCCACGGAGACAAATTTGCAAAATAAGAACGATCAGCCGTACGACACACTTGAAGAGATAAATAAGAAGCAATTTTTTTTACTTTTAATTTGCTTCTACATGAAGCGAGCTCTCTACCACTGGGAGAATGACGGAGATGCGGTGGGAATTTCCAATGGAATTCAACAGAAGAGAAGGATGAAAGATGCTCTCTTCTTCCTCATGTCTTCTTATAAATTTTTTTACAAATCATCTCTTTTTTTGTCAAAGCATGAACGGATTGGGAGTTTTAAATTTCCACTTTTTGACTTCCAGCTTTTTGAGGCGTATAAGACGTTTTACGCCTTCTACAGGGGGGCCTTTCTCCGGTGCTGCAACGCCAATGTGACGTTCGCCTCGCGGGGTTGACTTCACCACTGTTGTAGCGGCAGCGATTCGTGCGCCCATCCATTTGTCTGTCCACCCACTCGTCCATGAACTAGTCCATTAGCTAATTTTTTTTTTTTTTTTTTTTTGTTGTTCATATGCCAGCGCTCATGTGCGATACGACTCCTGGTGGGTGTTTTTTTTTCTGTTTTTTTTTTATCCGCTCCTCTTCCCCCATTTTCGAAAAACGAGAAGAGGTGAGGACCCCACTACGCACAACACAACAACTTTCTGGAGTTGCCCTCATTCGGCGGATTCATTCGATTGTACAAGACAAAACGGGTCACTGGTCATTGTTGCGCGGGCCGCAGCTAAAAGGTAAAAAAAAAAAGTTCAAATGATGACAAAAGGGCGGCATCGTAAGTGTTCAAAATGTGCCTTGCGTTACACTTTCTTTTATGTGAATAAATCGTGCCTTGCCTTCACCTTTTTTTTGTATGGAATGGAAAAGGCACATCTCCCAGTAGGCACGCCAGGAGAGCCCCACACTACAGCAGCTTAAAAGGGCTAAACTGGCGCGCAAAAAAAAAAAAATTACACACATGTAGCTGTGTTCCTCTTGTGCATATTTAAGAACCACGCGGGGTGATCCCTCCGTGATGTTTTTTTTATAAAGATGTAGATATGAAAAGTCAATCAAAGTTGATCGCCACCTTCTACCGCAGCGCAGCGTGGAAATAGCACGAGAGAGGCTTACAATTTGTTTATCCCTTCTTTGGCGCCACAACAAAGTGAGGAGAAATGAAACAGCAAAGAAGCTTTGCAAAATGGCAGCGCGGGAATTAATCATTGCAACTTTTCCGCAAAAGCGAATGCGCCAACTCGCCGAAGCGAAATCGTGACTCCCGACCTACGCAAAACCAAATTGAAACAAAACAACAGCGAGCCTTGCAGCTTGCATAAAAAGGGTTAACACCACATAGGAGAAAGGGGGGAACTTCACAAGATAACAACCCCGAAAACGAGTGAAAGGCACGTGCCCTCATTTTCATCCATTTCTTCAAACGTGGCTACAGTTTCTTCCTTATGTACCCCTCATTGTGCGCTAAAATGAGTTCACCAAAGATGTCAACGAGGGGGGCACTTTGATATGTAGGAGACCCTCCCAAAGAGGAGGAAAAAACGAATCGCCAACAAACCGCCGAGCAATCGAGACACATCTGGGGGAGACGCCACCGAAGCAGCCCACACGGAATGTATTAACGGAGATCATACAACTTTTTTCGTAAAATGAAATGATAATTTCCCCTCTTGTTTTAATTATCTTGTCTTTGTTCCCTCCCCAATGGAGATGCCATTTTCGCAATTTTGAGAAAGACCAAGGGAAGTATTTATCCCCCCCAGTTATCAAAGGGAAGAGGCGCTCAAGAGTTTTTTTCCGGCTGCGTAGAAGGAGTAGTAGAGATGCTCACACATGGGGAAGAGAACAAAGTATGTCATTATGCCCCTTAAGAAGGAGTAACTTCTGTTCACTAAGTGAAAGGCCAAATGACAGCCTATCGAAGCGACCAAGGTTAAATACTCTACATTGTGTTAGATCTTTCCCGAGGGAGTGTGCCTCCATGTGCAGAGGTTTTAACAGACGGGGTCAGAACAATACGACGAAATGCGAAAGATACAACATTGAAAATACTCAAACGATGTTCATTTCGTGCAAGAGAGGCTTAAATTTTTCTAGGCGTAAAAGATTTCGGAGCAGTGACGGTGCTGCAGGCGGAACCCTGAGCTGGAACATGGGCAAACGGTTCGAGGATCATACGAAGGGGGAGCTACTATCCGGGAGTGGAGAAAAAGAGAGACTCCAGAACAGTTTGGAAGAAATCAAAAACGATGTAAACCTTCCAGATGGTATCCCCACAGTGGGAAAACCAAGCAGCCGTTTCGAAGTGATCCAGGACAGTCACTCCTCTGTGGAGTGCACTAAAACGATTTTAGGAAACATTCTGCAGAGAAGCTCCATACATAATTACACACAGAATGAGGACCTGTTTAGGATGCTAAAGGGAATAAAAGCTCTGCTTAGCAAATTAAATGTGCATGGTTATGGAAAAGAAGACGAAGGAGGAGGGGGCGTACTAGATGTCCATTCTGTGTCTACAGATGAGCGAGATGGAAAAAGTGGAGAAGAACGAATGATTGATGTGCAAAACCTGAAGAGGGGTACTGTTTCTAAGAATAACTACCTGAACGAGTCAGGCAATTATTCTACAACGGATAGACATCATGCCAGTGGTGAACACACTTGTACGTCTTCCCCCCCTCCGGATGTACTAAAAAGAGAGGCATTTAAAACGTGGGTGTTTCCACTCAATTTGATGCTTATCAAGTCGTGGGTCGAAAAAATTCTAAAATATGTCTGTTCAGATGGTTCTGCTGGGAGGGAAATCTCTAAAGACAGCAACATCTTTGTTAAGTGCGAAAATGTTATCCAGAAAAGATTGTTCTTCCATTTGGTATGTCTTTATTCACGGATTGCGACGTGGACGGAGGGACGCCAAAGGAATGTGATTCTATACCTCTACGGAGAGGACGAAGAGGAGGCAGAAAATCTCTACAGCCATTTGAAGAACATTTATTCGGAAGGGTCGATCAGCTTTTTTAATTACAAAAATTGCATACATAATGACAGGGCGGCGTCTATAATTTTATTGTCGTATGATGAATTCTTCAACTTAACCCTACACGTTGCTAACAAGACGCCCTGCGATTTGGAGAGGTACCTGAACGGAAAGGGCAGTGGTGCCTCTGGATTTGCCAACCTGTTTTCCATTTTTTCACAGCTGCTTGTAAGTGCGCCCCGCGGTGGGGCAACAAACTACGTCGAAGAGAAATGCGGCAAAGAGAAGTGCTGCCGAACTCAGCACACGTTTAAAATATTTCTGGACGATTTTAACGTGGCGTACAATTATGGCCAAAGCGTGATAGAGAAAAATCTTTACGAGCATCTTTTCCCCGCGATTGACTTGCGAAGGGGGAACGTCACATTTTACCTCCTTATGAGGACCGCTTTCCCCACGCTGTGGTTTAAAACTTGGCTGGAACATGTCCACAAGGAGTGCTATTCTGTCAATCTGCAAAAAAGGAAAAACATCTTCCTTTTGCACAAAAGGTTTATTTTGCCTCTGTTAGATGAGCAGGCAACCGCCCACTGGAGCTCCAGCAGTGTGGACAAAGGAGGCCCAAAAGAAATCTCGCAAAGGGACAAGACAATGATTACCCCAAGTTTGTATCCCCTCTTCGATCTGGCGACAAATAAGAAAAGAAATTTCAGAACCCCACAGGTGGAACAATACATGTCCATTTTTAACAAACACAGGAAAGAAATTATCGTCGAGTATTTGAAGACGCACAACTTATACAACATAAATAAGTTAAAAAGGAAAGACAAAAAAATAAAAAGAAAATTTAATATCGCCAGGCGGTTTTTAAAAAAAAAAAAAAAAATTTGCCAGACTTGGAAATTTCGCATTACATAAATTTCCTCATTAACAAAAAAAAAAAAGGAAGCATATTCTTCAGAAAAAACATTATTGATTATGGTTATGTGACAGAAAGGGAATTTCTACAGGGGAGGGACAAGATGCAGATATTGACAGAAGGGTTGTCTGGTTGGCTTCGAGGGGGAAGGGAACGGCCCTTCCTCCCTCAGCACTGTGGGGATGCACCCTCGGCAGGAAGAGCTCCTGGTGATGGATCATCTCCAGGAGATGAACCGTGCAACACTGTGAAACAAATGGATAGTTCGCCAAAAGTGGGCAGGCAGAACGGACATTGTGAAAGATGGGAGGAACATGAGCAGCGCGATGAAGAAATGAGTGCCCCGTTTTTTTTGCAAAGTAGAGGAGCGACAGGGCTTCCCTTCGATACGGACACATCTGTCCCAAATGAAGCAAGACATTTTTGTTACAAAAGTGGAGACGCACAGGAAGGGTCTTCTCAGTCTACTGCGTCCGCCGCGGCTCCACTCCACCCGTGCATTTACTACACATTCGATAAGGACGCGTTTGAGAAGTTTTCCAAAGAGGTGTACGCAGCGATTCCGCTTTTGCCTCAACGGTTCAAGCCAAAATGGAGAAGTGTGTTAAAAAAATATGAAGAAGTAATGCTGCCAAGTTTTTCCCGTAAAAAGTACCTCCTAAAGGGGCTCTTCCTGGTCAGGAAAAAGTTAAGCCCACTGGAAAAACAGTTCATTGTAGAGTTACTAAGGAATGACCTTATTAAAATTATTTTGTCTTGTGTGGACATTTCTTCGGACGGTATTGGGGTGAACACCGTGTTTGTGGAGGATGTGCAGGTGTACGTAAAGGATAAACTTCCTCACTACAATCGGCTTCTTAACCTGATAAATCGCCTGCACGTGGAGGTTTTCCACCCCTGCGGTGGGAGCAGCGTTCTGGGGAGTAGCCCTATGGGAAACCACCTTCTGGGGAATCACCCTCTGGGGAGCAGTCTTTTGGGGAACCGCCCTCTGGGGAAGAGCTCCTACTGGGGAGAAGCCCCCCCAGTGGACGACGCATACAGACTCCACTTTGTAAAATACTTTTTGTACTTAAATTGGGCGAAGATATTCAGGAAGTACACCCTGTCAAATAATGACCTATTAAATTTATTTACAAATTGCACGAACTGTTTTTTAATTCCAAGGAGGTATGAAGACATTTCCATTTTGTTAAATTTGCAGAGCGGGGGGTACTTAAATATATCCCATTTGCACAAAGCGGTGCTGCGCGATTTTTACTTCAATCTGTACAATGGAAGCATCAGCAGGGGGATCTCTTTTCTCCTGAACGGTGCAGGGGGGCGAATGGATGTATCACCCTTGTTTGATGATCGAGTAAGGAGCCCTCAAGGGGGAGAAAAAACAATCTATCGCTTTTTCTCTACGCATCGGTGTGCCAGCGATGATATGGAAGATGTCTCCCCGCATAATATCATCCATATGGCGATCAAAACAGCACAAGACATTCACAGAATTTACAAATATAAAGAGACAAATGAAACCATTCTGCTGCACCGTTTCTTGGGCATGTCGAATGAGACGGCCTACTCGGTTAACTACTTCGACTTTTTGTACTTTCATTTTTTGACAAACAAAAATATTGGAACAGTAAAGAAACAGCTCATAAATAACGTGTTCGAATTTTACGCTGTTAAGAGGAAAGAATATGAGAAGGAGTTTGTCACCTCCAATAGGGAGGACAAAATTAATCATTATCTGGAAAAGGTTCAAAGGATAGAGAAGTATTTCCGAGAAGATTACGCATATGTGTACTATGATACGTTTATAAAATATAACAACATTAAGAAGAAAGTGAGAAAGAAACTGAGGAGCATGTACAGGCAAAAGTATACCATGCTGCGTGAAACGATTTGTGAAGGCGGTCAAACCAATGTGGTCTTAACCACTGTCGACTCGGAGCACTGCATTATTTTGGACATGTATAGAATGAAACCATCCGTATGGGTGGAGAAAAAAAAAAAAACAGAAAAGTGACCTGTATGTTTGCGCCAACAGTAGGGGTGATCTGTTCATATGCGACATATTCTTCTTTGATAAGCTCTTAAGAGATAAAAAAATGTGCGACTTTATTAGGGAAAGAAACAAAGGCATAAACTACGTTGATTATCTGTTTGGCCAAAGGGACGTGGTTAATTACGAGCTGTTCTTCAAGGAGCGCCACTTCCAGTTTGACATTTATCGGTCGGATTGCACGGGATGGCCGAGGGGGATGGACAACAAGGGTGTCTCCGCCGAGGAGAAAAAAAAAAAAAAAAAAATTCCACCAATTTGTAGTCAACAAAATCAGGGTGAAGGAAAAGTCAGGCGGCCAGGAAAACTATCCTAATGACAGAGAGGAACAAATTTCACAAGAAAATGGGGAGAAAACAAAAATGGTGAACCTGGAGGATTTGTTTCAAAATTGGTACAGCGAAGATTTGTACCGTTGGAAAAGGAGGCTTTCCCTTTACTGGAAAAAGTTGTCCAGCTTGAAAAGAGAAATGTGTCGGCAGTGCGCGAGGAGGTTGAAGAAAGACATGGAAAAAAATGAGCACAGCGGATGTGTAGAAGGGGACGACTATAACGAAGCAGGACGGAATCCTCTGGAGGGAAAAAAAAACCGTATGACGTACGAAGTGAACAGATTCAGCGAAGGTGCCACGATGAGCTGCTTGACGCGGAATGGACACTGCCAATCAGGTGCAGAAAAAATTATGAGCGCGAAATTTATGGCCACCCTCAAGAAATACAAAAAAATAAGAAATATCGGAAATAGGAATAATTACACAAAAGAGGTGAACAAAGTGGATCGAATATTTGGAAACAAAAAAAGGACCATGATGGATGAGTTTGGACGCATTTCCTCTTTTCTGCAACACCTTGATCTTATCAACACGCTGAAGAACTTTCTTAACCCATATGTACGAAATAGCCTGTGGTTTTATATCATAACTTTGTACATTAACAGGCAGTATGAGATGAACCCAGGAAAGTTCCTTACTCAGCCGGAACTCCTAATAACAATTTTTTACATCTGTTTTTGTAAAGGAGGGGGGGATTATTTGGGGAACTATTTGGCCTCTTTTCAAATCGAGAGCGATGGCTTACGGGACGTTGTCGTGGATGTCTTTGCATACAAGCAGTTGTTGTCGTTTGTGCAAGACAGGTGAGGCTGCTCGCAGATGGGAACACACCGCGGGTAGCGCATCAGTTCATGCCTCTCCGTTTAGTCCCCATTTTCCTGAGCGCCGTCCAATTGGCTTTTCCCCGACCTCACCGCAGCTAACTCACCCCTTTTCGCAGGTTCCAAATCAACGTGGAAATCCCGTTCAACCTGGAGGGCGTGCAAAACGTGTACAACGGGCTAATTAAATTAAGAGAAAAAAAGTTCACAGGAATGGATGGCGATGTGCAGGACAAACTATACGAGCTGAGCATCATCCTTCATGCAAGTATATCCAGCAATTTTAACGAAGGGGTAAATCAAATTCTGTTTAAGTTTGTTCGTTATGTGGACGATATGAGGAGAATCACCAGGGTGGTGTAGCCCCGCGGGGTGCAGACGTTAACAGAACAGTGCCATCATCACATGGCGTGATAAAGAAAAAAAGGCCGAGTTGTATAACGAGATATGCTCATACAACGGGGAACAGTTATCATTACTCCCCCCTCACTACATACTCTATATTTTCATTGCGAATTTATTTCTTTTTTTTTCCCTTTTTTATTTTCGCTTCCTATCCTCCGTGGACTCATCTGCACTTTCCCATTGAATGTTGTTCTTGTTGTATATGGGCCACGTGGGCATGATTAGCTGCAAAGGGGGGTAGTAAAGAGGGAAGTCCAGAGGTTATTAAACGGGGCATTCATATTCCCTCCTTTTTTCGGGGGGGTCAATTTGAGTAACCCCCATGGTGTGCCTGTAGACACACCTGCGTCGCGTGTGAGAACCGTAGCCGTGGGCCGCTATCCCCTGTCCCTACCAATGCAGCCAAGGCGGTACCGGCCAAAATGATGTAGGCACTCAAGGCTAAGTCCTGCTTGTAATAACCGACTGCAATGGAGACAACTGTGCTGATGGTGAAGACGATATTTTTGATTAAAAAGGCGAGCTTCTGGCCGTGGAAATCCTGCCGTTTGGTGAGGGGTGAGACGTGGATTGGTGAGGGGTGGACTGGTAAAGCGACGTTCCCTCGCCACCGCGCTGCCGTTCCCCACGCTGCTATAGAGTGCCACTAGCTACCCATGTAAATGGACGACTCACCATGTGATTCCTCCGGAGACACACGTAGGTACGTTCTACGCTGTTTTTAATCGCGCTAATTAGGCCCATGGGGTTATCGTTCAAATGGGGGGTGGCGGGCAGAACTATCGAGGAGGTTTCTCTTCCCTTCTTCCTTATCCACTTGCTGCGTGGCGCGGGAGTAAGCAGGACTGTATAATCTCCCTTAGAGTGGTACGAATGAGGGCTTATACTATCTCACTAGGATGGACTCTTTTGATAACGGTTAAGGGATAGGCGATGGGGTTACCGAATTTTCCTGCTGTGCGTTGGTCTACCTTTCTTCGTAGTCGTAGATGCGCATGCGAGTAGCTATGCAAGAGCATATTTCATTCCAAAGATGGCAGTGACATAAAGGGGGAGCCTAAAGGTCACAATCAGTCCGTACAATTGGCTTCGCGTAAAATTTATGACCCTCCCCTGTTGTGAATGATTACATTTTTTTTCTGTTAGCCTGCCCGTTGGCTTGTTCACGTGGGGAGGGAGAAAAATGAAGAGGAAAAAGAAATTGCCGAAGTGGAGGAGTAAAACATTGCAGTTACACTTCGTGAGGATGAAAAGAGACCTTATATATTATTACCCGTAATTTTTGATATGCCAATAACAGCGGAAATTGTCGACACAGGTTAAAGCGCCAGAAGATACAATGCAGTCAATTCACCGTAAAAATGGGAAACATCCATTTTTGCACGCAGGGAGTGCAAAGAGATTGTTAACACGTAAGTGCACCTGAGGAGCCGTTACAAATTGGGGAGATGGCGACGGGGGAAGGAGGTTGAAAGAATTAAACGTTAACCCCAGATGGGGAAAAAATAAACCCTGAGTGGAAACTTAAAAATGCGATGTTACAACCTTTGCCTTGGGGTACGGGGCATATTCTCCCCTTGCTTTGAAGAGCATTCCCCTTCATGGGAGCAAAGAGTCTCCTTTTGCAAGGATGCAAAACGGAAGGGGACATAACGGGACGATGTTCCAATGTGCCATCTATACGTCACACAATCATGTAGAGAGTTCCACCTGCACGAGGAAATGTCACCATACATTTTTGCCACCGGCGTAGCACCTCTCCCCCCCGTTGAGTCGTTCTCTTACACCCCTTCTGCGATTGGGGAACATCGTAACAAGGAGAAAAAAAAAACAGCAAAAAAGAACAAAAAAAAGCACAACTGTATTTGAAATTCTCCAAACGGGTGAGCCTGTTGTGCCAAGAATGAAGGAGCCAAATCTTCTAGCGATTGCGAGTTACCACCCGTCGTAGCGAAATGGTAAGCAGTGACGAGTGCAAACCAGGTACTTAACCGAGGGAGGGAAATAAATGCCCCTCCAAAGTGGTCGAGGCCTATTAGCCCAGTTAAAAAGAGAGAAGAGGAAGAATTGCGCAAATGAAACTTCTACAATGGATAAGAAAATGAACAGAACGGAGATGCCATCAAAGCAGGGAACTGAGTAAGACAAATTGAGCTGAGGCTAAAGGGTTTAGGAGCGTTGGGGGAGAGAGGGGTATACCCCCTCCGACGGGTGTGCATAGACATATTATGTCGATGTGTACGTTTAGACCTCTATGTATGCATCTTTGTAGCGTGAGGAGAAAAAAAAAGACATGTGTGTTGCTTCATTTAGTAGTATAAGGCCGAATAACTTTGTCTTTGCGTTCCCTTGCGGGGGCCGCTTATCTTTCCGGAAGGGATGCATCACGTGAGATTTCGCGAAAATGGGGAAATATGCTTACTCTGCAAATGGGAAGATTTTTTTTTTTTTTTTTTCCCGATGCTTCCCCAGCGTTGATACTTCCACTTGGACATCGTCTGTTAACGCATTTGGAAGCTTTCCAAATGGAGTACTTGCGTGGACGTCCCATTCACGATTTTGCCAATTTTTGTAATGCTCTTTTTTCGCTTCACTAATTTATCTGCCATTGCTTTCACAGCATCGGTTTTGCGCCCATGTGTTTAGCGCGTAGCTCAGCTATAGGCTTTTTTTTCCCTTCGCCCTCGAGAGCATGAATTTCGGGGAGAGTCACTTTTAAGTTTCATATCGGAGTCCTTTGCTAATTTAGCATATTTATGACCTTTACCATTTCACTCGGAGTGACATAGAATTAGCATGTGTGAGCCAGTCCCTGCGCGGGAGATATTCGCTCATTAAGGTTCGCCTGGGCCGTGCGATTTGCAAATGTGCTCGTAAAGTAAAATCGGCTCGCTGTACCCAACCCAGCCTGAGGAGGGGGTGATTGCCTTTACGTCCCTTTGCACCGCTAGGAAGAAGCCTCCTTTTTTTTCTCTTTTCGAGGCGCAGCCCTTTGTCCCTCAATGGGAGTCCCCCAAAGGTATACACGCGCACATGCACAAGTACACACGTCCGTAATGTAATTTTATGTGCATACGTTCCATTACACATCCATCATTCCCTCTCCCCCTAAAGCACTACCCACGCGATGAGGCGTTTTCATTTTTTTCATTTGATTAGCGCCACGGGTACACATGAAACATCTAACAGTGAGTGCTCCCTCTTTCCCCACCGCCAGCACTGCTTAAGAAAAAAAAAAAAAATTATTTTTTTTTTTCCCCTTCAAAAATTCGCACGTAAAACTCGCCATTGTATAATGGGCACATATTAGAACATTGCTCAGAATGGTGTGTGAATGTTACATTAACGAGTGTTTCCCCTTCGATTAGTTAGCCGTACACATCCATATCGTTGCACATCGTGGGGGCAGTTGACTTACCGTAATATGCATAGCCAGTGTAACAGCAAAAAAAAGGGAAAAAAAGAAGAAAGATTAGAAAAGGTATCAGAAAAAAATAGAAGACAAAAATTATAATAAACAGTAAAGATCGCTTCCCATTTTTTTGCACACTCTGCGCACTTTTCCTTGTGTACGAAATTCCTGCATTTGCCTCTGGAGATGTCACGGGACGTACGTCCCACCGCTATTTGGAAGTACGCGAGCGCTCTGATACGTGTACACACGGACGCACCTGTGACTTGTGCTGTGTGACCACCTTATTGGTAATTGGCTCATTTCGCAGAAAGAGATGCCGAAGTAGGGGTCATGTTTCTGTTTCCGTTTGTTGCTTTGCTCCAGATTCGCATCTTCCTCGTTCCTGTTTTTTTTTCTTTTCTTTTCTTTTTTTTTTTTTTTTCTTTCTTTTTTGCCCCCCCAACAGCGTCCCCTCGTTTTCCCTCAACCCAATTTAATGATTCACCCTATTCTTCTCTTGTCAATCAGCTCACAATGCCACGAATTAAGCGAAGAGAACCCTAAACACGTAGAAAAGGGGGGTGGAACGGCGTTTGCATTTTAGATGTGCACGCTGTTTTGCTTTCACGCTGTCTGCCTCGAACTGTCCTGCGTCGACTCATTGCTTTTTGCTCACATTTCGACGATTCATTTTCTACACTATTTTTTGCGAAGAATTGCCAATTTTTTGCGCAATTTTGCTTCATTTTTTGACCCGGTTTGCCTATTTTTTTCACCCCTCTTTCGCCCCCGTTTGCCTAATTTTTTCACCTCACTTTTTATACTTTCCCCCGTTTCTCACGACGTATTATTTATTCTCCAATTATTTTTACTTTCATTTTTATTCTTATTTTTATTCTTTTTGATGGTTCAGCCCCTGGCTGCCCCTGAGGGCGGAGGAAAATTCCTCGGGGCCCCAGCCGATCGATTTTAAAGCTCGCATGTGCAGGTAGATGCACAGGGGTGTCAAAGCAGAGTTCGCCAAGGCACGTCACACTCGTTTAGAAGGGTGTGGATGTGTACCTCGCGGGGGAGTAGGGAATGCCTCCACATGTGTAGCTAGTCCCTCACATCTGTTGCTAGTCCATCACCTGTGCTGCTAATCCCTCACTTGTGTAGGTGTTGGCCGCTCCCGTGGCTTCCTGTGTGGGGTGGAATTCGAACAGCTCCCTTGATGGCTTTTCTCAGACCCTCTCGACCCTTTGGCCAAGTCCTCCGAATTTTTCACATCCCTTTCTACGTTTTATGCACGAGAATTCTGGTTAATCCTTTATCTACTTAGTATCTTCTTATTATCTAGCTTTTTTTTGGCCATTTTTTAGCGATTTTTTGGCAATTTTGTGGCTATGTTCCTGCCATTTCCTTCCTATTATCTATCCGTTTAATGAGTTGTCATAGGAATTGCCCGACGAATTAGAGCAGACATTACCGCTCTAATACTTCTACCTCTTTTCTGCCCAGTTGCCCTCCTAGCCGCGCGTGTCGTTATGCACACCCTGCATGCAGCCGCACCTAGTTCGGGTAGACTGTTACGCGCGGCGTAGGCGAGCCCCGGAAGGTGCAAGTCTGTTTGGCGGCTTGATTGGCGGCCCTATTGGTATCATCTTGCCGTTTGTTACATCATTCTGCATCTGATTGCCCACACCTAGTGGTGGCACTTTCCCCTTTTTCCCTCTGAACCCACATCTCCGCCACCATGTCGAAAAATAAATCCATCGAGGAGAGGTACCAGAAGAAGTCGCAGATTGAGCACATCCTGCTCAGGCCAGACACGTATATAGGGAGTGTGGAGATGCACACGCAGCTCCTGTGGATATGGAGCAAGGAGCGAAATCGAATGGTCCAGAAAAATATAACTTACGTTCCAGGACTGTACAAAATCTTTGACGAAATAATTGTTAATGCAGCAGATGTGAAGGCCAGGCAAAGTGACAAAAGCGAAAATCCTATGACGTGTATCAAAATAGAGATTAACAGAGAACAGAAAAAAATAAGTGTCTACAATGATGGAGAGGGAATACCTGTGGACATCCACAAAGAAATGAATATCTACGTACCGCATATGATTTTTGGAGAACTACTAACCTCGGACAACTATGACGATGCGGAGGATAGAATCACAGGTGGGAGAAACGGGTTCGGAGCGAAGCTAACGAATATATTTAGCAAAGAATTCATCGTGCAGTGTGGAGATAGCTCCAGAAAAAAAGAATTCAAAATGGTGTGGACAGATAATATGTCTAAAGTTTCAGAGCCACAAATTAAAAACTATAATGGGAAGGATTTCGTGAAGGTTACTTTTAAACCTGATTTGGCCAAATTTGGAATGACAGAAATGGATGATGATATCGAGAGTTTGCTATGCAAGCGTGTGTACGATTTGGCCGGCACGTGTAGCGTGAGGGTTTATCTCAACGGGAACCGGCTAGCCATTAAAGATTTTAAAAGCTACGTCGATCTCTATTTGAAAGACAACGCCGGGGTCAGCCCCGGAAAGGGGGGAGGGAATAGCAGCGCGAATGGTAACACAGACGCTAATACGAATGGCACCGTTAACCCCGACCTGAGTGCAAGTCAGACGGCGCAGAACCTAGACGTGAGCATGTCGCAGGAACCAGGAGAAACAACTCCCACCAAAAGCAACGCTGGGAATGGAACGAACAACAATGATGAGGAGGAGATTGTGAAGATACACGAGAAACAGTACCGATGGGAAATCGTCGTCTCGAAGACAGACGGGTCGCAGTTCCAGCAGGTGTCCTTCGTGAACAGCATATGCACAACGAAAGGGGGGTCCCACGTAAACTACATCGTAGAGCAATTATTGAATTCCCTTAGTAAGAAGGCGAACGCGAAAAATAAAGGAGGAATGGAAATAAAATCGGGACATATAAAGAACCACTTGTGGGTGTTCGTCAACTGCTTAATCGTTAACCCGACATTCGACTCACAGACGAAGGAAACCTTGACGACGAAGCCGGTGAAGTTCGGAAGTAAGTGTATCCTGTCGGATAAAACGATTAATAGCGTTTTGAAGAGCCCTATCCTTAGTAACATTCTCCTCTGGGCCCAAGCAAAAGCACAAGTAGAATTGAGAAAGAAGATGAAAGCAGGCTCGTCCAAAGCGAGGGAGAGAATTATTGGTATACCGAAACTGGAAGACGCAAACGATGCAGGAAGTAAGTACAGTCAGGAGTGCACACTCATTCTTACGGAGGGAGATAGTGCCAAGACGTCCTGTCTCGCTGGTCTCTCCATCGTCGGACGAGACAGATATGGAGTCTTCCCCCTTAAGGGAAAACTACTAAACGTGAGGGATGCGTCGTTTAAGCAACTAATGGATAATAAGGAGATACAAAATATCTTCAAAATTATGGGATTAGACATTACGGATAAGAATAAGGAAGACATAAAGGGATTGCGATACGGATCACTCATGATTATGACCGATCAGGACTACGACGGTTCGCACATCAAGGGGTTGCTAATCAACATGATTCATAAGTTTTGGCCAAGTTTGCTAAAGCATAGGGGATTCCTAAGCGAATTCGTTACTCCAATTGTAAAGGTGCAGAAAGGGAATCAGGAACATTCCTTCTTCACCATCGCCGAGTATGAGCAGTGGAAGGAGAGTACAAACCTACTCGGCTGGAAAATCAAGTACTACAAAGGGCTGGGAACATCTACCGACAAAGAGTTTAAGCAATACTTCTCAGATATTAAAAATCATAAAATTATGTTCCTATGGACTGGGGATCGAGATGGAGATTCCATCGACATGGCATTCAGCAAAAAACGAATTGAAGACAGGAAGTTATGGCTTCAAAATTTTATTATCGGCTCGTATGTAGATCATAAGGAGAAAGATCTCTCTTACTACGACTTTGTCAATAAGGAGCTCATATATTACTCCAGATATGACACCGAAAGGAGCATACCAAACATTATGGATGGATGGAAGCCAGGACAGAGGAAGGTGCTCTACGGTTGCTTTAAGAGGACCTTAAGGAATGAATGCAAAGTGGCACAACTCGTTGGATACATAGCAGAACACAGTGCCTACCATCATGGAGAGGCTTCCCTACAGCAAACCATTATCAATATGGCCCAAACATTCGTAGGATCGAATAATATAAACTTCTTAGAACCGTGTGGTCAATTTGGTAGTAGAAAGGAGGGAGGAAAAGACGCTTCCGCGGCGAGGTATATTTTTACCAAGTTGGCTAGCTCGACAAGAAGCATATTTAATGAGTATGATGATCCCATTTTGAAATACCTAAATGAAGAGGGACAGAAAATAGAACCACAATACTACATCCCAGTCATCCCGACCATCCTTGTAAACGGGTGTGAAGGAATCGGAACAGGTTACTCCTCCTTCATCCCTAATTATAACTACAAAGATATCATTGAGAATATTAAGAGGTACATTAATAAGGAACCCCTCATCCCGATGATCCCATGGTATAAAGATTTCAAAGGAAGAATAGAATCGAATGGAAAGACGGGGTACGAAACGATAGGAATAATTCGCAAGATAGACGATGAGACGTTAGAGATTAACGAACTGCCAATTAAGAAGTGGACACAGGATTATAAAGAGTTTCTGGAAGAGTTACTCACCGATGAGAAGAATCAGCTCATTGTAGATTACATAGATAACAGCTCCCATGAAGATATTTGCTTTACCATCAAAATGGATCCTGCTAAGTTGAAGAAGGCAGAAGAGGAGGGTCTCGAAAAAGTCTTTAAATTGAAAAGCACGCTGACCACCACCAATATGACTCTTTTTGATCCTAATTTGAAACTTCAAAGGTATTCTACCGAACTGGACATTTTGAAAGAATTCTGCTTTCAACGACTGAAGGCATATGAAAATAGGAAGAGCTACTTGATCTCAAAACTAGAGAAGGAGAAGAAAATCATCTCAAATAAAAGCAAATTCATTCTTGCCATTGTAAACAATGAACTCATTATTAACAAGAAAAAGAAAAAAGTCCTTGTGGAAGAATTGTACAGAAAAGGATATGACCCCTATAAAGATATCAACAAAATTAAGAAGGAAGAAATTTTCGAGCAGGAGTTACTCGAGGCGGTAGAAAATCCTGAAGACAATGAAGAAATAATTGCAGGCATTTCTGTTAAGGATTATGACTACTTATTGAGCATGCCCATTTTCAGTCTGACTCTGGAGAAGGTAGAAGAACTGCTAGCGCAACATAAAGAAAAAGAAAGAGAGTTAGAGATTTTAAAGAATATAACCGTGGAGACCATGTGGCTCAAAGATATCGAAAAAGTCGAGGAAGCTATTGAGTTCCAACGCAATGTAGAATTAGCCAACAGGGAGGAAAGCAACCGATTTAAGGTGGCAAAGAAACAGACGGGTAGCAACTTCAGGAAAAAGAAGAAGAAAAAGAAACTATCCAGTGACGAGGAATCATCAGGTGACTCCTCAGACAGTAGTGAATTCCTAGTGCGATCTTTAAACATTAGGAAGAATAAAAGACCGCCAAATAGTAGTGGCCCCAGTAGCACTACACGAAAAAAATTAAGGAGAACCGATGAAGGGGGAGATAATAATGATACCCCCATTCTAGTCAATGGATATTTAGACAATAGTGTATCTTACTCGGTGGGAGCGGTCGATGCTGCCACCAACATTTCAGACTCCACGCCGCTTCTTAGTAGAATTCTAGCCGACTCCATTGCAGACGTCACTCCTGTAGCTAGCCAAAATAACCGCAACAGTATCAAACCTGGTAGTAGTAAAAACTCTAGGAGGAAAAAGCTGCCCTGTCCGGAGCAGTCCCTCGGTAGTCCTCAGCCCAACGGGGTGGCGGTTAACGCTGCTGCTCCCGCCAACGGCCTTGACCAGACTCCCACCAAACCGCTAGGCATCCCTGAGAATATAACCATTTCACCCAACAGCACCATCAACGTTAATGACTTCTCCGGCATCCGGAGCAAGTTGCTCGAGCTCGGTACTTTCCTCCCGCGAGCGATTTATGCAGCGGCATATGCATCTGCATAGTGAGCGGTTTGTGGGGCGGCGTATGCATCTGCGTAGTGAGCGTTTTTTGAGGCGGCATATGCATCTATGTAGTAGCGGTTTATGCATCTTCGTAGTGAGCGGTTTATGCATCTTCGTAGTGAACGGTTTATGCAACTTTTTTTGAGTGGCCTACCCCCCTGCGCGGCGTGTGTAACCTCCCATGCACCCCCGTGCTTATATTCCCCGGTCCTTATATTCCCACGTGTCTATACGCCCCCCTGCAGAAAATAAGAAGAAGCCACGACTGAGCTTGGCCGAGAAGGTTAAGATGAAAGCCACGGAGAAGAAAGGAAGCCCCGCAAAGGAAAGCTCCGGAGGAAACTCCCCAGCCAAGAGGAAAAAGGTAAAACACAAGTCGGCATGTGTTACCATGTGTCAGCATGGAAGAGTTGCCCTTAGTATCTTCACGTCGTGCACATTGGAGCAAAAGTGAAGTTCCCTCTGAATTTTTCTTTCTTCTCCTGTTCTTCCACTGCATGTTATTATGCCCCTTGATTAATTGCCTCCCCTTCGCCCCGCAGAGCAACTTACTGGATGGCTCCAAGTCGAAAAAGAAATCCAAACTTGATAGCGATGATTCGAGCAAAGATGTAAGTCACGTTATGCCGACCATGTGTAGCGTGTGGCCAAGAGTTAATTATTACTCTTCCTTTCCTACATTACTATGCCCGTGTTGCTTACCTTTTGCTACTTGGACCCTCCTCCTCTTTCATTTCGGCGTGCCGTGCCTTTTCCCCCCTTTTCACAGTTTTCCTCATCCGATGACAGTGACAGCTCGTACAACATATAAGGACTTCCCAATGCTGACCAGTGGGTTTCTACTCATATCATGAAGTAGCCTTTTTTCATTGCACCAAAAAAGGAGACCAGTTAGGTGGACCGTATTTACGTAATTTTTTTTTTTTGTATATGTCTGTCCGTGTGTGTGCTTCATTTTTGCTTCCACCTTTTCTCCCCTTTCCTTCCTTTTTTATACTGCGTGTGTGCGTGGGGAGTCTTCCCCTTTCAGTTGCACAGAAGTGTGCCCTCTGCACTGGTACATGCACCTTTGCATTTGCAAACTCGAACGGACTCTCGCCCATTGGCGTTGCCTTTATTAAGTAAAAAGTGGGCACCAGGCGTGGTCCCAGAGGTGGCCGCGTAATAGGGGCGTAGTAGCCACATAACTGCCGCGTAACAACCACACTGCTGCGTTTCTAACCGGGTGAACGAGGCCCCTGCTGGAACGCTCCTCCGCTTCGAAGCTGTGCAAACCGTGGAGGAGTGGGAGCACCCTCCCCACGGTGGTGTTATGTTCCCCCCCTCCCGGTCATCATCCAAATGGACGTTTTCTAAGTGGTTCTTTGCGGATTAATAAAAAGGTAGGCTTCTTCCAAGCTGCTCTACACCCATATGGGTGGGGTCTATATTTTTCTTTTTCGTCCCAAGCGATGCTAACTTCTGTGTGCATCAAATTGCATATTCTATCAATTGAAGTAGCGAAAAAAAAAAAAAAAAAAAAAAAAAAACCACGCTCAAGTGCATGCACTTGTATTATGCTGCATTTATTAGCTACAATAAATTATGCTATGTTGAGATAAACTGGACTGATTATTTTTTTTTTCCTTACTGTGTGAGGTGAAGAGTGTCCTTTCATATTTTCCTGCACATGTGCGGTTTCGTTAACCCACTGAAAATGGCGAACTGATTAAGACCCCGTCGAAAGGGTATTAACCCTTCTCCTCCCCCATTTGCTTCTATATCTCAGACAAAATGTGAAAGTAAAATGTCAAGAGGTGCAGACATATATGATCCGTTTGTTTGACGCTTATCAGCAGAAGAGCGTCCCCACTTTGCATTTCGCCCACTAAGGAAGTGTTATAATACGTGAAGCTCCATCCCCCCCCCCATATAAAATCACCCGAATGGAAAAGTGTGTGTAGAAATGTTTTTTGCATGAGCAATTATGTTAACCTGTGGGCGGTATTGTGCTGGAAGTTGTGGCAGAATAAGCTGGCGGTGTCAGACGAAGAAGGGGGAATATAGGAGAGGGTGGCGGCGGTATTGCACTAGCGGTTTGCAGACAGAGCACTTGTTCACATGATCATGAGAGTGATCGTCAAAGTTCCTTGCTAAGTGGGAGGAGCAACACGCTTCCTAGCGAGCAAACCAGAAAGGAGTTGGTAGGTTTCCTCGAGGGTGATTATCATGCATTATGCATAAAAGGAGGACTCCTTCAACATAGTGCATAAGGGTGAGAACACCCCGATGTGTTGGTTACTTAGTGATGAACTTAGTGGGGGAACATAACAATTGTTTTTTTTTTTTTTCAATTTCGTGTATTGCTCCCCCCTTCCTGTACGTACAACATAAAATACGGCCTTTTCTAGGCAGTGCAGATTTAGGCTTCACCTTATTCGCCCCATCAGTCGACACCCCCCTTTGTAACAAGATGCCAATAGAAAGCCATGGAACAACGTTTCGAAGATTTTGAGATATGGCAAAAAAAAGAAAAAAAATATATATATATATTTACCCACCCCCTCTGGGACGATGGATGAAGAGCTGGCCAATATTATGATCATTGGGAGGGGCTCAGATGGGCACTGTTTTTTTCGGTCGAGAAATTCTACGAATTTATAGTGACACCTTTTCCTCCATTTTAGCAAACGAGTTATGATGTTTTAATTTTTCGAGATTATTTTGCGTAGAAGGCGGTCACCCCGTCGAATTGACCGAGGGAAGCGTGGTTGACATCCATTTCGGTGTGGCGAAAAGAAAGCAACAAAGTGGAACAGAGGGGAGGACAAAGGAAGAGAAGAGAACAGGAATGGTTACCCCCTCGCAAATCATTAAAAACGGGGAATCCCTTAAATACGAGCAGCGCGGCTCGCTGCACTGAGTTAATGACGTACTTTCTGACAGAATGGAAAGTACTCTAAGTGGTTGAAAATTCCGGTCGAACTGGGTGCCCCTTTTGGAGACGGCCCTTTTGGGGATGCCCCTTCTGAATTAGCCCCGGCCCCCAAGATGGTAAGGCTTTTACGTACCCCTCAGCTTAACCATGTATACACATGTACACCTCTAAATAACCATGCGGAGGGATGAGCGAAGTACTAGGAGGCATAGTAAAAAAAAACTAAAACATTCGATTCTGTGAGCAGAAATAACAAGAGTGGGCAATCCTTTTGATAGTTACAATGGTGCGTATGGCTTCCCTAGTTAAATCGTTACATTTTTATTTCCTTTTTTTGTTCGCGCTATGCTGCTCGCGTGTTTTTTTCTTTTTTAAGCGTACAATTGGTGAAAACATTGAAAAGGGTATACTGCGCAGGGTTATACAGAGAGGTGAAAAAGAGGAAAGGGGCTCACTTCGTCGCAGGGAAGGCTCTTCTCCTAAATAGCGCTCTTATATTTTATCACCTTGGAGAAATACCATATAAGGGAATCACAAAAAATAAAAAAAAATTTTAAAAAGAGAACAAAAAAAATAAAATAAAATAAAACTTTTTCCATGTTCATATATGCCTGCTTACAAGTAGCATTTTTTTTTTTCTTCTTTTCTTTTTTTTTATTGTATGTGTGTGCACGTGCTATTTTTTTTATACGTGGAGCCTATCCCGGAAAGGGAGATAAAAAAAGGAATGCCATTTGTGTACTTTATTTATTTACTTATTTTTTGGCCTAGTTGAACAATCTTTTCCTGCTTTTATCAATGTGCGTACAATTTTTGCGTTTGCGAAATTTTGGGCCCTATATCTCCCCACTATGCGCGTGGCGTGCACAATGACACGGGGTACGGCTCACTCCCCCCGCGGATAATACGTAAGTAAAAGTAGCACGCCTATGCAAGGTGTATGCAAAAAAGTATGCATGTGATTCGCGTGGATGTAAGCAGAAGTATGCATGTCATTCGTTTGGATGCACGCAAAAGTATGCATAGCCTTCGCTTGGGTATTACCCCGAAGCAGTGCGTAATTCCCCGCACGCGTATACGCATGCATACACGTATGGTTTGTGATAAAAATGGGCATTTTTCATATATTCCTACGTTTTGCGATTTTCTCATCCTTTCAGTTTTATTTGATCGTTTCACACCCTCCACTCCCCAGTTCACCTCGCGCGTTATCGGCGCCTCATTATCCCCATCGTGAGTACTACTCTTATTATGGCAAGATAGTATGCCATTTTAACGCATTTCTGCATATGGAAAAAAAGGTACGCACAAAAAAAAGAAAAAAACTGAGTACATAATTAATCAATATCTCACTGTGCGCAGAACACGGTACATATGCCTCAGTGGCGTTTAAAAAAAAAAAATGTTGATTTGTTTTTCAATCAAAAATGAGCTTACAATTCTGGAAGGAAGAAAATGAGGAGAGAAGAAATTAGCACTTGCACATGCAACAAACTCGCAATTTTTTTCTCGCCCGCGTACGTGTTTTACGTGTCCCCTATTTTTATTGGGTGCCCCCTTTGGCTCGCACTTCGGGCCACTTTGCGATGAGCTTGGGACCAATTGAAATAAACTGCGACCAACAGAGATAAACTGAGACCAACTGAGATAAACTGAGACGGACTTAGATAAACTGAGACGGACTTAGATAAACTGAGATCAACTGAGATCAGCTGAGACCAGTTGCGACCATTTTGTTCACCCCTGTGTGTTCTTCCCCAGTTCTGTTCGCATTTCCTCGTCGGACTTGCTGGCACTACTGATCTAATCCTGCTAAGCGTCTCTACTCAGACCCGACCGGCATTTCTCTCCGACCCTGTTTCCACTTTGTTCACATTCTGTTTCCACGTGTGTGTGTCTTTGTGTCCCCATTTATGTGAATATTTCTGTTCCCCCTTTTATGTGCGCATATCCGTTCCCATTTTCCCCCTCTTTTTCCTGCCATTTTATGCCACTTTATCGCCCACAATTGGTCCCCTCTTTTTTTCTTCCCAATTCTACCCTGTTTCAAAATTTTTTTCGTTCTCTCACACTTTCACACTTATTTTTCCTTCACCTCTCAAATTGCATACAATATTACGTATTTATTTTTCCCCTTTTTTATTTTCTCTTTTTTTTTCACGTGCTGATCACCCTCCGTTTGTAGGACGTAATATTTTTTTTTTTTTCGAGCCAAGTTTCCGATTGTGGGCCATTTTGTACATCCAGAACTTGTTTACGCACAAACGGTGTACCTACCAGGCGTAGTGTACTTGCCGCGTCATTAATTATAGGCGCATTCCATCTCATGTGATACTATGTTAATTTCTTTTCTCATATAATCCACATTTCCTGATTTCGTAATTTCATACACTTGGCATTTTTTGAAGTGAAAACATTCTGTAACCTTTTTTTTCCCGCTTCTTGTCCGCCGTGACTATTTTTTTTTTATTCTCAAGAGGGAATTTTATCACTGGGCGGCATTTTTTTAAAATGTTAAAGGAGGGAAAAGAAAAAGAAACAACAAGCTTCATGCAGCATTGTACAGAAGTAACAGCTGCGAAGTCGCCAAATAACCGCAGAGGAACAGCCCAGTAACGGCAGTGAAATAGCCAAGTTAACAGCAGAGGAAGAGCCAACTGGCCACACCTCAACTCTGATTCATTCACACCATAGTAGCTTAAAAAAAAAAACACTAAGGGGAGGAGGAAAAAAAAATATCTGATAAACTAACCCGCCCTCCCCCCATTTTGACATGAAAACATAAAAAACGAATCTGCCACTCCTAAATGAGTTCTGTACAAGGCTCCAGTGTACACAAAGTGCTAAGTAGGAATAAAATGAAGGTTGCCTTTGACCATGGTTTGGTATGTGGAGGTATAAATAAAGGTACAATCAAAATGGAGAAGAAGCAAAATGCAGAGTCGGACGTACAGAACTACGGTTGCCATGTGCCAGTCAAAAAGGGACATTACTTTGGCGAAAATGCAAAAGTGTTCCTTCTTGTTATGCGCCACTTACACAGGAGGCATGATAACCAGAATGCCATCTATGGGGCAGCGAAGAGAACTAATTCTTTGAGCAATATCAAGTGCGGAGTTTTGCTGTTACTTGTATTGTATAAGAATAGGAAGAAGGCTAGTCTTGTCGCCGACTTTGCGGTGAATTCGAGTACCCTAGGAGGTGTCCTGTCTCAGTGGGTAGAGACATATGACAGTGGTGATACCGGTCCCGATGATGGGGCGGAACAGGCAGCCGAGAGGGGAGGTCACGGTGATGACGAGAAGGGTATCTACCTCGATGGATATTCCTTAGGAAGAACCGTCTCGCCACCTAAGAAAAATAATATGCTCTTTTTAAAAAGAAGCGGGGATTGTCCGTTTCTGCCATTTTGTAAAAATGCCAATTGCGTAAAGGTGACAAAAAAAATAGGCTACAACAAGAGAACCAAAAGAAGGGGAAACATTCATGCGAAGTTTCATCGGGGGGGTAGCTCCAAATGGTCTTGCTGTTCGCCGAAGGGTGCTGACCTGGCTGCAAGTGAACAGTTGGTAAACTCGGGAGAGGTGCAGCGATTTGACGAAACGGAGAATTGCTTCATGGGAAGGAGCACTCTAGTGAAGACATCCCTCGCTATGGAGCAACTCGCCAAGGCGCACCTCGCAACGCGCAGGTCCATCTGCAGCACTAATGTTAACCGTACAAAAACGAGCAACAAATGTACAGTCAGTCTATTGTGCAGGCCAAGTGGCTTACGGTGCGCAGGATATGCGATCCGAAGGAACAAACAGACAATTGGTTCCTTCGCCACTATTCACGATTTAAATTTTTGTAAGAAAAATGAGCAGAAGGTTTTATGTTCCCACATGCATAACAACGACATAAGTGCAGAAGGAGCTAACACAGACGATGCAGTTACCCCTTTACATTCGGGACTTTTCCATGCCAAGGGGAAAGATCCACAAATTACACCCAAACGTGAAGCACTAATTTTGACATCGAGGGACTATCAGAATGTTCCTTTTATTTCTCCCTTTTCCACCTTCGGAAAGGTAGGAGGAAATAAAAATATATTTGTAACTATAGGGAACGGTAAAATGAGTAACAGCTGCGGTAGAGCCAACTGGTGCAGTGGTAAGAGCCGCTTGGAAAGAACCCCCCTTTTGTGTTTTCATGCGATTAATCGGTTTGTATCCAACAGGGTTGCCCTCATTGTGGTGATAGCCCAAAGAACAGTCTGTGATGTTGTCAAATTGCTGTTCCAAGTTGCCATAACTAGGGTGGCACGAATGGCAGCCTTAATGAGTGTCATTGTAGGCTCCTTAGCAATTGCGCTGAGGGAGATTCTCCTGTCTGCTCAACTTTGCGCCCAGATGGTGGCATCCCTATTGGCGAAGCGGCCACCTCTAATAATCGGACAAAGGAAGTGCAGTGAAGCGAGGAGCCCAGCACAGAGATGCATATCTACCAAGAAATGTAACCTATTAAGCATATCACTGAAGGATTGCACCTCCGATCAGGTAATTTCTTCCCACGGTAGAAGCACACTTAGATTATTCTCAAGTTGTACCTTTTCGAAAAAAGAAAGTGACATATGCAAGGTTCGTTTCCCTTCAGTGGAGAGTCCACCATCTGATAATTTGAAAGTGGAAGAAAACAACTCCCTGATAGCAGTGCATATTAGGAGGGAGAGTAATGGAGCACAGAATGTTACCCTAGTTGATATGCCTAGAGAAAGAATTAAACAGGAAAAAATAAAACAACCCGCGTATATCTTTTTTCCGCTTTGTAACACATCGAATGTGTCTTGGGACAGGGAGGACTACTTGATGGTTGTGCCCACTCACCCGATTGTTCATGTCGGGGGTAGAAGCGAAGACCGGAGAGGTAGACAGGGCAGGTGCAAACACGGCAGGTGCAGACACCACCCACGTGACCACACCGCATTTCCATTTTGTCCACTCATGAAGTGCTCAATTTGTTATTTATCTCCATGCAGTAATGAAGAAATAAGTGAAACGTTCAATTGTTTTACTTATCCTTTATGCTCTGTGTGCATCCCCCATGGGGAGTTTAGGTCCTGTCGTGAATTTCACCGTGTGTTAATTTTACATTTCGCCAAATTGTACACACGCATGTTAGCTTCTACAAGAGAGGTGGGATTCAACGCATTCGTGACTCGCCTCACTTTGGAGACCTGCTGCATGATAGGGACCCACCTCAAGGTGGCCATCCACCACACCTTGGGCGAGTTGATTATTTCACTTTTTTTTGTAATGCATGTGATGTCCGTCCGTTTATGTGTCTCCATGATAGCCATTTTGAATGAGGAAGGCGATGCAATGTTAAGCATGTTTTTTTCGAAGAAGGGGGCATCAACTAGAGTGCTCACCTGCGTCGTTTCTTCCCGTTTGGTCCATTTACTGGAAAAATATTTCAAAGCAGATTTGCGTGAATCGCTTATTTTTTACCTAAACGGTGCAGGTAAATTTGGCAGAAAAATGGAGAGAACAACCGGCAGCAAAACGGACAGTGATTATGCTGCCACGAATTTATTGCGATCTTTGTATTATTACGCACCTATCATCATTGCCCCTTTTTTGTTTGTTTCAGGAATGAACACTATATGTTGTGTTTCCTCGGATCAGAATGAAATGAAGAACAAGACCGTCATCCCGACGTTACTATCGATCCTAGGTAAAACTCGAAGGGGTGGCGACCATGCGTGGAAATATAACTTCATTAGAAGGGACCCCCACGTGTGTAGCAACCAAGAAGGTGACAGCGAATGGGGCGGTAATAACAACGATTATGCGGAGGGTGGTAGTAGTCCTAGAGGAGGAAACCCCAATGAAGGTGACAATCCCCCTCAAGAAGTCAATAATAACCCCAATGGCAATGGTAACCAAGGAGGTGACAAAGGCGATAGGGATAACCGAGATGGGAATGACAACAATGAGGAGCAGAGGGGGGGCTTCCCAAAGGAGCGGGAGGAAGAGGAGGAAGAAGAAGATGAGAATGCTCTGATGGAAAATCAAAATGGGAAGACGAAAAAGAAACGGAAAAAGAAATTAAACGATAAAAGTAGGAATATTAATAAAGCCACCAGTGCAAGGAGGAACAAAAAAAAAACGAATACCCTAATAGATACGCCAGACCAGAGTAACATGGCTGCAGGCAACTACGGAGGTGTGCGTAACATGAAACAGTTTCACACATTTGGAGGACTGAATAGCATTGCCGGTGTGAATAACATGGGAGGCATGCACAATGGCTCCTTCCTTTATAATAACCACGTGCCAGATAAAATTATGCATGACGGTATGGGTAAGGTAAATATGAAGCCGGGGGGCGGTTATCCCAGTAGGATGGGTGGCGATACGAACTATCAGATGGGTGGTCATGCTGGCGGTCATGTTAGCGGCCATATTGGCGGCCACGTAGGGGGGAATATCCCCGCGCACAGCGGCGGCAATGCGGTCGGCCAGGTACACAACGGGAATTTTAACATGTACATGAATAACCGCGGGAGCATGCCTTATGTACCCCCTTATGCCAATTCTAACGGCCCCATTGGAATGAATTTGAACAACGCGATGGGAGGGTCGATGAACGGCTCTCTGAGTAACCACGCGAATAGCAGCGGCCAGGCCAGCAGTTCGATGCGGGGCCAGATGAACCACATGAACAACGGCTTCCGAAACAGCGTGATGAATAACAACAGCGGTCAGATGAATCGAATGATGACCAACTCCCTCAGTCCACACCTAGCGAGCAGCGGCGTGAATAGAGGCCTGAACAGCGGCGTAAACAGCGTAGGTAGTAAGATAGGTAACTACGGGATGCACTTTAACCAGCCTAAGGGAAACGTAGCGAATGAGCACGTGGGAAATAAGATGAGTTTCCACATGAATGGTCAGATGGGAGTAGGATGTGGAGTGCAGAGTGGAATGAATAACGGAGGCAACAACAGCTTTGCGCACCCCTCGAGCAACAACGTGGGAAACGTACCCAATAGCCTGGGCAGTTCAGTAAGCAGCAGCGCCAACATGAATATGGAGGGACAACCACCAAGTGCCAGCAATCATAAGAAGGGGCACGGGAATCTGCACCAGGGAGGCAAAAGGATGAGCACGAGTTCGCTGTGTAACCAAATGGGAAGTCTCCAGGGCGGCAAGGCGGGGGCACACATGAATGGTCATATGCATAGTCCGGGGAGTGGCCACATGACCAACCAGGTGGGCGGACCTGCGATGAGTCAAAGGAGCGGATCATTGATGAGTCAGTCTAGCGGGCACTCGAACAGAGGACTCACCAGTACAATAAACATGAACAAGTTGAGCAACGCCAGGAAACTCAAAAGCGGAAATGGAAATTTAGGCATGAACAATCATATGATGAATCAAATGGGTAGCTACGTGAGCCTCCAAAGGAGTCTCAATTCTGTGACGAAAAATATGATGAGTGTGAATGCACCCGACGGAATGAACAATGGCAAAATGAAAGACACAGTCATGAACAACAGTGTGTATAGGAGCAACAGTCTCTTGAGCGACCCCCTGATGTACAGCAACAAGGCGGGCCAAGGGAGCGCCATGAAGAGTGAGATGATAAACAGCGACATGATGAAGAGTGAGGTGATAAACAGCGATATGATGAAAAAGCAGATGATGAAGAAGAACCAGATGAAGAAAAACGGGATGATGAAAAATGAGATGATGAAAAATGAGATGATGAAAAATGAGATGATGAAAAATGAGATGATGAAAAATGAGATGATGAAAAATGAAATGATGAAAAATGAGATGATGAAGAATGAGATGAGAAATAATAACAGTTATATGATGGGCATGATGAACGACAGCTTCGTCAACATGGGATCAGGACCGGGACCGCATCTAAGTTTCCCTCCCATGAATAGCCTCCCCATCTGCAGCAATGGAAGCGCCATGAAATTTGCAGGAGATAGATACACCATGAGTAAGATGTCCCCCAACAGCAGCGTAGAAGGAGGAGTAAGCGGTGGAGTATCTAGCGGAGTCGCTGGCGGTGTATCTGTCGGAGGAACCAATGGGAACGTCGCCATGATGATGAACAGAGATATGAGCGAAATGGGTAACCCCCCTGGAATGATGAACTATCTAAGTGGCAACAATTTTGTAAATAAAAATATCAAAGGGGTGAAGATGGAGACCGGTTACCCCTTTGAGCAGATGAACATGAGGAGTGACCAGATGCAGCATTTGGAAGTCCATCAATCCAATATGGGCAACTTGCATATGATTGTTAATAGTTCCAAAATCTACCTGAACAATGTGCAGGTAGGAAATGAGAAGTTGAGTGGCGGAAATTTTGTTCAGGGAGAAAGTAATCAGCTTTATCCGTATGAAAGTGGAGCAAACAGCAAATGGGGAGGTAGTAGTGTGCATAAGGATAACGACGATCTGAAAGGAATAGGGAATGCCATTGCATGTGGAACTGTGAACGATGTAGGAAGTGTCATTAGCAATCAAAACAATACAGTCGTCAGTAGCAAGAAAAAAAACAAGAACAATTTGAAAAATGGAAGGGAAGACGAATTCAATAACAGCCATAATTTAAGGAGTGTAAAAATTAACTGGAGTAAATATGATAGCATTTTTAAAAAAATAAAATTAGAAAAGGATTACGAAAAATTTATCAACAAAGATGAGGAGAAGAAGAACCTGTCTGATGCAGATACGGAAGACAAATCGGATGATTCCGATGAGAACCCAGACCCAGGATTTAATGACCTCCTCAATATTAACTTTAGGTCTTTCATCCATGATTACAATGATGTGTTGAATAAGTTAAACTCAATCAAAGTGAATGATAAAAATGCGTTTAAGAATAATGCCTACACAGAATTGTATGAGGAGATCTTCCTAAACATTGAGCGTTTTTTTGACATTTCGCAACTAAGGCATGAAAATAATTTTACGCATTCGAATTTTTATAAGAACACCCTTGATCGTGTTAGCGGAGGAGACATCCTTCTCTCTAATGGTAGTGGGAGCCATTGCTACCAAGGGGGGGTAACTTCCACCGAGGTAGTGGCAGTAACTCCTACTGCACCATCTGCGACCGCGTCTAGTGTGGCCCATGACACGCGAAAGATGAAACCCAACGCAGGAGGAAGCTCACAGGTTGAGCAGCCCGAGAAGGGGACTCACGACGGTGAAGATGAAATTATGAAAAAGAGCAAGGCGAACTTCTTTCAAAGTGTGTCCCGCAGCGCGGGGAATAATTCACTCTTCGAAATGTTATTAAAAAAGAAGAAAGAGTTTGACGAAATTTGCATGCTGCATAACTTGGACTGGGCGCTGCCGGATGGGGAAACTGCCTCCCCTAACGAGGCCAATGGCCAGAATGTGGCGCCCACCGGGAAGAATTTTACCCCCGCTGAGAAGAATTTCCCCTACGCCGACATGAATTTCACATCCAGCACTTTGCAGGGCTCCCCTGCGAAAAATAAGATAGACGTGCCCGCGCTAGACTACCAAAACGGTGCTGCCCACTTGGGGAGCGTCAACCTTCGGCAGACACACGAGAGCAACCCAGGAACGAACAAAAAGGGAGGGAATGAAATAAAAAACGCAGCCTACCAAAACCACTTCATCGAAAAGATACTATCGAAACGATACAGGACTTATTCCATTAACGAATTTGTAAATGTCCAGCTGAATGACAACCTGCTTGAACTTATCGACATGCATAAGCAGAACCTCTGTTTTAACATCAGGAAGATGCTGAAGAAAAAAATGAGCCACCAGAGAAAGAGACGCTTCGATTGGCATTATGGCGCCAAGGCGAAGAGGCGAATTAGTAAGAAGACGCGCAAAGGTAAGAAAAAAGAATTACTCATGGGAAGGAAAAAAAAAAGGAGAAGGATAATACCTAAGGGGAAGGAGTTTCCCAGCACAACCTTGAACGTGATGGGAAAGATCAGCAACGGTGATGAGTTGCCGAGTGGAGAAGCAGGACTGGATGCCCACTTGGGAGACGATCACCTCGTCACAGAAGGGAAGAACCCATCTGGGGAGGATATAGACAAACCGCTTTTTATCTTCTCATCGGGAAATTCTAGGAAGAAAAAGAAAATCGATCAAGACGATTCTGCTAATGTGGGGGGTAGGAAAAATGATCAGCATTTGCCTCCAGGGAGGAAGTGCAAGGAGGAGGAACGAAAAGATGATGCTGGAGAAGCGAAGCCTGAAGGATTGGAAGACCCGAGTGAAAACCCAGATGGTTCCATGAACGAAATTTTGGACAAGCTATCCTTGGGGCTCCTGGAAGGGAAGGTAAACTCCACGGAGAAGAGCCAAGGGGAAATGAAAAATAAGAGCGACAGTACAGTGGACCACAGCACGGTGGAGAAGCACAGTACGATGGGGAAGAACGGTGACATTAGCCTCTACATGGAGAAGAATGTCACGCAGAAAGAATATGAGCGACGTATGAATGGAGGCCTGATTCATGCATCAAAAATGGCCTGTATCAATCTCTCCATCAGCAGAGTGCAAAGAAGATTATTGGAGGAAAGGCGAAAGAGCAAATCCAACAAGCGAAAAAAAGTGATGAATCTTAAGTACAAAACGAATGCAATCATAGACTTTGGAGATAAAATCGTCTGGGTGTCATTCGAATTCAACCAACTGGACACTCTGAGGAAGATCAAAAATAACATGTTCAATCTGTACAATTTGAGTCAAATAGAGAACATGAAAGAATCAGAGATAACCTTGGAGAAGTGCATTACGAATGAAATGAGAAAATATAAAAATGTAAAAATTCGATTTTATAAATTCCTCAGTTACTACGATTTTGTTTTTTTGAAGAACCGATTGAACTTCATCAAAATTAAGTATAGGGATGGGGTGACAAAGACTCCGAGAGGGATGAGCTTACCAGGTAGTTCAATTCCGAGGCTGGCCGATACGCAGGAGGAGCACACAGCTGAGGCTACCTTGGTAGGAGTGCCTCTCAGTGAGAGTGGCGCTGCAGCCATCTTAAGTGACCCGACTACTGCTAATGTCCAATGCGACGCGGTGGAAAACAGATACAAGAGTGATAGCTCCCCTCAGGATGGAACTACTCAAGGTAATGACCGCGAGTCTTGGAGGGACGCTCTATTGAGCGATCCCCACGCTAGTGCCGAGCTCGTCACGAAGGATAACCCACAGGGAGATGTAGCCTCTATCGAAGAGGGGCTCATAAAAAGAGGAGAACTGAACAGCGGAGGCAATCCCCCTGTTTTGAAGAGTGAAGGGGCAGACCAGCCGTCGCAGGGTGATGAGGTTGGAACGGAGCAGCATCACTCCATTCGAGAGGGGTCCCTCACGCAGGAGCAATTTCTTTCCCCTCCACATACTGCCTCCATCTTCGCGAAGAGTGAGCACCACAAGAGCGAAGTGATATACCCGTACATGCAGTTCGCCAACAGAACAGATGGCGACATAAGTGACCTTCTAAATGACGTGAAGAATATGTGCATCGACTCAAACGACCATATGATCAAAAAAAACAAGCTAAGGAAGGACATAACACTCTTCCCACTGATTGACAGGAAGAGGCTCAATACCTACATCCGTCTCGATTTGAATGCCCCTCCTAAGAAGGAAGAACTTGTCCCAAATGAAATCGCCAACAATCATTCATTGGACAAAGATATGAACACCCTTAACAAATTCTTGAGTGCAAATTTGACGCTTGAAAAAATGGAATATGGAAAAGTCGGACCAGGAATAACTGGAGGAGCAGTAGGAACAGCAGCTAGCTCAGTCCCTGGCGAAGGAATCATTTTAGAAAGTTATGATCATGCAAGGAACAACCACATGCATAGTGATAAACAGAACGCAGCGAATTCTATCCTGATTGATAACTTCGTCTGGTCGAATAATCCCTCCCTTTTCAGCATCTTCGAGAAATATTATCTGCTGTTAAAAATGCAAAAGTATATTCTCCAATATAGGCATTTTTCAAAGAATAGCATTAAGAAGAAACTAAGTTCCGAATCGAATTGCGATGTTTATTCCAGTTCTAATTCGTTCAATGGTTCGTCTAGTGGGAACGTCAGAAGGAGAAGGAAGGCTGGAAAAGGAAGTAAGGGTGCAAAGAGGGGCGCAGGTCATAGATTCTCTTCCAAAGGGGGAAGCAGGGAGGGGGTGGCTGAGGTGAAGACATCCCCTAATGATGGCATCCCCGTGGGTGCGATTGGTGTGAAGCGCAGGAGAAAGGCTGGAGTGAGTAGCAGTGAGCCATGCAAGGAATTAAGCGGTTCGCCTAGTGGCGCCGAAATGGTGTGCGAGAAGGATGCCATGAATGAGTGTTCTCTGGTGAGTGTCGAGAAGAGTGAACAGTTCGAAGAAACCCCACTTGTGAAGATGGAACCGGAGGAGGAGCCGACGTGTGTGGAATCGATCAAGAATGAAGAAGGGGGTGACATGCAAGGGATGGCCGTCGAAAAAGATAGTGCACCCATTGGGAAGGGAATCAACGGCAGTGTAGAAATACCCCCGGACCAGGTTGACTCGTCCTACCCGGCCGTGAAGAAGGAAGTGGAGGAAGAGGCGACTGCAATAAGAAGTATCTTGGCCGATGAGGCGAATGTGTCAAGTGGAGGGCCCATGATGCAAGATGCCTGCATGGCGAACGAACAGAGTGTGATGCCAACGTGCAGAAGTGGGAGACTCAGGAGCGCAAGTGTGAGAAGCTTACACAGGAGCAACCTGCCCCAGAGAGGTTTGACCAAGAGGGAGGTGAGCTTCCTGAAGATAGAAAAAGACAGAGACGGAGATGGGGAGGCCGATAGGGATGTAGACAGAGACGCGGATAGAAGCGTCGATGGGGATGTGCACGGAGACGCCGATGCGGACGCTTATAGAGACTCAGACGGAGAGGCAGAACTCGACTCAGAGCTCGACCTGGATGACGGAAGCGGGACGAAAAGGAGAGGAAGGAAAAGAGGAAAAAAGAGGGGCAGGAAAAAAGGAGGAAGAAATAAATTCAAATCAGAAGAAGATAAAATGAGGGAAGGAGAAAATAACAAAACAATTTGGAGAAAAGCAAAAGGAGAAAATGAGAAGAATCAAATGGAGGAAAACAAAGGATTAACAGATCTTCCAAACAATGAAGACATGCTGGACGAAATGGATAAAGAAATCTTAGCCAACGAGGTTATACCAATCGATAAAGACATCATAATCGATCTGCTATGCGAAGAGGAAAAGCTAATAGAAAGTTACATTAAGCATTCCAAATTTGTCGACAAAAATTTAATATGCTTTCTGATTTATCTCAATACGGTTCAGAAGAGGCTAAGCTCCATCTCGAATAAATTGCTCAGGAAAGTCATCAGGGAAAATAAGATGCCAGTAAAGATCAGCGAAAACATAACTCGAAGTGACGAAATAACTTACCGATATCTTATGTTTGAAAGATGGAACCAATTAAGGTACTCTCTTTTTTACAATATCAATTATGTGAGAAGTGGTGGTAATAACAAAGTGATGCTTCAGGAAGGTGGCCAATCCGATGGATACAAAAATGTAAACATACAGACAATTTTCGATCTACACAAGTTTTCTGGAAAATATAAGAGACAGAAGTTACCTCCATTTGAGTATAGCATGTTTCTTAAGTACAGAATTCACAAGCAGAGTAAGTCATGTGTCGTTGGGGAGGATGGCGAGTCTCTCCTATCTGGTGGGCGCACACAAGGGGTAGAAGAAACGGAAGATGAAGAAGCCCTATTCATAAATAATGAAGAGAATTTCTGCGGCTTCTCAAATAACACCGATTTGAATATAACCCCAGTACTGTCCTACTGCTGCGTCTGCTTCAATGATGATTATAATAGTACACAGATCACTGAACAGGGAGACCATGTACAGAACATGTCTAGGAATAACTCAATTTCGAACGAGGCCGTGAATCTGAAGAGTGAGACCATAGATAAGACGCAGCAGGCAGGGGGAAGAAGTAGGTCCAGGACGCAGAAGGAGGAGGTGGTGGCCACTGGGGCGTCGGAACAGAACGGGAGGGAGAAGGGCGCCCTGGAGGCGACCTCTGCACGGGAGGGTGCTTTGGCCAGCATGGGCGGCGGTTTGAACGGCCCCGCCGGGGGGTGCGAGAAAAAAATCAACAGCATCTGCAGTGGCACAGAAATTGCCATTATCGAGAAGAACATCAAGAATAACCGCAACCTCATGATGCGCTGCGGACGGTGCTACATGCACGTGCATAAGTTCTGCTACATTTCGACCAAAAAAACGGAAGAAAACAGTTCCACCTATGCACAGCCAAGCACTTCCATCGGGTCCAACGAGTGGCTCTGTCAGAGATGCGAGTTTGAAAAGAAAACCCTCGGCACTAATTATCTGTACCTTTTTGACAATCACGTCAAATGTTACATATGCATAGAAAGAGGAGGAGCCTTCATCCAGCTTAGGAGTGACATCTTTGTCCACACCTTCTGCGCTATGTTTTGTGTGCCAGACTTGCTCGTCAATGCGAATGTGAATTTAGAACATATGGAAGAGTTCCTAAAACTGAATAATTTGTCTTTAACACAGGAGATTTTTTCCTCTCTTGAGAAGAAGAGACGAAAGCTTCTGATGAGCAGAAACCCGACGAAGGGGAAGACGTTGGCGGATGGTGCAAAGGAGGATGAACTCGCCTTCGTCAATGGGAATAACAATTTCATGGATCCCTGCTGCGAATCGGTATCTCATCCGAGTGCGATCAATTTTCCCGTGAATAATCCCCTAAATGTAGTAAACTGCGCAGAAGAGAAGACAGCCGATTTTGCAAATTTGGAGAATAATGAGGAGGAAGATGCGGAGGAGAAAGGAAGGAATTCTTTGTCGGAGTACTCCTCGAATGGGAACACATTCAGCGTAGCAGCTGATGGTGGAAGCCCTAACCCCGAGGTGGACTCCAAACGTCGGTACAGAAACAAATCGATGAAGTCAATTTTTTCGAAGAATTACATCTTCAGTGCTATCAAAAGGGATAAAAAAAACGTGGATACGACGAATAGTGGTGCCAACGTGGGTGACTTCTTTCCGTCTAAGCAGAAGGAGGATAAGAAGAAGAGGGGTAGTGAAAACGTTAGCCAGATTGAAAATTTGAAAAAAAAAAAAAAAAAAAAAACTACAACGGAGAATGCGACTGACGAGGTGAATGGTACTTTGCTTTCGGAGAAGAGTGGGAACAGCGGCGTGACTGGTGGGGGCGTTAACGGCGCGATCAACGGCCGCTTGGAGACTGATGGAGACGGGGAGAAAGGTGACCTCGGGGAGGACAAGTGGGAGGGCAATAACCCTGCACATCGCGTTGAAGGGGGTGACTCCACGAGAATCGGCTGTGATGATAGTAAAGACACAGATCGATCGAAGGACACGGACCTATCGCAACGAAAAAAGGACAGTGTGAGAATACAACCCGGGGGGAGATACACACAGGATGGATACTCCTCCTCGGATTCGTCGTCCTCCACCCTGACGGCGTCTTCCATTCGATCCGACATGACGTTGTTTCACCGCCAAGATGGGACGAATGCAGAGAAGAGGGGTGGTCACCCCGATGGGGAGGCCATCACATTAGAGAACCCATCAGTGAGAAGGCAAAAAAGGGAGAACATCCCCTCGAAGCCGCCACCGTGTAGACCGTACCTATTGAACGGCTATGCAGAGGAGAAGGTGCGATGCGACGTCTGCTTGAAGAACAAAGGATTATTCATCAAATGTGAAAATATCAAATGTGACCGGTACGTCCATCCCCTCTGCGCATACATGTGTGGCCTCTACATAAAGTGCAAAAATTCAAATAAGAAATTTTTAAAATTTCAGAACAAAATTGATTATTGCTTCCCTCGCATATTATTCTTCATCAAATGTATCTTCCACTCTATAAAGAAATGGGGCGTCATTAGAATCTACGATGAGATCATTAAGCGAAGGACCAAGTACCTCAATCGGGATCTCTATCCGAGCATATACGAAAGCAATAAAAAGGATAGGAAGCAAAAGAATTCTGTTAAGTATAAGATTAGAAACAATTGTAGTAATATTAAAAAAGGGGGAAGTGTCACAGGAGGGGTTGGCAGTGGACCTGCTGCGGGGGGAGCGGCTGGAGGAGGAGTCGGAGCAGGCGCCGGAGATGTCTATGAAGTGCTCGCCTTTAACTTTAACTACTTAGATTCTTATCAATATAATTTCTTCCTCCTTCCATCTATTGATTATATGAAAAATGACATTTGCCTGGTTTGCTTTACGTCATACAAGAAGAAGAAGCTGCTGTACTGTAAATATTGCAACATGTGTGTGCATAAGAGCTGCTACCTTGTCGATTCGTCCTTTCTCGAATATCAATTCTATCGAAAGAATAAGAGGACGCACACCTTTTTAATGCACACGAAGCAGGGGAAGATGAAGAACTTGCTGAGCAAAGTGAGGGAGAAGAAGGAAGATCTACTGAACCGTCTGCTAGAACAGAATAGCCACTGCGCTTATGGTGATCAGTCCCTGGGAGGACTTCTTACTTCGGCTGTGAAAAAGGAGGATCCAACCTATGGGAAGATTGTCCCCCAGGATGACCATATAGATCTTCCTCCACAAGGGGAGAAAAGCAGCGATAACCACTGCGGAGTAGAATCTGAGCAGGTGGAGGGGCAGCTTCTGGAGAGAAAACTTCCTGAGGAGCCACTTCTGGAGGAGAAACCTCCGGAGGAGCCGCTTACGGAGGAAGGGCATCCTTATCATCCCCCTGGAGAGGATTCCCAAAATGTGGAGATCCCCCCTGTGTGCAATGGTATTATCACGCCCGAAGGAGACGCACCAAGTTGTGTATCTCCAATTGAAGCAGCCCACCTATGCCGCGAATCTGCGGACTGCTCAAAAGAAGAACATCTACCGATGCGAAACAGAACGAGCACAAACAAAGAGATAGAAAACTCCAATCGATTTAAAGAGTTAATGCAAAAGGAAGTTATCACCTCTTTGTATACGCCTGAATATTTCCAAAGCGCCGAAATTATTAACACACTGAAGGAGTTTAAAAGGAGGCAGAAGTTGCTGCAGATGAGTGAAAATGGTAAATACTGGTCTGAGGAGGAGAAGTGCCTGACCGATTTGGATGACATAGAAGAGAGGAAGTTATTTGTGTGCGATTTGTGTGCCAATAATTACAGCCATGAAAATGTGAACTGCATACTCTGCAGCCGAAGGGGAGGCGCCATCAAATTAATCAAAGTGAATGATTCAAACAAGACAGAAAAAAGTAAGAACAGAAAAAATTCCTTCCTAAAATCTGAAAAAGAATTCGTTTTTGTGCATATGCAATGTGCCTTGTACTCTCCGCAGATTATTATACAGGACATTGGGGAGGAATATTACCAGATTTTTAATTACGATAATTTTTCCATGCACAACTATGACGAGGTGTCACAGATGAAAAAAAAGGATTTCAAATCAGACACGGAAGTTTGTGTTTCGAATAACGAGTGTTACTATGATGAGAAGCAGAGTTTGTTGGGGGAATTCCTTTACCGCTGTGCAGCCGGGCCCAGTGTGAACAGGGGTCGGAACGGCCGCAGGGTCGCCCCTCGGAAGAACATCGCTAGTTCTGCCTGCGCGGGGGGAAGCGCGGTGGGAGGTGCGGCTGCCAATACGGCGACCAATGTAGCTGTGAGCGGAGCAGCCAGCGGAACAGCCAGCGGAGCAGTGAACGGATATGTTGCCGTTCCGGACACTGTCGTCGCCGTCTCCGCGCTGCTTACCCCCCCACAGGAAATAGCCGCAGAAGTGGGCGCGCCTTCCGGGGGAACCATCCAGATTAAGGAGGAAACGGAATCTACAAGTGGTGTGGTAGCGGAAGTCGTGCCACGCGTTAGCTGCAGTGTCAGGCAGCCGAACGGGATTGGCAACCCCGGTGAGGGAGAAGGCGACGTGAAAGTAGAGAAGCCGCTAAGTTTTGACGTAGCTGAGGAAGGAACGGATGGAGTGAGCACGCTATCACAAAGTGGGCTTCAAAGTGGGCTTCAAAATGGGCCGCTAAACGGGCCTCTAAACGGGCTGCAAAACGAAGCGCATGATGCAGACCACTGTGGCGTCCACTTGATTAAGAAGGAGCGGGTCGAACACCCAACCGAGGCGCACAACCTGACGAGCGTCGCGCAAAGTGGGGACGAGCTGCATTGCCCCAACGGCACCACGCAGAGTAACATAATTGTAAGCCAAATGGACCAGTATGGAAAGACAGCCAAAAAAGAAAATGAAATTTTATCCTACAGTAAATCTAGCAGCATCATGGCAGAGACCAACAAGAACAAGACGCTAATCGTCACATCCTCCACGCACTTAGGATTCTCAAACAAAAAAACAACAAACCTCTACTACTACAATTTCAACAGAAAAAAAAATAACTACAAAATTATAGTTAAAGATAAATTAAAAAGACACCTAAATAAAAATGTATGCTACATTTGTAACCTCACGTATGGCTATACACAAAAGTGTGTCGAAAGTAATTGCAGTCATTATTTCCACATATCCTGTGCGAAGATACACAGACTTTTCTTCGAATTCGATTATACCCTTTTTAAAATATATCCAAATGTCACCAATATGGAAATTTCCAAATCGTCCAACTGCTCCGTGGGGACCATCATCTTCTGTGACGTCCACTCCACGATGAGGAGGAAGGTGAAGCCATCCATAAAATTATTTTCCAAACTGAGATCCTTCTTAGAACTGGCACGGATAATTGTAGGGCAGATGAAGAAAAGGGAGGACATTAAAAATGCCTGGATAAAGGAAAAGCACAAGAGGGACATTATGTGTGATGGACATGTGGTGAAGGAGGTGGATAATCCGGGAGGTGGAGACAATGTGGACGATGGTGACGACCCGGAAGATGCAGACGTGGAAAGTTTCCTTTCCATTTCCGGTTCCGATGGTGACGCTGAAGATTCGCATGATGATTATCTCTCCCAAGAGAAAGAGGAGTCCAGCCTGCTCAGTGATGATGCCTTGGGGATGATGCATGAGAGTGCCCCCTGCAGCAATGACAACATTGGAAGGCGTGGCAGTAGCAGCGGAGGGAGCCGAGAAAGCAGTAGTAGAAGTGGCTTCATCCGTCGAAGCAATAACACTAAAAGAGGAGATAAGGAACCTACACCCAACCACCACCACGCGGGGGAAGAAGACACCCCAACAATGGAGGAACAACTCCAAATGGAGGGCGTCGCTGATCAGAAGGATGCCCGTGATGATGACCATAAGTTAAGTGTGCTAAGTGAGTCTGCAGAAGTACCAAATGGGGACACGGGTGCAGAGGGCGGAATCGTACAGAGGAATGAGCCCATGGCGAAGGAAATGCAAAATCCACTGGAAGACATAGCGGACAAAACGGAAAGTGATATGTACGAGTTTTACGTGCCGGAGGAGGAAGCCGAGGACACTTAGCCACGTGGAAGATGTGGGAAAGGCCCAACCTGTTGCCCAAGTCACGAGGGGACCACATAGCTAACGTGGCTCTCCACAAAAGGGCGCTATTCACCTATGTGCACGAGTATGTCACTTTACTCATTATTTTACGCATTATTTTACTCATTACATGCCTGATTACTTTCCTGATTACCTTCACTGATTACTTTCCTGCATGTGCACAAGGGAAGAGACGAAAACTCTCTCGTGCGAGTTTGCTAATGATTCGCCAATAAAACGCCGTTGTGAAGCGCCCCTCCTTGCACCCCCTTTTGTCTGCATACATGGGATGCGCCACGTCTCCGCACTTGCTTCTTACATCTGCGCGGTTCTCTCTTCCTGCCACTTGTTCATTTTGAATCGTAACGTCTTTTTATCTCATTTTGACACGCGGACGAATAACCGCGAAGATGAGGTCTTATCAACTTTGTTTTTCTCGACAAATTTCACGAAAAAAAAAAAATAATAATCACATAAAATTATATAACATTACCTAAAATTACCTAAAATAAAAAATAATATAGGCCAGTACAATGCGATGCATGTACTACGTACCTGTGCCAACTGGCTACACACCAGGTTAAAAAAAAAATGATTAACAATAGGGGCCTATAAAACGAGAGAAATGGACGCCGTAGACGAGGCGCACAAAGTGGACTAGACACATGTTGTGGAACCATCGAGAGGCAGCGCAGAAGTGTCGAGGCCCACAGTCATAGAAACGAGGCGAACAAAACAATCATGTAAAAATAAATATGTTGGGGAGATGATAAAAAAAAGAAAGAAAAGAAAAAAAAAAAAAATCATTTCACCCTTGTGAAACGCCCATTACTGATTAACAAAAAAAAAAATTAAAAAAACAAATGAAAGGCAATAAAAAGTTGTGCTCGTATGTGTGATGCCCTGTAAAGATGCATCTCGCATGCGCCTCGGTGTTTGTATGTCTGTGTGGGTGGGGGGTTCCAGCACCCCCTGGCTATTCCACTTCGGTATCGTCGTATGTGTCCGAGGCATCCTCGTAGGCCTGCCTGGAGGGCTGCCAAATGTGCAACGTGTTGTCTTCGCTGATGGAGGAGATCATCTGCGGAGGGGGGAAGTGCGGCAAAAGAGAGTGAGTGAATCAAGTGGGTCTGATGAAAGAGTCATAGAAGGGGAGCAGTTTCGGCGGCTGGGCCAAATGAACGGAGAGGTAGCTTTCCTGGACTGCTTCCTCTCCTCGCGCGTGAAACGCTGCCAACGATGCAGACGTTGCTAAGAGTGATAACGCTGCAAACGCTTCTAAACGTGATAAGTGTGAGAACGCACCATGGAGTAGGAGGAGTTTAGAGAGAAGTCCAGGATGTTGGAGGCGTGGCCACCGTGAATGAAAATGAGTTCGGGGGGGCCGTCCTGCGAGTCCTCGTATGTCTGCTCAATGCCAATTTTGTTAGTATCAAAAAAATAAATGTACTTATCACTGGAGGAGGAAGACAAAATGCCGGGCTGATATTTGTCCCACTGCAGCTTTATAATTGTTTCCTTGTGTGATATGATTCGGTGCAGGGATTTGTTAGTGAATCGAATGTCCCACAAATCAATTTCTTTGTTCGTCCCTCCTGTCGCGAAGATGTTCTTATTGTGTGGATTCACATCGATGGAGTTTAAAGTGCAGTTGGTAGCTTTGATGGAGCTCACTACACTCTTGTTCCTAATGTCGTAAATGTGGATGTGCCCGTTATCCGACACGGTCAATACATTGTTGTCTTTCCAGCAGCAATCTTGGAGAGGGACATTGTCGTTAAAAAATTTTATCAATGGGTGTACCACTGCTTTGCAGTTTGCGCTGTTCGAGCTCGAGCAGGCAATATCGGCACCGGCAGCACCAATCGAGGGGGAGATGGCTCCGCCCGCTACGGTTGCGCCTGCTGGGGTGACTCCTGCTGTGGTGATTCCCGCTGTGGTGATTCCCGCTGTGGTGATTCC